TTGAAGTTTCTTTTCCATCTCTTCACGTTCTTGTCTATGAATTTCGTCAAGAAGTCTGTAAACATGCCATGCATAACGAGGAGAAGCCCACATTGCAACTGCATTTACTAAAAGTCTATGTACATAATATCCTCTTAAATTTATTGGCAAATTTTTACGATTTTCATGTGTTTTATGCAAGACCGAAAAAAGTCGGTCTAGAGAAATTTCACTCAAAAGTTCTTGTGTGCTTTGGTTTTTGAACCAGTCGTCTGCGTGTTTAGTGTCTGGAGCAAAACATGCTGTCAAAATACTTTGCATTTGGTACATATCGTCTTTGACCGAACGAATGAGACGGAGTTGTTTGTTAAACTGTATGTACTCGTATTCTTCATTTATAGCTTCATGGACTATAACTGTTGTTGTGTTCTCTGTTGTTGACATATCTGTCTTTACATACAAAATAAAAAAATTTGTTAGAAAAAAATTAGCGTTATTTTCTGACTTTCACAAAAGACCAAAAATAAACGCTTTACATGTATTTTTCAGCAACTTCGTCAAATAATTTTATAGCTTTATCTATCTCATCTACTTCAAACGTTTCTTTACCTTTTATGGGAGCACCATACATTTTCTCAAACTTTTCAAGTAGTTCTGTTTCTGCAGCTCTCATATCATTAGCAAACACAACCTTGACTCTATTGACTGTAGAGTCATATCTTTGAGTTATATTATATGTTCTTCCTATCTTATATCTCTTTGTATTGAAGTCCTTCGGTTTCTGAACGATGTAAAGTAAGCCTTCACTGCAACGTTCCGTATCGAATGAACCATATGTTATGAAGTTATATCCAACAACTGGGTCTAACCATAACAAAACTATTGGTATAAGACTTTTGTCAATGAGATATGCTGCAGTTCCATAGAATTTTACCGATATCATAAGCTCAGGATTTCTTGTCAAAATTTTCTGAGTTGAAGCATTTCTAACCCAGTCCTTTGTTTTCTTTCCAGATGGAAATATAATGTCTGACAAAGAATATTTGTTGTATTTCTGAGTATCTTACGTTTAAATCACCTATTCTAACCACTTTGGTGTCATTGTCTATCTTTCTAACTGTTTCAAACTCAATGTTTGTCATTTCTGTTCTTACATACAAAATAAAAAAATAAATAAAAATAAAACTAACTTTATTTTTTCTATCTTAAGGAAATTCATGAATTTCATAGAGTTTTGGCGACTAAGGTTTCTTACCTACTCGCTGTTCTTCACTGTTTTCATACGGAATCTCTTCTCTCGGTTTTCCGAGGGAAGCAAGCATATGCCATTTTTTGACGAAGTGAAGGTTTGCACTTCGTCAAAAAAATCCCTGAAATCAAGAATTTTGTTGCTGAATTCAGCAAAAATAAAGTTTAGGTGAAGAGGTGAGATCTCACCTGTTTTCTCACCTGTTTTCTCACCTGTTTTCTAACATGGTCTAAAACACACAAAACTCATGAAATTTGGTCATTTTTCAGCAAAAATAAAGTTTAGGGTAGAAGGTTAGATCTAACCTCATTTCTACCCTCTTTTCTACCCCAGTTATTTCACAACCGTTTTACATGGTAAACGTTATTTTTTAAATTTTGTGAAAACTCAACGGTTTGACACAAGCCCTAAAAATTATTTTACTCAGAATTTTGTTGCTGAATTCAGCAAAAATAAAGTTTAGGTGAAGAGGTGAGATCTCACCTGTTTTCTCACCTGTTTTCTCACCTGTTTTCTAACATGGTCTAAAACACACAAAACTCATGAAATTTGGTCATTTTTCAGCAAAAATAAAGTTTAGGGTAGAAGGTTAGATCTAACCTCATTTCTACCCTCTTTTCTACCCCAGTTATTTCACAACCGTTTTACATGGTAAACGTTATTTTTTAAATTTTGTGAAAACTCAACGGTTTGACACAAGCCCTAAAAATTATTTTACTCAGAATTTTGTTGCTGAATTCAGCAAAAATAAAGTTTAGGTGAAGAGGTGAGATCTCACCTGTTTTCTCACCTGTTTTCTCACCTCTTTTTTTCACAAGCGTTTTACATGAATTGTACGATGTATATTTGAAATCCTAAACAGTTTTGTAGCTTCTATTTCTTCGCTGAGGATATCGAATGTTTTAACAATGCCGAAGGTTTCTTTATACTTCTTCTTGACGTCAGATAATAGGAAATCTTCTGCTGTTGGATAGTTTTTGTTCAGAAATGCTAACATGTCCATTTTATCTTCTACCGGCTTTTCTGCTTCTTTCTTTAAGTCTGCATAGTCGTTTCTCATACGTTCTATCTCTTTGACGGAGTAGTTATATCTCCTCATTGCTGCCTTACATTTAGAACATTGCGGGTTCATTTTTGCGTTATATTCTGAAACCTTACCTGCTAAAACAACTAAAGCGTCAATTGCTCTCTTCATCTCAAACATAGCGGGTCTTATTTGTTTGTTCCATACCTTACATCTTCTATCTTTATCTCTTATCTGCCATACACATTCAGCAACTAACGAAACAAAGTTGTCGTAGGTCTTAAATTCTTCAGATTTATATATGTCAGAGATGTTCTTATATACCATATCGCAATCTTTGTCCATAACCTTATGGTTGCAATGAAATCCTAGAAACTCATAATTTACTTTACGTATGAATTTCTTTATTTCTACTGAGTCAGTTGCTTTGACTTCAATTTCATCGAATTCAGGAATAGTTAGTTTTTGCTGTTGGATTTCAGGCAATTTGGGTAAATGGTCAATAATGTCCTGCATTTCATAAAGATACTGTTCATTTGTTTCATCTTTCGCACTACAGTCTAAATTACTTGTTAACAGTTCTTGCTTTATCTTCTGGATTTCTGTTTCAAAAGTATATGAAGAAGGAATAAAGCTTTTCATCTCTACTAACATTGACGTAGGATTCATGACTAACGAGTTGGTGCTGCTGTTGTTTGAATTGTTGTTGTGCCGATTGTTGAAATCATATCTTTTATACAAAATAAAAAAATAAAAAAAAATAAAACTAACTTTATTTTTTATTTCGGGAAAATTCATGAAAATTCAAGAGGTGAAAAAAGAGGTGAGAAAACAGGTGAGATCTAACCTTCTACCCGACATTCTCGTCAAATACAAAAAAATACAAAAAAATGACACTTTTTCATTAGATAACTGTTATTTTTTGACGAAGTGAAGGTTTGCACTTCGTCAAAAAAATCCCTGAAATCATATCTTTTATACAAAAAAATACAAAAAATGACACTTTTTCATTAGATAACTGTTATTTTTTGACGAAGTGAAGATTGACACTTCGTCAAAAAAATCCCTGAAATCATATCTTTTATACAAAATAAAAAAATAAAACTAACTTTATTTTTTCTATCTTAAGGAAATTCATGACAAATTCAAGAGGTGAAAAAAGAGGTGAGAAAACAGGTGAGATCTAACCTCTTCACCTAAACATTATTTTTGGGTCCTTTACGCTCATTACGATGAAGAAGTCTTGACAAAACATGTACGAAGAAGTCATGAAAATTCATGAGGGTGAGAAAAGAGGTGAAAAAACAGGTGAGATCTCACCTCTTCACCTAAATTATATTTTTGGGTCCTTTACACTCATTACGAAGAAGTCTTGACAAAACATTTACGAAGAAGTCATGAAAATTCAAGAGGTGAAAAAAGAGGTGAGAAAACATTTACGAAGAAGTCATGACAAAACATTTACGAAGAAGTCATGAAAATTCAAGAGGGTAGAAAACAGGTTAGAAAACAGGTTAGATCTAACCTTCTACCCTAAATTATATTTTTGGGTCCTTTACACTCATTACGAAGAAGTCTTGACAAAACATGTACGAAGAAGTCTTGACAAAACATTTACGAAGAAGTCATGACAAAACATATACGATGAAATCATGACAAAACATTTACGAAGAAGTCTTGACAAATTCACGAGGTTAGAAAACGTGTTAGATCTAACATGCTAACATAAACATTATTTTTCAATACTTTTTCAGCACTTTTCCGTAGTTATATATGAAAGACAATTCGAGATAAAAGTCATAGTACAATGGAATAATATGTTGCACACCATTTGTTGTGAACCAAACTTGAAAGTCAGAGAAACTGTTACTAGGTGGTTCGTAGAATTTAGAAGCAAAGTCATAAAAGTCCTTACCAATACATAGAAAACTATTGTTGCTTGAACTGAAACTTGCATGACACATAACATTTTGAGGGTCAAACACGTTTCTATAAACTGTCAAATCTGCTGGTGGAAGTATAAATTGAAATGGACCATCTGGTGGTAATGGTTCGTTCTGGTTTAGTAACCGAAGAAATTGTGCCCAAGAACGTTTGTCTACTTTCCAAAATAAAAACTCTGTATCTCTTGGAGGGTTAATTTCAATCTTTTGAAATGAAACGGTGGAGTTCATCTTGTCATATTCTAGTTTCAGATAGTATGTTCCATTTAGTAAAGAGTCGTATTTTTCTTGAAATTCCCAATAATATTTGTTCATTTGAGTTTGAAAGTCATTTAGAGTTTTCTCAAGACTTTCGTCTGAACGAACTGTAAAGATTCTCATTTCGTCAAATTTGTCTATTAGACCATCAGAACCTTTATACTGCCCATGAAAATATACTGCGAACATAAATGCGTTAGTTCTATTTGAAAACAAAACTCTTCTAAATCCTATTGCCTTTGCATCTGAAGGACTTTGAAGCCAACGAATTGGATAGTCAAACCTGTATGTTCGGGATGAAATTTCTTCATCTGAAATAGTCCTACCAGCATTTGTAAAGATATAGTCTAACGGTTTTGTATCTGCTACTTTTGTTCTTTGTTTTTCAACCTGAAGCATTTAATATATGTAAAAATATATTGTTTTAAAATGGTATGCCATTTCATATTTCTCATCTAACAAACAAGTTTCCCAACGGTCTTCTCCAACAAACTCAGCGTACATTTCAAATAAAATTAAAAAATGTCACTTTTTTGAAAATAATTTTTTATTTCATGCAATGTTTTATTTCTGTGCCGTCTTCAAGTATGCCCCAGTACTTACGCTTGGAGAGGACATGAACTTCGGAAAATACCTTATCTAGCTTAAAACAGCCCATCTTTTCACCGACCATGCCCATTTCAATGAGTTTGTTGTACCCTTCTTCGTTCGTCATGAGTGCGTCAATGTTCTCATAGTAAACCTTCACTTTGGATTTGACTTCGGAGAAGAATTTGTTGTAGTTGTCAAGGACTGCCTTTGCGAACTGAGGGTAAGACCAATGTTCGACAATAGGTTTTAATGTGGTTACTAAGCCACTTTGACCTTGAGTGAATTCGTACTTCAAAACAAAAGGAGAAAACCTTTCAACAAAGTTGTCGACCTTCTCATAATGTTTACTCTTCATCTCTTGAGGTTTCTTAATGGAATATCCCCATGTCGAATTCATAAGCAATTTGAGTGTCATTGCAAGTTTGGGGTTTGAAGCTTTCCTAATATCATACAGTTGTTGTATGACTTTTCCAACTGTATAGTTCCTTCCCGGGAACTCACTATCTTCGTTTGGAATTCCAGTCGGAATATATTGGACAAACCTCATGTACGCAGCGTTAAGGTCGACATAGTATATCTTTTCGTTTGAGTCGAACTTGTCGCAACCAATTGGTCCAGTTTGTGGAAATTCAAGTGAGTCTCTTATCTTCTGAGAAACTGTTATGTCATAAACATCGTCGAAGGCAACCTGTTTCATCATAAAACCTTCTGACCTAACCAGATGCTTTACCAATACAAATTTTGCCCGTCAAATTGGATGTCTCATGGAGTTTGTTTGATCAGCATGCGTTGACAAGTTCTAGCAACCTCATTGGAAGTTCTTCTGTTAGGTTTTGTATCCGAACATTCCAAACTCCTTGTGGGCTCTGTGTTTCTTTGTACTAGAAGTTTGTCTGGAACACTTTTGGTCTTGCTCAACAATGAAAAGTTTGTTTCGTCTTTTGGTACAAATTTTTACTGTCAGCTTGTCATCTGGATTGGTTCCAACAAACCTTTCTCGAAAAAGAATGTTTACAGCTCTGACAATGTTGCAACTTGCCTTTTCCGAACAATGGGTTTGTAAGACTTTCCGTCAACATGAAGTGGTTGTGGACAATTACATCATCTTCAACCATGGTAAATTGAACTCAACAAATAGTCCGTAATGTGAAGAACCTTTAGCTGTAGGTATGTTGACTCGGATATTGAACATTGCCAACGTGCAGATTTTGCCCAATTGAACCTTCTGGAGAATGTAACCTTCGTCTTCACACATGAGCTCAAGATAACTGTCATCTTTCTTCTCTGTAATCAAGACCGAGTTTTCCTGAGACATGTAAGAATTGCAGGTTCTTGAACAATTGTTTTCAAATTGAATTGTAAATTCCATACCTTGTCAAGTCAATGTCGACTTATTTATGAACGGGAAGTATCCGCATGTTTGTTCTGACTAGCTTGAGGGTTAGGTTGGTACCATTCGAACTTGACACTTGCAGATTCCTTCCAATTGCATTCAAATGATCTGAGTCGGATTCAACCATTTTCGTTCTCTCTTCTGTAAGTCTTGAAAGCGTCAAGAAGCATTGCAGCTGTTGTGACATGCCATGTGCATAGTAAATGTGACCATCCAATCTTCTTAATGGTCAATCTAGATTGTATCCCTTTCTTATTTTCCATCTTGTAATGGCAGCAAGTACTCCCATGAAGACTTCTTTGTTTCTTTCCTTCGTCCAAAGTTAACTGTAAAGGTTCGATCCGAGAATGTAAATTTGACTTCTAACTTCACGATATACTTTTCATATCATATCTTGTTCTTTTCCATGGGAGCATGAACCATACCTCTGCCTACCTTTTTTTCCTTCTCAAAGGATGCAATTGTTCGTCATGTTTCCAGTAGAATCTTGGCAAAGCCGTCGTGTCCTTCAACTTGAGGTTCACTAACACATCGAAAGGCAATGTCCATAAGACGTTCTTCTTCTAACTCTCTAGTCTGTTTGGATAATTGCACCGTGCTGTTTCCAAATCCATTTCGTAGCGAAGCACCAGCAATTCTGTCATAGACTTTTATGGTCTTCCTTCCTATATTTAAACTTCTTCGAAACTCTCCAACCATATCTTTGCAACTCTGCTTTTATTGCTAGCAGATTTTCTATCCATTCAATAGGGGGCATTTTTATAAAAATAAAAAAATATTTTTTCTTTACTTTACATAACCGCCTGCTGCCATAAGTCTTTGACGCCAACCCATACCAGCTAATGAAGGTTGACTTTGGTTTTTTCCCAAACTAAACTTTGGTTTTGGTTTATCTTCAGTTTTTGGTTTTTCTTCTTCTATCGGTTTTTTCGTCACTTTCGGTTTCTCTCGATTTACTTCACTGCAGGACAGTTGTGTCGTCAACATCTTCATAAATACTATATGCCATTTGTTTTTTTTTTCCCTTTCAACTTTTGTGTTTGTTGTAAGTTTTAGAATATTTTCGACTCTAAGTCAATGAGATGTTCTTATAATGAACTGTTGGTCAGTGAAGTAAACTTTTCCATCTGTTGTCTCGAAAGCTCCTTCAGACTTCAATATTTATTGTGAGAGTCTGTTTTCTTTTTTGAGATACTTGCGTTTCCATTTTTATGAAAAGTGACTTTGTTTTGTTAGGGTTTTGTATTTCCAGACCTGGACTTTCTATTTGATTTTTTTCTTCTCATCTGTAAGTTCTTTGACAGGTTTTTGACAATGGTTCTGAACTTTTTGTTTGGGTGTCAAATCTACCGTTTCAACTTCTTCGGTCATTTCATGTCAGTAAAAAAATTTTAGTTTGGTTTGTTTTCAAACTGGTTGTTTAGGTTTTTTAAGTCGGCCTAAAACTTCTGAGGTATAGGAAGAACTTGACAAACCCGTTGTGTAACTGCTGAAGCCGACAAATCCATCTTGAACCCCATTTGTTCAATGCTGTATTGTTCATTTCATCTCAGTAAAAAACTTTACATTCCCCACGTTGAGGCGGTTGAGGTTGGTTATTTGTTTACCCACTGTTGTGCATGGTTTATCCTTGTTAAAGAATCTTTCACCTTGGTCCATATAGTGTCCCTGTGTGTATAGTAGTCATTTGTTTGTTATAATAAATATTCCTGCTTTCCTTCCATATTGTCCATCCCATCCTTGACTTTTCCTCTTGTTTCAGGATTTGGAATAAGATTTGTTGCATCTCGTGCTACATCCAACCTTTCTGTACAGTTTGTATAATAGTGTGCTTTCTCTTTCAGTACAATCTAATGTACTCAAAATCTTCCTTCCAACTCCAAATACACCTTGCTATTGTTCCCACGCGGGCAAAAATCTGGATGCAACTCCTGCTAATGCGCCAAATAAACCCATTTCTTATAGGATAAAAAATGACGAATCCAAACAAGGACCCTATGTTTCTAAAGCGACAAAAGAAAGCACTCATGGTAAAAATCTTTAGTTCAACACCAAATGCTTGTTTATGGATATCTTGGAAAACATTCCGAGTAATAGAGAAGATGGACCACCATATGGTAATATTTGTTGGTCAAAACACAAGATAGTGTGAAGCCAATACCATTACAAGTCCAAAGCTATTTTAGATATCTTAGCACTTTGACAATATTCGTTGACAAAATACCATCCAACAAAACTGACATCTGACTGTGAAAGTTCTTTCAAATCAATGATGTAAAAAAACTATCTGCGTTCAAAAAATGTAAACCAAATATTTCATTGTCCCGACACAAACCATTTCTGCTCTTGTGTCATTGACGTTGTATAAAAAATGTAAGAGACCTTAAACAACCACAAGTGTGGTGAAGCAAATGAAATGTCATATACGACAAATATAGACACTTCTCCATGGCAAAGATGAGAACAGTTTTAATATTTACAATAGCCTGTAAACAAAAAGGTTGGGAAACCACTCCCCTGAAGAATGAAAAACACCCTGACTTAGAGAAAGACTATATATTTTAATAATTTTAGTCAAAAGAGACAAACAAGAAGAATGCCGGGCTTCAAACTTAAGAAAGGCGAAAAGTAAAATAGAATAACCTAAACGCGACCCATATGAAATACTATTGACTATGACAACAATGGGAACCCGCAGGTACTCACATTCGTGTTCGTAAAAATAGAAGAAAGTATACAAGAAATATTATGAAGTTTTGGCAACCATGGCAAAAATGTACACACTGCAAGCAGAAGAATAAACTACTATGTCAGACCTCGTTTCAAACTTGTCAAAGTTCAAGTGGTATACTTTCAAAGACACGTTCCTAACAAATATAAGACAACTCCGACGAAATATGCTAAAGAAGTTGAAAATGACGACTAAGCATTTCTATACCATGCGTAAACTGTCATGTAAGGTGGCATGTCGTCTTTACTTTGTCCCGTTGTTTGGCGTATATCCCCGAAACGCGATGTGTATGGTTTCCATCTCCTGAGTGTTACCCCAGAAACAATTTTAAGCAAACTGACGCGTTGTCTTTAACATCATATCCTTTACCTTTTGTCTTGCTGACCAATCCCAAATTTATGCTTATGCCAACCTGCTTGAGTGTACTTAAATCTATGTAGTGACTATGTGCAGGTAAATTTTCACCTGAAAATCGTTTTTACTTCCACCTGTTTCCTTTGAAGAGTTTGCACAATACAAAAACCTGTCGACTATTTGAGTCCAAGTTCCAAAACCAAGTACTACTTCTGGTCTGGTAGAGTTCATTGACGTATAAATAGAGCCTGTAGGATATAATGTTTGAAGTATTTCTTGTCTTTAATGTTTGAAGCTCTGTTTTGTCTGCTTTCTTATCTAACATTGCTGGTAGTTCATATGCTTCAAAGTTTCTGGCATGACTTTCAATGTTCCTGCAACTGTTATCTAAATTGTTTAGTGTATCTTTTACGCTTGTACTTGGATTCTCTAAAGGTCACTTGAACCAAGGTCAAAGTTCAATATTATGTGTCTGCTTGTAAAAGTTGTAAAAACTTGTATGTGTATGGTCTTATTTGCTTTCTTCTCTAACTCATCGTTAACATAAGTTTTCTCTGCTTTAAGGTCTAAAACATCCTGAAACCCATCCTGTATCGGCTTTAGTTTTTAAAATCTTCGATGTCCATTCATGGTACCAGTCAACCCTTTCTTTCATTTCGTTATCTTTTCATCCACATATTCCTTATCCGCTTTCTTCTCTAACTTACTAGCCACATATCCCTTATCTGCTTTCTTTTCAAGGCTAACGTTTAAGTCTGTTATTTCAGATATAGAATGTATATGAGTCTTTTTAGAATATTCGTTTTCAGCTCTTGTCACTTCACTTGACATTTTTATTGTCAACATATGTTTTGTCTGCTAGTTCAGGATGAGTATGTTCTTTTGTTGCAATAAGCATTGTTAGTCTTTCTTCTTCTTTGCTATTGAATCGTCACATATTCTTTGTCAGCTTTGTTGTCACATCTGTTTTCAAAAGAAGTTCATTTATAGGTTTCTCGTTTAAGTTCCTTTTGTTGGATTTATACAGACAGTATTGTTCTTCTTGTCTTGAAATAGAAACTCATCTGTCATTGGTTTAATGTCAGTTTTAAGTTTCCTTCTTTCAATGACTCAGATATCTTAGAATAGTTTTGAAAAGTTTGTTGTGTTCTTATTTAGAGCTTGCATAATGAGTTGTCGGTTGTGTTGTATTTCTCTTATGGAAGCAATATCTTTCGACATTTTTATTCTAGATAAATATGCTTCCAATAGAAAAAGAAAATTCAAGAGTTGCTACAACTAAACCATTAGATGAACTTTTACTAATGTCGGTCAAAAGTTTGAGACAGAGACCGTAAAGATGAAGGCTATCGTTTTGACTACCCATTAAGATGGTTAAGAGACCCATCTGCCACAAAAGCTATTGGCTTTCGTAGAATGAAGTTCATTTCAGACGCCATACATGGTTTCCCATTTACGGTCGGTTTTGAAGTTCGATACTATAACAAAGAAAAACGTATGTATGAGAAATTTGAACAGGGAAAACTTTTACAAGTTAGTTTGCTTGTAAACTTAGAAACAACTCTTCAAGCTTTTCAAGAAAAAATAAACGATATCTATATCGAATATGCAAACCAGTATACATTGACGAGGGAGAGTACCATCTCGATATTATTTATGACAGGAAAAATGCAACTGTTAAAATCAATAGAATAGAAGACCTTGGAGAAAACGTTTATATTTCTACAAAATATAACAACTTGCATGGTATAGATTTATGAGGATGTTAAATCAGCCTGCAGCATATCCAGTACACCCAGACTTTTATGAAGTCGAAACCTAATGGAACATATGAAATGTTTTCGACCAAGATGCTATTATTGTTCATGCTTCATTTTCTGGCGCCAAAACTCTTTTGTTATGCTTGGCAAATGACTTTTACGAAAACTACCAAAGTTATACGAACCACCAAGTGGAAGTATTTCAGACTTTCAAGTATGGTTTACTACAGATGGAAGAAAAGAATAATTCCATTATACCATGCGTTTACTTAGAACTTAGTTTCATATACAACTACTATCGAACGGTAAAAATATAATTTTTTATACGGTTGAGGTGTGTGGATTTGGTTGCCAACTAGACTGTGGTGCAGGTTCAGGCTGTTGTATAACAGAGCTTGCTCTTCTGGTTCAGGGTCTTTAGGTATAATACCAACGAACTGACCTACTCTTTACCACATTTTTGACTCCGTTCCAAATTCCTCTTCCTACGGTTTTTATTCCATCCCATATACCTCTTCCAACATTTCGAAAGAAGTTTCCTATCTTACTGAAGAAACCCATTTTACTATATGTAAAAATCTAATGTCCGCCTATCTCTTACGTTTCCTGTTGAGTTCCATAGCATTCTTTAACTGAGCTCATACATTCTGTTTCTCCTCTGGTAGAAAACATATTCTGGGTCAACTCCTGTGTTCGCGTCAATCTGCATAAAGTTGTTTATATCCCACTTCAGGGTTTGTATAAAACTCTTTCATCTCATATTTGCATACCATGGTGGCAAACTAACGCAGCGTCATTTGACATGGCAGTTTGCATTTGTACATCTGTTGGCACTTGCCATAGTTTGCCATTGCAGTTTGTATTCTAACTTCATTTGGAATATTCTCTGGGTTTGGTTGTCCAGGTTGCTGTGCATTCGCTAAGTTCTGTGCGTCCATTTAATATTAGATAAAAATATCTCTTAGAGTACATATACTGGACATTTGCAGGCATTGGTTCATCTTCATATTCTCTGTACTTTTCTGCCACGTCAAAGAAATAAATGACACAATGGAAAAAACTAAAACAAGTAGTCCTATTTCAAACCACATTTACTTCTAATAAAATTTCTTTGTTATGACACTTTCTCCGGTTATAGGACCTCTCTCATATTCTATCTTGTCATATCTAAACTCATAGTCATGTATGTCCTCTAACCATCTCATAACGGTTCCACCACTTTTATCGGATGTAAAGTAAAAGCATGGATGGTTATGTAAAACGTCTAAAGTTTCTAAAGAGTCTCTCAAAGTCCAGTCTACTTGGTATTGAAAATCCCATGTGTTTATAGAACGGCGGGTCCACTATAAAGAAAACATTTTCCTTGTCTTTATATTTTTCATACAATCTGTCCAATAACATCTCACAAACTCTATACCCTCAATATATTTTTCTATGTCCTCTTTGAAAACATTTGTATAGTTAAGTATAAAACTTTTGACATAAGTGTTTCAATGTCATGAACTCTTATAGAACCACTTATAATAGTCTAGCAGATATACTTCCCAGTCTATATATTCTGCTTTTTTCAAAACCTCTCTCACAATATTTTTCTTATCTAATGGTATACGTTCCATCTTACCTATAGGTATCTTTCTTTTAACTCTTTCATATATTGTTTGTGTCTGGAATATGTTTGAGACGGTCCATATAGTTGTCGAAGTCATTGCATATAATCTTTGAGTCTGGGAATATTGTATGGCACAATGGGATATATAGAAACTTCCACCGAACAAATCTACAAATGTTAGACCATTCGGTAGTTTCTTAAGTTCTCTCAATATAATATCTTTACATTTACTCTTATTTCCAAAGAACGGTAACGGAGGTTTTGTAAAATTCATTTATATATAATAATAAAAATGTTTTTACCCGAAAAGTGACAGAAAAGTGACAAAGCATGAAAACATATATAATTTGTGAAAAGCGACACATTATATAATGTTTTCGACCCAGAAGAAGGCTTCTTCCCAGAAGCAATGGAGGAAGAAGAAGAGTCCTCCGAATTCACACCAGAAGACTAACAATTTTCCGAATAAAAACTTCATTTATACTAAACATCTTCAGGGCTAGAGGGCGCAACGCGCCTGGAGGCCCCACTACCTTTTTTTTTTTTGATATTAATATTTTCTAGAATTTTCAATCTTGGAAAATTATTGCTTTATTGGATAATAGATATTTAGTTTAATCGGAGGCCATGGATCTTCTTGTGTCGAAGATGCTCGTATTTTCAATATGTTTTCAAGCAAACAATTCATTCAGGTATTCAACAAAAACATTTGGTGTAGTTAGCACAGCTGTTGTATGCATAGCAAGCAAATGTATTGTATTAAATGCATTGTATAAAAAATGATTTAATTTGATAAAAACTTTGAAATATTTATTTTATCAAAAATTTAATTGTTGCAGTGGCAGTCAGCTCCACACTTGCATCCTTCGTTGCAATTGCATCCTTCTCCGCAGTGGCAGTCTGGAGAACACTTGCTATCCTTTGTGCAGTGGCAGTTGCTTCCACACTTGCATCCTTCGTTGCAGTAGCATCCTTCGTTGCAATTGCATCCTTCTCCGCAGTGGCAGTCTGGAGAACACTTGTTATCCTTTGTGCAGTGGCAGTTGCTTCCACACTTGCATCCTTCGTTGCAGTAGCATCCTTCGTTGCAATTGCATCCTTCTCCGCAGTGGCAGTCTGGAGAACACTTGTTATCCTTTGTGCAGTGGCAGTTGCTTCCACACTTGCATCCTTCGTTGCAGTGGCATCCTTCTCCGCAGTGGCAGTCTGGAGAACACTTGTTATCCTTTGTGCAGTGGCAGTTGCTTCCACACTTGCATCCTTCGTTGCAGTAGCATCCTTCGTTGCAATTGCATCCTTCTCCGCAGTGGCAGTCTGGAGAACACTTGTTATCCTTTGTGCAGTGGCAGTTGCTTCCACACTTGCATCCTTCGTTGCAGTAGCATCCTTCGTTGCAATTGCATCCTTCTCCGCAGTGGCAGTCTGGAGAACACTTGTTATCCTTTGTGCAGTGGCAGTTGCTTCCACACTTGCATCCTTCGTTGCAGTGGCATCCTTCTCCGCAGTGGCAGTCTGGAGAACACTTGTTATCCTTTGTGCAGTGGCAGTTGCTTCCACACTTGCATCCTTCGTTGCAGTAGCATCCTTCGTTGCAATTGCATCCTTCTCCGCAGTGGCAGTCTGGAGAACACTTGTTATCCTTTGTGCAGTGGCAGTTGCTTCCGCATTTACAACCTGGGCAACATTGGCATTTGAACCATTGGGACTTGCCGGCGTTTTGCTTGTTGCAATCGCATGTTTTCTGTGAAGACATCTTCAAAAATGACCTGAGATATTTTTATAGGAACTCAAATTTATTTTCAATACAAAATTTCCTCGCTCTCAAAAAATCTTTCTCAAATTTTTAATTCAATGTATGGTTTTAACAAATATACTTATCATTATCTAAGCATCAATAATCCTTCAAAAAAATCTAAGACGTAAATCTTTTGAATTTTTCAAGATTTATCTTCTCAAAAATATTTTGCTAGTGTCAAGCCGCCAGAAGAGAAAGCGTATGATTCGTATTGATGAATTTTTTAATTGTGAAAATAAAAGAATGCAAGTTACTTACTATTGGAGGTTGTTAATACCTTCATATATTGATGAAAATTTCAAATTTTTGAAATTATCCACAAGTTATTTTCGGACTTTTGGTTTTAATCTATTTAAAAAAAATATCTATTATATAGATAGTATTTTATTAAGAACAAAATCTAAAATATTTAAACTTCAAAATTCACTTCAGATGGAGTTTCAGATATATTTATTTTCGTCACAGATGCAGCCGGATACTTAAAACATGGGAATTTGATTATTTTCAAATAAATAGCTCCTCCTAGAAGGAAAGTTAATGATCCAATCAATCTAAAGTAGCTTTTATCAGTCCATCTAACTCCAAACTTTTCATCTGATCTCAATATGAATTTTCCATTGAAAGCATGATAAATAATCAAATCTATAATCCATGCAATTGATCCACTGATCATTTCAACAATAGTGAATCCTACAGCATTAGTAGTCATGATAGTTCCTGTTGTACAGCCATTATATACACAAGTAATCGGGATATAAATCAAAAATAAAAGAATAATCGTCAAAGAATGAAAAGTCAACAAAATTGAAGAACAAAAGCTTTCATGCAAAGAAGCAAATGAATGTTCAGGTAAGAAATTCGCAATTGGATAGAATCCGAAAAGAACAAGTAAAAATCCATATATTCCGTCAATTCCTGTAAATAACCAAGGAGAAACATCATTTTCATGTAAAATTTTTTGGATAATGATAGTTCTTATTGACATGATTAGCTGTGCAATTAACTGAAGAATGGTAGGAAGTAGCTTTGCTTTAAATTGGGAGCCTAAAAGAACTCCAATTGAAACGAATATAATTCCAAGTGTTACGATTCCGAGTGCAAACCATTGATATGCATAATGAATTGGAGTCATAAATATGTTCTGTATAATAATGACAAAAAGTAGATCGAAATATCTAATTGCAATTGAAATTGATCCCGTATTCTCTGAAATTGCAAATGAGTAGATTGCAGATATCAATATATCTAATAATGCTGGTAGAACAATCATTAAATAGATGTATAACGGAATGTGTGTAATTTTTGGATAATTTTTTGGATCTATCAAAGTTTGAATATAATAAACTAATGTACAAATGGAGATGCCAATAGTCATTACTAGTGTTCCTATCCACGGTCTATCAAAATTAATATATGGACAGCCACTTTTATATCTTGACTGTCTGGAGTAGAAGAGTGTTCGCATATAGTAACTTGCTAAGCTTCCCAACATCGAGCCTGTGATATACAAAATCCTTCTTGGCTTTCCGAAATCGACTTCTTTTTCCATTCAAAAAAACTTTTCATACAGTTAGATTCAAAATATTTAACCTGAGTAGGGGTAATTTTAGCTAAAAGTGACACACCTATAAAAAGTGACACGCCCGTGAAGGGTGTGATTACCGATTGGTAATTTCGACAGTTTAGAATTTAAAATTTTTTATGGAACTGTTGCGAGTTTCATAAAGAATTTAAGGAATATAAGCAAAGATTTGAATCAAAATCTTCGAACTAAGCCGCTCGCTTCGCTCGCGCAAATTACAGAATTTGGATGCAATACCCCTCAATTCATTGTTGAGAATGCCAAGTCTTTTCAAGATAAAATTATTACAGATTTCCACCGAGAGAGGGTCAAAGTTGCTATTTGTCACTTTTCCACAAGAATATAATGGGGAAAAAGTTATCATATAGTTGATCTCATTCACTGAGGTGAGAGATGCATGTAGTGTAATTTGATAAACAGTGGGATTGCTGCTCTAAGTCCTAGGTTCGAGATACATTGGCTTCATTTTTCTCTTTTTTATTGACGTAAACTATTCAATTTTTGTGTTATCCATTCAAATTTCAGAATTTTTTTTGCAGATTTCACGCTACATTCGAAGTTACCTTTTGTAACAACCACCACCGCCTACGAAAGACGAAAGTGTGTCACGATTTCACCCGGAAATCCGACGGTTGTTTAAGAGTAAGCACTTTTGGCACCTACTCGATTTCCACCTTCAAATTTATACAACATTATAAAAATTTATGAATAAAAACTTGATATAAAATAACATTTTTATTTTTACTTAAAAAAGGTTTTTGATAATAAATTTATTTTATTTCGAAAAAGTAGCAATAATCGTAAAAGGGTATTGATAGGCTTGCTAAAGTAACTAATTTTAGCTGTCAAATACTTTTGTATTTTGAAGTAAATTAGTATAAATTTGTTTTTACTTTTATTTCGAAAAAGTAGCAATAATCGTAAAAGGGTATTGATAGGCTTGCTAAAGTAACTAATTTTAGCTGTCAAATACTTTTGTATTTTGAAGTAAATTAGTATAAATTTGTTTTTACTTTTATTTCGAAAAAGTAACAATAATCGTAAAAGGGTATTGATAGGCTTGCTAAAGTAACTAATTTTAGCTGTCAAATACTTTTGTATTTTGAAGTAAATTAGTATAAATTTGATATTATTTTAACTCCCTTTGAAAACCTCAATTTTCCATACAGAGGGAACGGGAATAGCATCCAATATTCCCTGAGAATGGTTGCGCATTCTCAGTTCCCTCTATATTTCGAACGAAGCTCTCATCGGTCTTTTTTTTAATACTAAACGTTTTTTTCCCTGTCACTTTTAGCTAAAATTTGGGTTTGCCGAATCAATCGGATTTCTGAAAAATTCAGTAAAAAAAATTCAATGGGGTATTTCTATTTTGCCCTGGACACGATAGGAGAAAGGTAAGCTGGACAGTTTTCGGTTAAATGCATCTTCGAAATATGGATAGTGACCAAAAAATATGATTTATCAGAACCAAAATTTAAATTAACTTAACAATCAGCTGTGTAAATATCTCACATACATCTTCAGCTCATTTTCTGTTTTAGCTGCATAATTTGATGCAAAAAAAAGATAAAAATGAAAAAAAAATAATATGAAAAAGTTGAAGAAAGACAAAATAGAGCTAAATAACTTGAGCTAATTTTCATATTAGGCAGCAATATAGGCAATAGATAGTTGGAAAGAAGTAGCACATTCAATGAGGGATTAATACCAATTTTTGGAATAGGAAAGTGATAAGCAAGAAGTCAACAAGGAAGATATAATAAGAAAAATCATATTTTAAACACAATACATAACACAAAAAATGAATCCTAAAAAATTATTCATGCCCATGGCGGAATAACATACTTATATTGTCCTCGTGGCGCTGCGTTGACATTTGATTGTTTTGGTGGATAAGCCCGAGGAGGTATTTTGTTTGCGAAGCAATATCTCGGGGATGGTCTTGGAGCATAGTAGTTTGCTGGTGGCCATCTGGCTTCTGCTGGAGGTTGTGGCTTGTAAATCTTATTATGGATTGGTTGTTTTTGTGGATTTACATTTTCATCATTTTGTCTGTGAATTATATGCCTTGGAACTGGTTTAGGCTTTGGTTGGATGATTATTGGTACCTTTGGCTGTTGTATAATTGGTGGAACACTAGGAGATCTCTGTGATAAAGGTTTGCTCTCACGTCTATCAGATTCAATTTCATCACTGATTTTGAGCTTCTTTGGTGACCACCAATCATGATCAGCAACCATCATTAATTCTCTTGTGGATATTAAATCAGCGTCTTTTTCTGTTGCTGGACCTCCTTTGACATGTAATCTTTCTGCCATAGGTCTGACCAAATCCTTATCATCTTCATAGTTTGGGGCTGGGAATGCACACTGATTGATCTTTCTTGGAACTTTGATTGTTGGTAAAATATCAAAATCATCATGAGAATGTAAAAGTTGCTGTTCTTCTGGGAGCAAAGAAGCAATCAAGTGCATTCTATTCTTAATGCATGGCATATTCATAAGTTCCTCAGAACTTGGTCTGTTATCAGGATTTGTTTGAAGTAATAAGTTGACAATATTCTGAATCTCAGATGAATAACCGTTTCTAATTGGGCCAATTCTACCAGCAAGAATACGGCGGCCTAACTCCTCTGTTGAATTTGCAATGAATGGGAAGGAAAAGTTGAGCATTTCATAGAGAACTACTCCAAGAGACCACATGTCACACTTGGCATCGTATGGGCGACGACGCCAGATTTCAGGTGCAAGATACAATGGTGTACCTATCTGAGTTTTAGCGAATTGATGAGAGTGGAGGATTGTACTAATTCCCAAGTCACCAATTTTAACTAAATCTGGTGCGCAAAGAAGTAAGTTAGCACTCTTGATATCTCTATGAACAACTCCTTTCTCATGGAGAACTCTGAGACCTTCTGTAACTTGAATCAGGAATCTCCAAATATCATCTTCAAGGAGTGGTCTATTTGTCCTTTTCCTTCTATCAATGAGTTTGGAAAGATCTCCTAAGCGTGCGTATTCCGTAATAACGCATAAACGTGTTTGTAATGCAAATGCTTCATAGAAACTTATAATGAATGGTGAGTTAAATGATGCCATCAATCTGATTTCGTTGACTGAATCTTCTAATTCTCTTTTGCACATTCCTGCTGTATTAACAATCTTAACAGCATATGATTGATCATTAGCTATTCGTTTCGCTTTGTAGACTGTACCGTATGAACCCTTTCCGAGAACCTTCTCTTGTAGAAAACCAGGAATATTCATTGGTGTACGTTTAAGAAATCTTTTATTCAATTTTTGAGAAGAATATTTTTCAACAGATTTTACAAATTATATTGAATTTGAAAATGGCAGATGTTCGATTGCAATACAGAATTTTCGGTTTTCAAGAAATTTTATAGGAAATTGTGCTCAAATAGGAAGAGTAATATAAACTAGAACTCTGGAAGCCAAAATCAAAAATAATACTTTATATAATTATTCAATCAAGTGCATCCAAAGTTCAATCTTTGATTTTTTTTGAAAATTGATCTCATATCTGCAAAGATATGATTTGAGTTTGAATTATATCTGTTTTTAAAGATATAGATTAGTGATATATTACGTCCATAATTCTGTATTATTGTTTCTTTTTGAAGAGATTTTGAGATTTCAAAAAAATGAAGACCAAAATAGCTATTAATGAATATAACAAGTATAAAACGCACACTTTATTTCTTAGAAGATCCACTAAGGAATCTAGTTACAGAGATAATGAAAGAAAAGAATAAAAGCCAGAGAAGAAGCGCCTTGTTGTTAGTGAATTCTTCATATCCTGTGTATTGGAAGAAATCCTCAGCGCTTGGAAGTACTTTTTCTTCTTCAGATAAATTAATATTTTCTTCAACTGGTTGAACAATAGAAATCACGTTCATAGATTTGAGTTTAACATCAATTGAATCATTGGATGTCTCCGGATCAGGAATCTTAAACTTTGGAATGCATTTCGGAACAATTTTTAGATTTCTAACTTTGTTTCCTGACTTTGTTGACTCTTCGTCAGCACCTATTGATTGTAGTGATGGCGAAATTGTCAATCCTGGGTTTGACATCTTAAACAAACTCTCTTCTGTCGAACTTATCGAATCAAACTCGTTTTCTGCCAATTTATGAATGGGAGCAACAACAGCAATCTCTTCCTCGTTGTTTGGTAACTGGTCTGTTTTGGATGGATCGTTGATTTTGATGTCAAATTCGGTACTTTTCGATTCTGGAATCACAAAGTCGGCGAATTTGCATGTAATGATATCATCGATCGCGGTTTTGATGATCTTGGCGCGTTTGGTCTTCATGGCCCACTTAACTTTCGAGTCAAACTCGACAATTAAATTTTCGCCATCATAATACGTTTTTCTGAGGTAAGTAGTGAGTTCTTCATCGACAATATTGGTGGACAAGTCTTTGGTAATGTAAACGCGCTGTTGGGATATGTAAATATACCTTCTTTGGTAAAATAATCCTCCGACCACTTTAAACTTGACTTTTTCCATGAAACCGGCCTGGCAACCGTCACTGATAATTGTATTGAAGTAGTATTGCTTGGCTGTCTTAGGATCTGTAACTTTGTTTTTCCTGATATGAAAAATTGTTCGTTCTATCAATTCGCTTTCGGAAGAATTCTTGACTTCTACTGGTACGCAACGCGATATATTCTGGCGAACGTATGTTTCTGTAATTTGAGGTATTTTTTCTGATAAAAATTGAAATGCGGCGATTTTACCCCAAGCATCGAGAGAATAAGCCGAAATTGACATTTTGTTTGCAAGTCTGAAGTTTTCTAAGTAATTTGCGATTGTTGTTTCAGGATAATTCCAAATATCTATTGGAGGAATTTTTTGAACGATAAATAATGTATCATGGAACCAGCCTTGAACGCATAATGGAAGGGAGTATGAAAGCATCTTGTAAACAATGTTTTTCTTGCCTTCGCGTTGATACTGGTAGCCCATTAAATAAACTAGAGGAATGTCATTAAGAACGTCGAACATAATGTGGAATACTGGCTTCAAAACATCTATTTGCTTTTGAGAATATGTTTCGCATTGCTTGAAACCGCATAAAACAAAGCGAGGCATGGCTTTCAAATTAATTTCGCCTTTTGCACTAATTGAGCCGATAGTTTTAGTATCTTCGAGAACGTCAAAGTTTCCATTTGCTTGTTGCTCTATTATAATAATGTCTCCGTAATGAAAAACGTCAATTTTGTTTTTAAGTCCTTCTTTTAACTTTCCAATTGTAGATTTCTCTGGTAAATTCATACTGGCAAAGAGAATTTTGGCATTGGACATAAAGCTTACATTGACGGCTTTCATTTTTAAAATTGGATTAAATTTTTAGAAAAAGTGACGTTTCCGATGTCAAATTGTAAACTATTCAATATTAAGAGCACATTAAAAAAACAGAAGATAACAATACTTAAGAGCTTCGGATGAATCTGGCAAATTACATTACTCGAAACAGATCAGAGGACTCTTTATTGTCTAAATAATAATGAATAACTAAAATATATAACTCTAATATACGTGTTAACCATTCCAAGATATGAATATACTTGCCTTATTTCTATGAATGTTATATTTAAAGTATTGCATAGTAGTAAGTTCTTTGGATGAAGAAAGCTAAAGATATTGCCTTATAAGGAATGCAAGAATGGTGTGTTACTATGCAATAGCTTGTAAATCTTTATTTTTTGTATAAACATTTTGTTCTTTATGTAAGACAATATGAATTCAATTACATCGGCATGAGAATTGAAATTATGAATCCGATTAGTGATGAACATGATTTGACTTTCCAATGCAAGTATGAATTTGAGGGAAAATTTAAATAGATTGCAATTATTGATTTTGATGACAGATTTGTTGTATGAAAAAAATCTTTTCAGATCCCAATTCGTGTGTTTTCAATATTATTAGATAGTTGTTTATGTCAATGTTACAATATCACTTTCCAACTCCTTCAATTTTGTATAAAAAAATGACGCGTTCTCCAACTTTGATTCTCTCGCACTTAATTAAAACTAAAATCCTAGAAGATAATGGTGCGGATGAAGTCCTAACATTGCTTGAGCATGATGCTGCATCTTCCATCGCTGTAACAACTGTTTCTTCTTTCTCTACCGATGGAAGTTTCCCAAGACTTGACTCAGAATTCAAAATAAACTGGATGATGCAAGCTATAGCGTATTGCTTTTCATTATCAACGCTATATCAAGATGCTATTTCAACAGCTTTAGATATCTTTCATCGCTGGTTGACTAGCTCTAACTTTTTCAAGGATAAAGAAACACACAACAAGTATGCTCAACAAATCTTTCGTTACATGTCATTAGTTGTTGATTTTCAAAATGATAATTTATATCCAGGTGCAAGACAGAAACTGATTGAAAAATTGCAGCGTGTTTTACGTGATTGCATTACAAAATCGAGTTATTTCGACGAACAAACATGGGATACTTTAATTCGTGTCCTAATTGGCTGTTCTGACTTCCTAACAACAGAATACATTGTTCAAACACTGTCAGATACTATAAGAATTCCTCTTCTCGAGAAATTCTTGGAATTGACATTTTTAACAATTTCTTTTTCGAAATTGACAACAGAAACAGTTTGGGAACTAATCAGGAAGTATATCTCAAAGTGGGCCTTTATTGAACAGTTTATGCATAAATGGAGCCTCGCAATCCAAAACGAATACGAAATAATTCTGACAACTTTATTTAACGATAAACTACAGAAGAACGAGAACATTGATAGGAATATAATATCCGGTGCTGCTTTCCGTATCTCCCAGTACACAAATTCCGTCAATCCTGATGAAATTTCCAAAGAAATTCCGTTATTTACCATTTTCTCTCTTATGTTTGAAAAACTGATGAAGATCAGTCAGAACTTTGTTGAAAAGTGCAAAGACCTTTATATTCCTCGTTTTCCGGCAGATTTGTATTTTTCATTATTTGGCAAAAACATTTTTGAGCCATTTGCCAAGTACGATCCTGTTCTCCTTAAAATCCACTCATCCATTCTTATGTTCATTTGCGGTTCCTGGGACCTTTCCAACTCAAAATGGGAACCATACGTTTTGACAATGGTTTTGAAGTCAATTAAAGAGCAGATGAAGTTCATAACGGTTATGACAGGCTACCAGTTACTGTCAGGATACATGAATGACCAAATTGTCGATTCATTTTTGAATATGTTAGTTGCACCAAATCCAGTCTTCTATACAGATGAAATTTATTACTACAACTATGCAATTATTATACAGCAGTTGTCAGAAGTACGCTTAATTGATCAATCAATTTTCAGAAATATTATTTCTGGAACGGAAGAAGCCAGAACGATGTCTCTTGTATTTAGCATTGTTTCTAAGCAAGATCCATCTCTTTTCGTTGAAGAATTGGCTAAAGTTATTAACAAATATTCTTCATCTTCTTTTGTTGAGAATATCATACTTAATGTCAACTTAATTGTTGCAGCTTCCATTCCATTTAATGATATTTCACTCAAACCATACATGGACATTGTTCTTCCTGTGATTTCTGAAAGAGGATATTCAAATTCTGCTCTTCTTATGTCATTTTTAGTTCTTGTTGCACAGATATCACTGATTGGCAACCAAGTTCTCAAATCTGATTTTACTGAGCAGTTTGTTCAATTCGCTGACCAAAATCAAAATTCTGGTGTTAGCCGCTACATCAATTATACTGTTGGAATGCTTTGTGCGCTTCCTCTTGATACATCCCTTCTTAACAATACCTCGTTTATCCGTGCCGTTCCTCCAAAAGTAGATGACAGATTATTATTAAAGCCTGTGTTCTCAGTTCTTGTCGGAGATGATCATTTGATCTTTCTTGCAGGCGATAAGACCCGTAAATCGTCATTTATTGTTCACATTAGAGAACCAAGGGGTTCATTTGCCTTCGAATTAACAGATGAACCAGCCCCGAACAATTTATCAGAGATACCAAAGCCATCTGATCTTCATCTACCTCCTTCCACCGCTGTCAATCCTGTTGAATCAGATCCATGCAGAATTGAAGGGGCAGAAGACAGAATGATGAAGGTCCATGCAACAGATAAAAGCTATTCAGAGCCAAATACCAAGAAATACCAGCATATTTCCATTCGTTCTGAACAAAAAGACGATGAAGAAGGAAAATTAGTCATGTTACGCCACAAATTCATTGATTTCCTGTTCCAAACTGGTCTCCAGAACAATATTTACAAGGTAGATGATGAATTATCTGTCATTAAACAGTTCGATGTGATCGAATCTGTTCCTATCATTCCAATCAAGCTTATCCACTTATCCCATGAGAAAATTGATGACGAAACACCTTCATATTCACGTTTCAAACAGAGTTTGGGATCATTATTCATTAATAATAATCTTATTTCGGAGAATGGCGGATCATTACAGAGCAGAGTTGCTGATATGGGTGTTTGCAGGCTTAATTTCGATGCCAGAAACACTGAATCAGAAATAGCCGTCATTTTCTCAGAATCATCAATGAATTTGAACACGAAATCGCCAGATTTCCCTCACCACAAGCTCACAATCATCGTAGAGCAACATTCAGCAGATGGATACAGGATCAGCGTTCTTTCTACGAGGAAAGCTTTCGTTTGGACAGAACCTGAATTCAGATTCATCAAATCAGCGAATATTGGAAAGGAAATTGCATCAATTGCGTTCATCTACTTCATGACTGTTAAACCAGAGTCTGTTTTCAAATCAATAGAAATGAGGAACGAATTCTTCCAGAAATTGAACAAAACAGCTCTGAATCCTTTCGAAATTGCAAATAGTCTTCCACCTGATAATTTCAAACCAATTTTGGTTTGATATTAAAATTTTTTTTATCGGAATTTTGTTAGAATAAAAATATATATATTGTATTTTATCTCTCTTTTTCATGATGTCAGTATCAATATAAAAGTTTATAATGGGATCAATAGCACTTCTTATAACCACAAACTGTTCTATCAAAGATTATTTCACGTTGTCGAGATTTCGCAATTAAAAATCTTCAAGTTATTGTCATCCTTACAACGAGCTTTTAGTATTTAGATTGTATTAGGATCTGAGTCACCATCTAAATACTAAATAGAGTTCAACAGCAAATGTATTTCCAAACGTATCTCAATTTTTATGGTTTGATAAACTATTGAAATCAAATATTGTCGAGTCTCATATATAGTAAATATTTTAAAACTAACCATTCATGTTATATTCGAATTAATTAAATAATTCCTCGTCATCATACACTGAACATCTACCCAGTGAAACTACAAATGGGTAATAATTTTTACATAATTTTTTTTTCAACGTTCAAAAATATACATGTAACATATTTACTGACTAGTGGATTTGATGTTAATACTAAGATTTCTTAGGAAATATCATTTAGTCTTATGTTTCTCTAAAATTTCGTGAGAAAATAATTGAACTTTTTATTATCGGTCACTTATTATCATCAGTTCTATTAAGAAAATAATGTTCTTTTTTACTGATTGACTTGAAATCAAAAGAATATGAAATTATAATTTAAATTGTCTCTACCAACTGCATACTGAAGTGCAGTAGATCTGACTTTGTCTCTTGAATTTATTTTAAAGTAGATATATTTAATGCTACAACAAATGAAGATTTAAAATGTTTTTATGTATAAATAAAGAAAAACAATATTTATCTACGAAGAGTGCTATTTTGAGAAAATATATTATGATAATCAAACTTTGTAGAATTGTTATTGCTTAATAAAGGAATATTATTTACACGAAATATCAAATATCGATGATCAAAGTCAATACTTATCATTTTATATCTATTCATATACATTATTCAATATATGAATAGGTAAATATTGAAGTATTAATGGAAATTTGATCTAATGATCGAGAAAATTATGAGACAATATATAGATACCACTGGGTTATTAATGTCCTCTATGGATAAACATTAATCGTTAATCATTGAAACAAGTTTAGCTGAGAAATAATTGTTAGTGTTGATTTACTTCTTATATTTACCATAAAATTTCATACATAGCCTGTTTTTGTAGATTATGTATTTGAGTATGTTGAGGTATTGATAATTCCTTTTTCGAGTGTAATAGTTGTGAACTCATTTTGGAATGATTATTGAATACTGTTTCCAAAATGAAAAGGTATAAGCAGAGCAATCATCATTATTTCATAGAAATAAAAATTCATATATGTATTTCAGTTAAATGATATTATTGATATAAAAGTAAATTGAAAATAAATTTTTTAAAATAGTCCAAAATACAGAATAACAGTGAATGCATAGAGAAGTGATGGTGTGATTTCTGCGTTGATAACTCTGCATTGACATGTAAGGAAGTCACATGAGTATATAGCTTTAGGGTTGAGAAGACATTCTGATATGATTTTACGAATGAATGACATTGTTCGATTCTCGATGATGACACCACATCGGAGATGATCACACCCGAAGAAGAGAGAACTCTCGACGTTAGTGACACACTTAGGGATGTTGATAGTGGTCAGTGAAGAACAGTTCGCAAACGCATATTGTTTGATGTTCGTAACAGAGTCGTCTGGGATAGAGATGCTGATGAGATTTCTGCATCCCATGAATGCGCCTAAAGATATAGTACGAAGTGTCTGTGGGAGATTGAAGAACTTTATCTTTGAAGCTGGTGGGAAGCAGAAGAGGATTGTCTTTGACTTGTTGTAAAGAGCGCCGACATCAGCTGTGAAGTAGTCACTTCGTGGACACTCGATGACTGAGAGAGATGAACATCCTTCGAAGAACAAATTTCCAATGCTTTGAAGAGAGCAGTCTTCAGGAATTGTTAACTTGGCGAGATTTTTGCACCCTTTGAAGACGTAGTCTGACATGTACTCTGTTTGATTTGGAACTGTGAATGTTGTGATGTTAGTGTTCTCGAAGCAATTAGATCCAATCTCTTTGACATATGGAGGAAGTGTGATGTATGAAAGATTAACACATTTGCTGAAGCAGCCCATGCCAATAGATTTAAGTTTACTGTCAGCAGGGAATGTGATATTCGTTATTCCTGTGTTGTAAAAGGCAGACCTATCAACATTCTCTAATGAAGATGGGAAAACAACTTCTCTCAATGACAAACAATTTAAGAAACTTGAATCTTGAATCAATGTAACATTGTTTGAGAAAATAATATTTTTGAGATTCTTACAATCAGAAAAAGCATATTCTTTGATTGTTGCGTTTTCGCATTCAGAAAATTCAATTGTTTCAATACTTGTGCAGCCGTAAAAAGCATGAGTATATATTGTTTTCAGATTATTCCCGAATTTAATTGTTTTGAGTGATGTACACCCAATAAAAGCACGCATGTTGATTACTTCAAGAGAATTTGTCAAATTCTTGTAGTTAGAAAATGCTGAGCCACTTATAGTTTTAAGCTTCGATTAGCCATCAAAAATAATAGTTTTTAGATTATTATTGTCACTAAATACATTGTCATGAATCAATACAACATCTTCTGGAATTGTGTATGATTCTTTTTCACTCAAACATAATGACAGAACTGTTCTTGAATTAAATATGAGATTTTGATCATCTCGGATGAATGGAGATCCTTCTTCAAAGGTAATATTTGTATGCGAAGAGAAACATCCGCCCCCGAGACTTGTTACTGATCTTGGGATTGTTACATCAATCAAATTATAACAATATGCAAAAGCTTTAAGGCCAATACTTCTCAATGTATTCGGAAATACAATACTAGATATATTTGCTTCCATAAAACATAATGAGCTAATACTAGTGACTCCATTCTCTATAGTAATTTCATTTAAGCTTTTGCAGCTTTGAAATTGTCCAAAGCCATTTAAATTAATGGAAGATGGAAGATTTAATGACTTTAATTGGGTGCCAATAAATGCGTATGTTTCGATTGTTTTCACGTTTGGTGTGAATGTAATGGATTCGATAAAAGATAATCCAAATGAATAATATCCTATATTTTCTATAAAGTTTGGAGTTGTAAATGATTTGGAGTAATTTATTGGAAAGAAAACTAAAGATTTTTTATCTTTCGTATATAAAATGCCGTTAACTGATGTAAAAAATTCACTTTCTTCATCGCATTCAATTGTCTTAAGTGGTTCTGGGGATTCTAGGTTTGCATTCATCACCGAAACATATTTTGGAATAAAAAGAGTTTTAAGAATTGTTCCTTTAAAGCAGCCGGTATCCATTGTTTGAAGTTCAGAATCTGATGTAATGAAAACATTCTCAAGTTTGGAACAATAAATAAAACAATGTTTTGACAATACTTGGACTGAAGATGGTAAAGATATATTTACTAGTGAACGGCAACTATAGAATGCATATGTATTGATTGTTCTAAGAAATTGACAATTTGAAAAATCGATCGAATTGAGTTCTGTGCATTGATAAAATGCACAATCACTGATTGTATTAAGTTTGGAATTCGCTTGAAATGTAACAGATTTGAGAGTGCGTCTGCTACCTTCGAATGCATGATTCCCGCAATACGATGGACCAAGTTGTCCAAAAATAACCTCGCACCCAGATTTGATCTCAATATTTGTAACACCATTAGTAGAATACAATATTCGATCATTGTCCTGATAATTTTCTTCAATTTGTATTTATTGGTGCATTTTCGGAAAAAAATTGAGAGAAATAAGGTTACTTTTCGGATCCGCCAAAATACAATTCATAAAAAGTACAGTCATACTAGATATGCTTTATAACATCTAATTGGCCTAGATATTATTTTGATATAAGATTCATTTTTCTATATAATACTGATATACCTCTTGTAATAGATATTTAGACACTGGTATTTAAGAGATATTTGTAGATGATTAGTGGTCATAATATAAAAATAAATTTTATATCAATTCAAGACTTGAAAATTAAAGGCTTAACAATTTCCTGATTATCCAGAACAGTTAAAAAAAATTTAAATTTGTTGACATTTAATTAACTATTGGATGTTGAAAGATTTTGCATGAATTAATTACCAACTTATAATATCTCGAACTAACAAAAATTGTTCATTGAAAAAGATAAACTTGGTCCAACACCTCTTCATTGTGCATTCAAATAAAAAATTTTAGATGCGTCTGATTTCATACTTCGAAGGGAGAAAACATCTTTGAAGTAGTCAAATGGATATTATGTTTTTAGATTGAATCAAAATTTGAACTTCATAAAAATTTTTGCATATGAACTTAAGGAAAATCTTATCATTTCCTATATAATGAAAAATAGATATAATTTTACAGCAGAATTTTAGTGATCAAAAATTATTTCACCAAAATTTTTCCGAGTTTCGACAAAATTTTAACTAATTTATATTTAACAGAAAACTTCTATTCCGATGCACTACTAATTTTTCAAAAATTTTAATATAAAAATCTGACCAATCAATTGTTGTCACTTTTTCTAATTTATAAATGAGTAATTCATACCAAGCCGTTGTCATGATGATTGATAACTCAATCACCTCCATTAACGGCGATTTTTATCCAAATCGTCTTGCTGCGCAAACTCTTGCCGCTGATCGACTTCTTGCCAGCTATCACAAGAACTCTGCTAAAAATCAGTTTGCTGTTGCAACAATTGGCTCGGGAAACTTCGGTATTCAATTATCACTGTGCAAAGACATGATCAAAGTCAGCCACGCTTTAGATGCAATCACAATTGGTGGAGAAATTCGTTTTGAAAACGCTATTCGCTGTGGATTCTTAGCTCTTCGTCACCGTGATCAAGAAGTCTCTATCAAAAGGATCGTAATCTTCGTTGGTTCCCATCATGATTTTACACAAGAAAGAATCGAAGCTCTTGTACGTGATACTAACAAGGAAGCCGTTGGTGTTGATATTATAGCCTTTGGTGATGATGTTAACTCACCAGAAATCTTAGAAAGTTATATTAAGCAATTAACTCAACCATCTCACTTTATCCGTCTTCAAGTCAGCAAGACAATTCTCTCTGACTTAGTTTTACTCTCTCCAATCGGCCCGGGAGATGCTGGCGATCCAAATATTGTTGATGATGACATTCAACAAGCCATCAACGCTTCTCTTCAAGAATATGCCGATGAAGATGAAGAATTCCGTAGAGTCCTCGAAGAATCTAGGCATGAAACAGAAAATCAAAATTATCTCAACTCAGTTCGTCAATACATCAACGAAAACAACACAGCAGATGGCGGCGCTGATGAGGAGATGGATCCCGAGCTCCAGGCTACTCTTGCTGCTTCAAGAAACGAAGCACAACAAAATTCGGAACCTAAGCCAGCAGTTCCAGTTCCAAAGGCTCCAGATATGGGCGAAGATGATCTGAATGACCCAGAATTACAGAGAGCATTGAGAGAATCATTACAGGAGGCAGAAATGAACGATCCTGAATTACAAGCAATTCTAAAGGCTTCTATGCAAGATGCTCCAAAGGAAAATAATGATGATATTGATATGGATGATCCTGAATTAAAGGCAGCTCTTGAAGCTTCTCGCGAACTTCCAGAAAATAATAATGACAAGATTCAACAGGAATTAGAGGATCCAGATACATTAAATAGCATTTTGTCTGGCCTCCCTGGTGTTGATCCAAATAGCGACCTCTTCAAGAAGGATAAGAAGAAAGATGACGAAAAAGATAAGGACAAGAAGTAAATAAATGCTTTTATTGATATTGATTTTATATGAATTTTTTAATTATTTCCCTTTTTATACCATTAATAAAAAAAATTCAAAATATATTTTCAATTATCATTTAAAATTGGGTAATTTTTAAGCTAAAATTTCAATTTCAGAAGGAAATTGCATGATATTGTATTGTAACCTTTTCTATTTTCAATATGAAACTTTATTCATACTATTTTAACTTGTATTAACTTATGTAAAAGGAATGTGACTCAAGTCAAACTTGCTTAAACCGAATTTGCAGTTTATATTGATTAGTGATCTCAAATCAGAGAAATATCGTTTACAAGAAAGCCGAAAAGGCAGAGTGTGAAGTGTACATTTATGACTTCATAGTAGATATATAACAGCAATTTTCGAAAAATTAAAAATTTTCAAAATATTTTAAAATTTCTTACGCTATTATATATTGTGGAAATAAGGAAATGCTTTTTCATTAAATTTTAAGAATTATACTATTATCACTAAGATAAAATTGTTGAATAAAATTTGATGTTTCTAAATTTATTCATTTGAGTGTCCAAGACCATAATAACATTGATTTTCTTGTGGAATAATTCATGAATATTTCATAATAACGTTCCATATAGCAACTTTTTTCGGGTGGATTTTGTTTGACAATGCAACATACGTTAAATACTCAAACGAACACACCGTGTGCAATATATTACAAGTTCCTAAAATAATTCATCATATACATTTGCCGATAAACAATTTACTGCGTTCTTTTCAAATTTCTAAACGTCTATTCTCTCAATTTTTCTTACATTTATTTCGAGAAATCATAATTCTCCTGTCACTATGATAGAGAATCAGTCGGTAGATTTCTTAAATAGTACAAATGCAAGCTTTTCTGAAGCTTCAAATCTTACTTCGTCGTTTATTGCATGTGGAGAAGATCAACCATTGTTCGTTTTTCAGCAAGAAAGCCAAAATCCTAATCACGAACAACGTTTCAAGAACAAAGAATGTCCTATCGGTGATCCCAGGAATATTTTAGATGTTACGCAGTACCAACACATCATTTACCGATCTTTATGCCAAAATGAGCTTGAAATCAAAAGAAACTTCTTTATTCAAGATGAAATAAACTTCTTGGATAGAGGAGTTGCATTTGATTCAATGTCCCATGTACATTATAGGTTAAACATGGGAACTAACGGATTATACATTGCTTTTGGAATCATGGACAAGTATATGACTACACACCAATTACCACGCAGCAAACTGAAACTTTATTGCAATGCTGCTGTTTTCATTGGTTCGAAAGTTGAAGATTACAGACCGCCACGTGTGAGAGACTTAATAAGAATGGCCGATCACTGTTTTGGTGGTAATACTTTCTCTTCCAGAGAACTTTATGAAGCTGAACATGACTTATTAGCCACAATTGGTTTCAATATCACATTTGGCACTCCATTGCTCTATATGACTCAATTAATGAGAATATCTGGTCATAATACTGAGAATATTCTCATTGCCAGATACATTTTAGAAATTATGCAGACTAATATTAATTTTGTTGGATTACCATATTCAATGCATGCCGCAGTCGCTGTTATGGTAGCAAGAATTTTCGAAGGAAAGAGTCGCTAGACACCAGAGCTTGCAGGGTACACAAACTACTCCGAGAATGAGTAGGGGTAATTTTAGCTAAAAGTGACACACCTGTAAAAAGTGGCACACTCGTGAAGGGTGTGATTACCGATCGGTAATTTCGACAGTTTAGAATTTAAAATTTTTTATGGAACTGTTGCGAGTTTCATAAAGAATTTAAGGAATATAAGCAAAGATTTGAATCAAAATCTTCGAACTAAGCCGATCGCTTCGCTCGCGGCTTTCTTTATTATTTTAAATTTGCATATTTCCATCAAAAGTTCATAAGGTAAAAAATTTCGTTTATATTATTGCAAAATAAAATCTTCATTATCAAAATAATATTAAATGATAATATAATATAATTTATAAACAACTATTATTTAATAGAGTTTAATTGCCAAGGTTCATCTAATTTTTTGATTTTTAATGTTTTATGAATTTTATTTATCATGTATATATCTAATGAAGATTATATATGTAGAAGATAAGTACCTTAATATGTACGTAAAAATTAATGAAATTTATTTTGAATGTAGAACCGAGCAATTTTCAAATTTTGTGCTTTTTTTGAATTTTCTCGATACCAGATAAGTTGTGTTGGCTAAATAATATATGGATACAATGTGTCTTATAGATGAATATATGCACAAAGTTTAAGAGGCCATTTTCTTTCAGAAACCGAGATTTGTGAATTTTTTCAAATTTTGTGCTTTTTTTGATATTGAAATTTCATTTCATTTTTTTGATGCATATCGATGCACCATGCGAACTTAAAGAAAGGCTATCTTATATAGATGCTATGAAAGCTGTCATTGATAACGAATGCCATGCAGGTTGTCCATATCAATTAAAAAAAAATCCAAATTTAGGGGGGAACAAAATTAAAATTCAGGTGCAGTGCAGATAAATGTGAAGCATGTATCTCATTTCTAAAGGATGATGAAGAATATATCCTAACAGAATATAATGGAACACATAATCACAATCAAATCAAAGATGAGACAAAGAAATACCACACATTATCACAATGCTATCGTCGGGTACTTATTAATTTTATAAAACAGGGGGGTGATCCGAAAATGGCTCAAATTGAATGCGACAAAAAACTTGATCTGGATGATCCACTTAACAGGCCATCTTTTTTGAATGCATCTTCAGATCAAATGAAAACAATTCAGGAAAAAGGAAATAAAAAGATCAAAGGTATTCAAAAGTACGATGATAATCAATTCAAGTCAACTCAATTATTTAAGGGTATCAAAGAACAAGAGTCACCAAAAGATTTAATTTATTTCGATGTCGATAATTACAACAAACCAAAGAAATTAATCTTTTATTATGCTTCTTTCAAATTTCTGGACATAATCAAAATTGTGAAAGAGCATTTTATTGATGCAACCCATTCATTACTTGAATTTAAAATGTTGTTTTACATGATATCAGCCAAATTTCCAAATACACATGCATTCCCAATTTTTCAATTTGTCGTTTATCCAAACACTTCAGAAAATATTGCATTCTGTCTCAAGGCATTTTTTAACTGGGCAAAAGTAAAACCAAAATATTTTATGTCAGATTGTGCACAAGAAATCGAAAATGCGATTATCAACTCTTTTCCAGAAGTTATCCTTCATTGGTGTGCAGTTCATGTAATGAGGGCGTTCAGAAAAAATTTGAAAGATTATGCATTTGAGAGTTCAGACAAATTGATATTAGATACAAAAATGAACTATCTTGCATACGGCAGAAATGGCAAGAAAGAAATGGATTGAACCAACGTTCAAAAAAATTCTGGAAATAGCCGAAAAATTCCCAGAATTTTCAAAATACATACAAAATCAATGGATATCAAACCAAGAAAGATGGACAGCCGCTGAAAGAGATGAAAATTTAGCTCTCACAAATAACATTTCAGAATCGATTAACAAAAAAATTAAATATTACTACTTTGGCGGAACAATTTTCATGAGATTTGATCGATTTGTGATGAAATTAATCGATTTTATCGTTCCTTCATTTTATTACAGAATTTCTCAAGATATAAGGCTCAGAGACAAAATTCCAAATCCGTTGCCATCTGAAAAAAAGCCAAAAAAGTCTACAATCAGACTGGATACAGAAAAATGTATAATGCTCACTGATAAAATTAAATCGTTAATAGTTAACTCATCAGCAAACTTAAATACGCTTCAATTGGGTTTAGATGACCTACTTGATAAAGTTGTCAAGGCAGCAAAGGTTCAAAAACGAATGACCCAGTATTTTTCGAAATTAAGTATCCCAATGGAAATCAAGCTTAGTATTCTCACGCAAATTACAGAATTTGGATGCAATACCCCTCAATTCATTGTTGAGAATGCCAAGTCTTTTCAAGATAAAATTATTACAGATTTCCACCTTCAAATTTATACAACATTATAAAAATTTATGAATAAAAACTTGATATAAAATAACATTTTTATTTTTACTAAGAAAAAAAGGTTTTTGATAATAAATTTATTTTATTTCGAAAAAGTAGCAATAATCGTAAAAGGGTATTGATAGGCTTGCTAAAGTAACTAATTTTAGCTGTCAAATACTTTTGTATTTTGAAGTAAATTAGTATAAATTTGTTTTTACTTTTATTTCGAAAAAGTAGCAATAATCGTAAAAGGGTATTGATAGGCTTGCTAAAGTAACTAATTTTAGCTGTCAAATACTTTTGTATTTTGAAGTAAATTAGTATAAATTTGTTTTTACTTTTATTTCGAAAAAGTAACAATAATCGTAAAAGGGTATTGATAGGCTTGCTAAAGTAACTAATTTTAGCTGTCAAATACTTTTGTATTTTGAAGTAAATTAGTATAAATTTGATATTATTTTAACTCCCTTTGAAAACCTCAATTTTCCATACAGAGGGAACGGGAATAGCATCCAATATTCCCTGAGAATGGTTGCGCATTCTCAGTTCCCTCTATATTTCGAACGAAGCTCTCATCGGTCTTTTTTTTTAATACTAAACGTTTTTTTTCCTGTCACTTTTAGCTAAAATTTGGGTTTGCCAAACCACAATGTGATATTGAAAATGAAATCACTAAAACTAAATAAAAAGGAACAACATAATAAATAGATTTGATAGCTCGTATAAATCAAATGTGTATAAGTGTTCGTATCAAATTACGTATAAATATGGTCTGAAATGCAAGAAAAGAGTTCATGACGATTATTTTCCTCATAAATGTTTTGGATTTTGCCTATAGTATCAAGCATTTGGCTTGGATATGAGCTGATCCCATTTCTCAAAGTCAGAGACCTTAATATAATGATGAGAATATTCAGTGGATGGCTTTTAGGCGTTCAAATCACAGCAATGGCATTATACGTTATTAATTTCATTATTCCGTTTAATTTTGTTATTGTTCTTATAATTTCTGGTGGAGAAATCGCTGGATCTTTAGTTCTTCATAAAAAAGGCCAAAAATCTACATTATCATTTGAAAAAGCTCCCTGGTTTATTGCTTTTATTGCATTTGTTGCTGGTTGCTCATTCAAACACTTATCTGGTGTTTACAAATTGGCTCCAGAGCAATCTCCAACAGCATTAACCCCAATTATGGACAGAGAGTTATCTTTTATTCATTCAGTTCTCTATGGATTGAATAACCGTCGCAGAAATGTCTTATTTTATGCAGATCCAATGATTTCAGGCAAATATTACTACGGATATTCCTTACCACTCTTATATACAGCCTCCTTAATGTCCACAGGCTTATCATACAGCGGAGCATCAATCGTAATATGCTTTATTAACACAATGGCAACTGCTTTTTCAATATTTAATTTCGCAAAGAAATACACACGTTGGCCAGCCTTAGCCGCCTTCGTTTACATGTTTTCAGGCAGCTGGGCTGGCTTTTTATACTTCAAAGCCGCAAATCGACTCAATCCAAACAATGATTTAGTTCATCAGCTTTCCAAGTCACATACAACAGTTTGGTATCATTTATTCGGTTACTTACTCAGTCTCTCCAAAGCTACGTCGTTTACTATTGCTTATTCTCAGTATTCTATTTTCTGGATGCCATCCGACCTCAGCGCGATCTTTGCGGCATGTTGCCCGAGTGTTGCCAGTTCCGCTGCATTATTTGCAACCCTCTTTGGTATGCAGAATGAGAATAAAATGCTGATTGGCTGTACATTGACTTTAATCTTGCGAATCTTCCCATTTGATTGGACTTACAAGCCATTATTCAGAGAAGCCGAAATGCGCGGAACATTCTTCGCGCCAATAGTTATTTGGTGGGTCGGTTTAGGACCAATTTTCACCATAATCGCTGTTTTCTTTTGGGTTCTTCCGAAAAGTACGTTTAAATATTACTTTTTATCGACAGTTGGACCTTTCCTGCTGCTGAATTTCTTCAGGGAAGGTAATGACCACCTGCAGAACTCGCTTGCTATTGCTTGTACGTTGTATCCGCTTTCAATTGTCGCATTCGTCGAATTAATGAGGAGATTCATCAATTGGCCGGACGATGAAGAGAACAAAGGCATCGCAGCATTCTTCATGACATTTACAATCGCTTTCCTGTTGTTCGGAGGCTTTATTGTCTCAAGAAGATTAGAATTTCCAAGACAATACATGATTTCAGATGAAGACAAAGAAGCAATACAATGGCTTCGAAAAATACCAAAAGATTCAATCGTTTACGGTTCTCCTAAGCAAATGTCGCCGATTGCTGTCAGCGGTCGTCAGCAGTTCTTAGGAAACAAACACGAATTGTTCGCTCTTGGAGTTAATATCAAGAAGAGGCTGGAAGAAGTTTCTCAACTTTCAACTGAAGATATTAACGTTTGGAAGCAATTAAAGATTACACACGTACTTGCTGAACCAGTAAGTAGCATCGTGGCACCTGATGGTTGCGAAGAAATTTCAAGAAACGCAAAATACTCTTTGTGCAAAATTCCCCAGTAGTTAGATAGGAAATTGATCCTTTTTATTTGGTTGTTATCGATTAAAATATAATTGTTGTTAACTACATCTATTGCTTTTCATTTTTTCCCATTAATATCTTCATAAAATCACTTAAAACTATTAAGAAAGCAAAAATTCGACTGGAATTGTATTTCAACTGTCAATGTCACCAAGTTTTCATATGTTATTTTAGTATTCTTGTCTATTTAATAAAGAATATCTAAAACGTTTGAATTTTTATATTATTGTAAGTTAAATAGAATTGATATCATAAGGTTAATATAATACCATGTTATTGAAATTCCAAAAAAAATTCAAAATTTGATTTTTAATTTCATTTTCAATAAATTTTTTATTAAAATTTATATTTTCCAATTTTTTTGGAAAAAATTAAAACTATATAATTAATTTAAATTAAATTTTATAACTAATTCAACTTAAAACTTCTTGATATCTTAGTTTTGTCGAAATTATTTTTTTATTTTTCGCTTATAAACGTGTTAAATATTATCCATTCCATATTTTAGAAATTTTTACAGATTATTTTTAAGGTTCCATCTCATGGTAAGAAAAACGATTCATTCTCTCAGATTCTCACAACAATTAGCCACGATAAACCAATAGTCATCATATCCAATAAGTATGTGATTATAAGGTGATATATTGATAGATAAATAGACGTTTAGCGATCATTTTGGGTTCCTAACCTTGGTGTTCAGAAATGTTGATAAGCTACATCTATTCAACATGTAATGATATGACATTTCGTAATTAAATAAAGGTTATAAATTAAACGATTTTGAATTCATTTTGGTTTTTGTCCTTAGAATGTTTTCCAAAAAGATTAGACGCATTCAAGAAGCCAAAAAAGAAATTCCAAACAGCATTTAGTAGTAGCATAATTTGATATTTTTAACAAATGAAATCTAAAAAAAATAGAAAATTATATGTACATTAATGAGTAGCTGGAGGTCTAGCAGTCTTCGCTTTGATGAATAATGTCATGCGAACTCCATCATTTGCGCGAACGAAATCGAATTCGAAGGAAGTAGAGTCATCTACATCAAATTCAAGGACATTAGAGAATTTGATTTCCAATTCTCTATTTGTAATGGCTTTAAATCTGTCCATCAAGACCTTCATCAACTCGATTTTGAAAGAAGTCATGATAAGCTCTGAATTATATTCTGGTAGATGAATAACGACTGCATTATCTGTTTCCAAAGATGTCGAAATGGACTTAATATCGGAAATGGGAATTGGATTTGGAATAATGTAAGCGTTTAAGCGAGTATTGGTAATACATATGTGATTTGTTGTAACAATAAATCCACAATCTTCCATGTGGTTCCTGTTTGTCAAACGAGTGCAGTGATCAGCAAAATACAAATCTTCTGGTGGGCTGAAAGAAAAGAGAATTTGGTCAACTACATTATCTTCATGCATACCTAAATGATCGCCAATATAGTATTTACTTGCGGAAGACTCACGACGATGCTTTTTACCTTTGAAAAAAGCGTCTGCAGCCTGTTTTCTTGCAATTTCTTCTGGTGTTTGATCACCACCTGATGTGAGACGCTCTCTTCTCTTTGGAGCAAGGCTTGGCTGAAGAGGCTGGTCTGAAGGAGTAGACATTTATTTTTCTTATGAAATGATCACGTTTTTGAATTTCTTCACTTTTTCAAATTTCATATTGAAATTTTATCACAAATATTGTTCATTAATATTCTGGGATTCCGGAATTTCAGAATATAAAATCACCAAAAAGTGACAATCTATAGCAGTGAAATTTCCAGATAATTTAGCATCAAACGATCGGAAGTTTTTACTGTATTTAACATATTCAGTATTTGTAGGTTCAGTACTAATTATATCTATAATATATTCACTTTCTCTTCTATCTTTGATTGAAGAAAATCCATTAATAATTGAAAGTGCAAATCTATCATACGAAAAGAATATCTACATTGCCGTTATGTCCGGTGCATCATTAAAAGATAAAATTGATTTCACTTATTCGCAATGGTATGAAAAATTGCGTTATTCCAACTTTACGTCCGGAATGGGATTCTTCATTGACGGCAAAATGAAATCAATAAGTGGGGAAATACCATATCATTTTGTAAATGATCCCGATGATATATCTACCCATAAATTAATTTCAAAATTGTTCGCCGCGCTTAAATATTTTCTTGAACACTCCAATGCAGGTTGGTTTCTAAGAATATGCGAAGATACTGTAATCAATCTTGATACATTCCCATTATTTTTAAAAGAACTTAACGAAAATTTTAATCCATATCAAGATTTTGTTATTCAAGGTGCCTGCCTTGGAAAAATCAATACTACATATCTTCAAGGAGGCTCTGGCTTCGTATTTTCCAGAAGAGCAGCTTATCAAATTTATCAAGATTATTCTTGGTTCAGAATGATGACAAACATTAACAAAGCTGATGACAGACTTCTTGGCTACTACCTATCCAAAATTGGAGTACCTCCTGCAAACTTTACTTCGCGTTGGTTTCTTGGCCATTCTTTCTGGAAACAGGAGAGTGCTCTTAAAGCTGTCACTAATGTGTCTAACATTGAAAAGTGTACAGTGCCTGTTTCAAGGAAAGGATGCAGAAAATTCCTTACAAAAGTGAAAGATATCACTTTTTGGCATGATAGAGTGCCTTTTGATGAGTTTGTTCTTCAGCATGAGAAAATAAGAGCAGCTACACCCGATAATTTATACTTTTATGTTCCAATTAACAAACCTGTTTTATGTTTAGGTGATTCAACAACCGAAGCAAGATACTATGATTAATATTATATTATAAAACTTATAGAGTAAATGTTTGTTCTATCTATTAACCAAACTATGCATTTTTTAAATAAATTTTACCGTATTAAAAAGTTTTCGTATTAATTCATTAGGAAAAGGCAAATAAAACTCAATAGTTAGTTACATGTCCTATAAAACCGTACAAAATTTTTCGAATTTTTAATCGGAAGAAATTTTGAAAAGAAAAGATTTTGGTTGTAGTTGGCATTAACAATAGTTGTTTATTTCACATATTCGATTTATTGAATCGGGAGTGATTAACAATCTTCATGAAAAAAGATTTAATTTAATTAGAGCCGAATGAGTTATCAGAGCTGTATAAGCAATACATAAATCCATCCTCATCACGGTTTTCTTCGTAGAGAGCTCCCATTGTAGAGTTTGGTGGTGGGAGTTTCTTATTAACAAATAAGAAAATTGCTTCAGCGGATTGAAGATTGATTCTCTTACGGACAACATAGATGAATTGTCCGATGGATAATTCTGATGGGACAAGGAATTTTTGTCTTTCGATATCAGGCAAAGTGCATTTTGGATCTTTGTCAACAATAACTGGAACATGAGACTTGAATTTACGAATGATACCTGCTGACTCCTGGCATCTGTCAGCGAAGGACTTTTCGCGTTTGTAGCGAGATTCGTTCTTTGATGAAAACATTATTTTTTTTTTGAATTCGGATCCATAATTAAAAATTATTGAGGGGGAGAATCGGATACTAAAATTTTTAGGAAAAATTTTTGGTGGATCACCAACGTTCATTTTGGAATAACATGGAGAAGTATAGTGGATCAATTTTACTTCTCCATAAAAATTCAAAAAAAAATAGTTATCTTCCCAATTTTTTTTTCACAATCCACTTAGATCAATCACTTTAGATTCTGGATTGTAGGTATAACAAACTTTTCATGAAACAAGTGTGGTCTTGAGGTTAACGAATAAAGAATCCCATTAATTGGCATTATATTTCTTGGCAGGGTTTTTCCTATCCATAGCAAAGCAGTTCAATTGTTAATAAACCTATGTTATTAAGTCCTTTGAATACATAAACGTTTCAATTCCGAGATTATGATCGAGACTCACTGATAATGGCCTAGAACGAGGTTATAAGTTGCGCATAATTTTGTAAATGTGATTTGATCATCTTAGTATTTTGCATTATTTCTTTAAAATCGTTTTAAACGTTCCAATAATAAAGTGGATAATATTGTTTATGTGTTTAAATATAAAACATATTGGTATTAGAGAATGAATAGACCTTAAATACATGATTTTGCTTAAAGAATAAAATCTAATCTTAATTTTTAACCACAACAAAGTTTAATCTAATACGTTGAAGGTATTTGAGGAAAAACAATAATGATATTTACTTATTCTCTTCTTCGTTACTGTATATTTCTTTGTGTAATGCGCGATCAAAGAATATATAACTTCTGAGAATGAAAATATTTATAATTTTCACTTTGTGATCTAATGTTCTCTTATTCATACACAAGAAAACACGTGTTGTAATCAATTTTTAGAAATTTTGAAAATTTTCTGGTGAAAAACATCTAAAGAATAAAACCTACTGAATCGAAGACCATTCTATATATCAAAAGTATATGAATCAGTATGTTCCAAGAAATCTTTTGTTCCGGGTGTCATAACAAAAGTTGTAATCCCACCTTTAAGGAATGTTACTGGGTCTTTAACATCTTTATTTAGTTCTTGTGCTACTTTCGATATTTCATGAGCAGCATTAACAGAGCGAGCTCTTCCAAATTTGCAATATTAATATTATGAAAGAATATTTATGATTACTTAGCGTATTTTTCAAAAGATCAGCTATTTATGCATCAGTGATTGAGAAAAAAGGAAAATGAATTGCGCCTTTTATGACTCCAAATTCGCCATAATCAGTATCTCTGACATCTACAACGCCAATCTTACTTTTCTTTTTGAGAAGGTCAAGCAATCCTTCGGCAGTGATACCTGTAGGTGCAAATTCTCCCATTTTTTGCTTCACTTCTATGGTTTACTTTTGAAGGAGGAAATTATATTGAGCTTATATGCATATTACTTATTAGCAATACACACTTCCAAATTATCGACGCAAAAGGAAGCTGGTATTATAGTTGTTCAGCTAAATTCTAAAAAAAAATATGGTATGGTGAGCGAATCATAATCATATGATTAAATTTAGCGATTACAAAGATTAGAAAGATGAGTCTTAATGGATGATTGAAACCAAAGCAGTATTTTACTCGAAATGAAAAATCTGCCATGTAGAGTTATTTCAAATATTTTGGGGTAAATGCACCGGCAACCCATGCATGAAAACTCACCCACGTTATTCTTTTTTAAATCCATGCCACTCTTCATCGTCAATACATCAATTATAGGAATCAACATATATCACCAATACTTTAACCTGCATATAAACTAATTATTTACTAAAGTATTAAATATTTCATTTAAAAATTAATACTAGTAACTTCTAAATTTAGTTTGTGCTGATTTCATTATCAATTACTCATTCCAGTCAAATGAAAAAGATTTCATATTCAAAAGGTAAAGTTCATAAGTTCACATCAACAAGATGATTTGTATAAAAATAAATTGTTCAAACTTATACCTCATAATTTGTTAAAAAGTCTTCTTCTTCTGCTCCATCAGTTTGTTGCTGATAATCTTTGAGTACTGAGTCAAATTCGGTTGTTTTTTCATTATCAATATCTTGTTTTGTTTCTTCGTTTTCAACGTTATCTTGAGCAGTTCCTTCGCTCCACTCGTATTCACCTGATTTATATAAATACCAATATGCGAAGTATGCAGCAGCCGCAATGACAGCAAGCAAAAGAATAACACCGATTACAATTCCAGCAGCTTTACTAGAATTATTCGGTTTCGATTCTTTTGAAATACTCTTATATTCACCAATTTCATTGTGAACAATGAATGATCTCTCTTTCTCTGGGGATTCGTTTTGGATTGTTACTTTAGCTTCTTCATCATCACTGGCAGTGTTATGGATGTAGATAATAACTGGACCATCATATTGATCATCACTGGAAACTCTTCTTGTATTACTGAGTTTTGTTCCATCAATACTATAAACTATAATGATGATCTTACTGTTTGTACTATGGAATTTTGTCAACGCTTTTGAAGAGAATTGAGCTGCAAAGATCATGATTGTTTGGTTTTCCTTCAATACGTATTTAACATCCTTAGATTTCTTATTTCCGATGCTGAGTTCAACAGTTCCAACAAGTGATATTTTATCTTCTGCCTGTGGAATTGATTCTTGATTGAAAACAAAAACTTTAACTGTTCCTGATCCTGAGATTTCGAGTGTTCCTTTTTCATAAAAATCAATTGAGTAAACATTATTGCTGATAACATCATACTTTGATGAACCAATCTTTGCAACTGCCTCGATATCATTGTTGTCTTCTGGATTGAAGACAATGTTAAGGTTTTTAGAAACCACATAAGTTTGACCATCCTTCGATAATGTTAAAAGATACTTTCCTGGATTCAGATCTGTTGAAGGTTTTGGATCCGGTGCCTTTGTTGGATCCGGTGTCTTTGTTGGATCCGGTGTCTTTGTTGGATCTAGTGCCTTTGTTGGATCTGGTGCCTTTGTTGGTTCAGGGACTTTTTCTTTAATGATAAAACTATTTTCGCCAAACTTGAAGTTTCCTGAAATATATGAATCTGTGTACTTCTGATTAACATCAATAGCATTTTCGATTCCATATTTGTCTTGATAATTTTCGTCAAATCTGAAATACATTGCCATGAAATTCAGATTTTCGAACTTAGAATCTTTATTGGCTTCTTTGATCTCTTGGGAATCAAAATCAATTGAATATTTCATATATTCTTTTCCTCTAATATGCAAATTTGTTTCTGGAACGGATAGATAAACGACTGCATATTGTTTTGATGCTTCTAATTTAGACCTATCCAAATAATATCTATATTCATACCCGTGGATAACAACATCTAACGAATCAGATTCTGCAATCTTCAAAAGTGCAACTTTAACTTCATCAGTATTGTTTAGTAAATAATATTTACCATATGTTATTGGAGAAATATCATCTGAAACCTTGCTAAGCATTGTAAAATAGCATGACTCATTTGCTGGTGGTGCAATTATATATGATGAATTAGTTTGAGGAACTGAAATAATTCCATAGTTACCAATAAAGCCATCACTATCATATACCTGTATTTTAGCATTTGCAGACTGAGGATCTATTGTTAATTCTGTAATATTTTCATAAATATCCAAATTTTGATTGCTGCCATCGAGATATTCTAGATTGATGACCTGAAGGCGTTTCTTAAAGAGCAAATGGATTTTTTCATTAAATGTCAACTCGGAATAATAATCAACTTCCATTATATATTTAACACCATCGCTAACCAAATCTCCCATGTTACTATACCTATTATAGATAAATTGTGTATCAACCGATGGTACAATATCTGATATATTATGTCTTGTTATCATAATTTTGATTCCACGATCGATATTGTAGTATGAATATATTTTACATACATTTTGATTTGATATGAAAAACCTTTTTCCAAACTCCGACCTGACATTGTTTATAAATAAACTTTCCTCTTGAGATGCAGTTATTAATATATCCATTGGAATATTAGATGCTAATATATAACGGTTGGAATTATAAAAAGATAATTCATAATAGCCACCGATATTATTCATTATAACTGTGTAATGAACACGGGTTACATCATCTAATGAATCTTGCACAAGAACGTATTTCATTATTTTCGTCCTGCCACCATATGGAGTGAATACATTAGTAATAAAAGTATATCGATCATAATAAAAATCCCGTGGATTATTCTTAAATTCTGTGGGATTAATAATGGCAAGGTAATGACTATATCCTGTTATATTAAAAACAAGCGCAGCTCCTTCTGCAGGAATTTGGACTTCACCAATTGAATCTTCGATGCGTATTCCATATTTTAGCTCTGATTTTCTCTCCCAGACTTGAGTATCAACACTTTTGTATCTATATGAATTTGGAGATAATGATGTTGGCTGGGTTGAAAGTAATGAATTTATGTAAAGGAATTCATAATTCAGCCTATGAACGTATTGGTTTCTGATTGCAAACCGTTTTAATTCTCCAGAAATACGTACTGAATAATCCATATCAAACGGATAAGAACCTACAATGTATAAATTATAATATTCACGGCCACGTTTTCCATTTTTTAATACATATCCAAAGTGGTCGATACATACATCAGAATATACGTTCGAAGACTCTCCTAAATTAAAATCATAGTAAATGAATTTCAATTCAGCATATATTAATCCTTTTGTATAGAAATTAATTCTTTTTGAAAATTGTCTAGCTTGCAGTTTAATCAATTTTTCAGCCCGAGTTCCATCTTCATAATATAACTTATCATATTCAGTTACTAAGCATACATAGTTTTGTGATGACGAATTTGCTGGTACTAGAATAGAAAAATTTGTATGAGAAACAACACCAATGGTTTTTCCATATTCTAAAGCTCCGGCATATATGAGATCATCACTGAAATCCATATCATAATTGCTTGCTTTAGACCATTGATAAAAATTCTTGGGATATTCTTTTATATTGACTGTAGTTGTTACTTTAAAATATCCATTGCTGAATGAAGATCCATATTTTGAAATTTCTAAATGCATAAATGTCGATGTAATTAATGACAAATCATTTTTCTCGGATCCATTTAGTTTTATCTTAAGATGTTCTGGCTTAATTTGGTAATTGATTGGAATTGAGCTAATGAAGACAAAATCATAAGAGACACCTCCGAGATCTTTGTCGAGTTCTGTTCCTATTGCATTGTAATAGATTCCATCAACTTCATAATCAAATATCCAAAATTCTACTTCATTATTTTCATCTAATCTACCTTCGAAAAAAATTTTATTTTGAACATCATTTGAAAACCATTTATTATCTCCAAAAGGATAGGCTAATAACTTTTCATTAGGACAAACAAAAACAGATGCTTGTTGTAAACCATTTGGTAGGGACACTACTGTATAGCCATTTATCGTTATTTTATTATAGCCCAATAAACCAGTAATGGCTAGAGTGTTCTGGATTAAAATGGAAAGCATTTTAAAAAAATGACTTTACCAAAAATTAATGTATATTCAAATTCTTTTAAACTTTTTCAATTAACTTCACAATTTTTGGATGAAATTCCAAAATGCTCTAAATATAATTGGGCTCTGTTCATTAAAATTAAAATTCTAATTTGACTTTTCTAGTCAAAGGTGAACAGTCAAAAACGGTATCAAAATTGCCCTATATATGAGAGATCAGGCAATGGTCATTAAAAAAAATAAAGCTTTCAATAATTTTGAATAGTTTCGAATTTTCGTGTTTTTTTATAAAAATAGGACTAAACTTTCCATTATAAATGATATCTATTTTTGGCCGAAAAATTTGTGAATACGAAAAAACGTTCGTTCAAATGAAGTGTACGGCCACTCAAAACCAAAGAAAGAATATCAACTTTATGTATGAAATTGAGACTTCGTCTCAATTTCATACATAAAGTTGGAAATTTTTTTAACTTAGAATTCGGAGGGGAAAAATGTGAAAATGAAAATTCCTAAACTAGAATTGGTTTATAAAGAGTATAAAAATGATTTGAGAATCTTATTCTCGATTTTTAATAGAAACATTTAATTCACAATATTTTTTATTGATCCATTCTGCAAATGTTGTGATATCTGATCCAAGGAAAGCCATCCAATAGAAACTTTTGCTATGCAATTTTCATCTTTGTTGCAGTAGTCATTTATAACAAAATCATTATTACGAGCATTATTAACAACTTCTTTCATGTCAACTACACCGTTTTCGGATGAAATTTCAAATGAAAATACAGATGAAAATTTATTTCCAAAAATTTTAACGCATTTAATCTCTGAAAATATGCCATAAAGCTTTTCTGAGAGTCTGTTTACGTATTCCAAACGTGCTGATCCAAGAGTTTTGAGGAAATCGATTGCATCTGCTGCAGATATGATAGGCAAGAACGGAAGAGAGCCATCTTCAAGTCTTTGTGATGGTTTGAGGCGTAACTTCTCAAATGACTGCGTTGTCAACGCGTAAACAAGTGTTCCTCCACCGATTGATATGAAAAGAAAGAAAATATTATTATAATATAATCAATATGGAAAGAATGGTAATCCAATTATAAAATGATTGATTTGAAAAGAAATCGAGAGAAAATGATGATTAATATCGAGAGAAATTGATGTATTATTTTATTTCAAAAGATTTTTTTGGACGCTATCTTTGGACGGAATAGACGAGTTTCAATCCACTCTGAGGACTGGGGCAGCATCTTGTGTCACTTTTTGAATTATTCTTGATTGCAGACACGCTTTGAGCCATCATGTATTAATTATCAAGATCGATTGCTTATATGTTGAAATCCTATGATTCGTATTCAAAAATGAAAATCTTCAATACGACCAAAAACATATCATCGAAAATCATTTTTGAATCCGAATCATAGCATTTCAGCATATAAACATTCGATCTTGATAATTGATACATGATGGCTCAAAGCGTGTCTGCAATCAAGAATAATTCCAAAAAGTGACACAAGATGCTGCCCCAGTCCTCAGAGTGGATTGAAACTCGTCTATTCCGTCCAAAGATAGCAACTGCGAAGGTCTCTGATAGAGGACTTAAACGAGGTAGCTTCAGGAATATGTCAGAGAAAGCATTATTCGGTAAAACTGGTCCTGAATATCTTGGCGAACCTCCAACAAATTCATTATACGATATTACTCTTCACGAATCAGTCAGCGATTTATCATCGGTTTCTTCTGGGTGGATAACAGTTTACGGAAATTCAACTATTTCCAAAAATGAACTAATTCACTACTTTATTAAATATGGAGAAATAATTAGTGTCGAGTATCAGGCGTGCAACTGGATCTCGCTTGAATTTTCAAAGAGGACTGAGGCCGAACGCGCAGTTAAGGAAAATTCAAAGCCAATTTTGATATATGGTAGATCAGCGGTATTTGCACGAATGGGAAGACATCAAGCGAATAAAGAGAATGAAGAGCAAGAAGAAATACAAGAATTAGACACTTTAGAGAGCACCGAAGAACTGTCACTTCTAACTCAGATACAGCTATTCTTGGAGTCACTTCTTTACATGTTTATATAATTTTTCTTTGATTTTGTTTTTATTATAAATAGAGAATAAACTTTTGTACTTTCTTAATACAATCTCATATTGACTTGCTTCTACAACATAATAACTTTTTCTTTTTATCCATCACTTTCATCAAAATTTATCATATAATAACATCAGATTGCTCCAATAAGTTAACCATAACCTTACGATCATCTTATTATGCTTATTCATTTACATCTTTTTGCTTGTTTTAAAACTAAATTCTCTTTGAAGTTATCAAAAGGAATTTATGCTTTAAATCATAACTATCTCAATAATATTCTCTCTGAAAATAACAGCGGTGATTGATTTCCATCAGGAATAACGAATAACAACTTATTGGAAATAGACGTTTACACTCAAATACAATAATACTGCTCACATGAAATTTCATGCCTAGTGTTATACCAAAATAGTTCAGTAATTTAGAAAGATTCCAAACCAATGATATTTGGGTCTTCAATAACTTTGATATTCGATGAATAAACGATCTTTTAATTCAAATCATTGCAAATATTAAAGACAGCGAAGAGTCTTTCTTAATTAAAATGATCCCAAGATGAATTCAATTTTTCTTGACTTCAAAATGAAGGATGACACACATTTAATTAATCAATGCTTAAACACCCGAAAGATTATCTTCTCCATAATTCATTATTTGCAATTTTATGAATATTTGGATTTCAATTCTGCTTGAAATAAAGGCTTTCTTTTCAGCATAAAGAAATTTATTTGGAACCTAACCAAAGGTGACCAAAGATTCACTCTCCTTTGATTAATAGGTTCTATCTTCGCCCAAAATCATCTTGTAATATCTTTAAAATATGTAGATCGATGAATAATATAGCAATAATATACAAAATACAAACTTATTAAAGGCTTATAATTGATCTGACTAGTCGCAGGTTTTAGTGATAAAAATATTCATATGCCAATGAAAAAAAACGATAAAATATTTTATGGACGTTGTTTCTTCTGCGTAGTTATAGAGTATCAAAAAGAAATGTTAATTTGCATTATCAATTTTTTTTATCAGTCTCAAACTTTGTGAGCAGTTTTGTGAGAATAGCAATGTGCACATTAACTCTAATTTCTTTTTATACTATTTAGAATCATTTCTAATTATATTTCCTTACTTATTTTAAATAAACAACAGAAAATTAATAAAGAACTTCTGAAATCCTTATTACACACTGGAATGAAGTATGTTTATTTAAATTCGTTTGTATTGAAAAGTATTCAATGTGGGGATTGAGGATGTGCAAAATTTCGGACTTAGCTATATAACATATAGTTTAAAAAGCTGTGATTGATGCTCTCAAAAATGTGAAAACTTATTTCAAATATTTAAGTATTGTAAACAACTTTTTGTGTAAGTATTCAAATTCCTCTAAAAAAAAAGAAATAAAAAACTAACTTATTTTTTTTGGTATGGAAAATCCTAAGATCGTTCTTGGTTTAAAGGCAGAGAAGAGGATTACGCCACCAGATGAACTAACTGATGATGATGGTAATTTCTTTTCAACAAGTTCCGACGAGGCAAAGCCTTTATCGCTACAAACGACTCCCGTTGTTGCACTTACTCAACCCGGAAAGCGTTTTAACATAGTAGGATTTTCTGATGCCTCATCCAGAATCACAATGATTTGTGCCGCACTTAAAGAATACGAAAGACCAGAACCATATAAAGGGACATTAAACTTTATTCCGGATAAAATTATTTCACCAAATGACATTTCTCAACTACAACAATATCTAATCGGCAACATTCAAAAATTTCCAATTGATAAAACAAGTTTTAACGATTTAGTATGTGCACAACTGACTCTTGTAGAATTCTTAATATCGAAAGATAGGAAAATACTCGAAAGATTTACGAAAATTAAGATTGATTCGAGAGTTATGATGTTAATTAATTATTGTTTAGCTAAATCAACACAAGATCATAGTGTTTCTTGTTACTATTATCTATCAACATTAGAGGAATTCCTCAAAATCAATGCTTATCCCCCTCTAATTTGTTTATTCCCTGATTGTACAATAGAAAATTGCGGTTTACAGATAGCGATTGATATGATGACCATATTCCCTAAGCACCCTATATTGCCATCTGTACTCCATAGCCTTGCCGCTTACAATAACGATATTTTAACAATATCTAATAAGGTTTCAAGCTCAACAGACAGTGATGATGACTTCAGTGATAGTTTTTTCGAATTCGTCAAGCAAAAGCAATCTTATATCCCCAAAAACTTCTCTACATCCCTTATTACATTAATCGAAGAGAAACCACAGAACCCACTTGATTTTTCTGTAGCTCCCATGAAGCAGGAAACAATTTCTGTGTCAGTTACAATTCCTCCAAAAACCGTTACTTATTATTTTGACGAAGAGAACAAAACGAAGCTTTCTACTACAGCATTTTCGGATTGGATCATTTCCCTACGATCAATTTTTAAGAAAAAGTCACTTGCTGCACTTGATTGGCGCAAGAGTATAAAATTAAACCCGTTCAGAGAATCTACGTCAGCTCCGTTCTTACCAATAGTCAATGAAGCAGAAGCAAACATCAGCCAAGGCATATACAACGCGCAAAGTTATATAAAATTATATTCTTTGATTGGAGATCCAAATGCGTTATTACAATCACTTCCTAATATTCCTCAGAACGAGTTTTTCCATCTTTACTACCCAATTCTTCAGATTTTGAACACATCATCAAATACTTTAATTACAAAGGGCTGTATCTTCCCAAACCTCATTGAACTTGAGTACATGGCCCATAACGCCCTTAAGAGTGCCGGCTCGGGCAATCCATTGGAAGGATTGTTAGATTTAGTTCCAAGTGACCCAATTAACAGGTCAAGCTTCGATCCACTTGAACACAGAAGGCCAATGCCAGATCTAGAGGTCGAATACAAGGAAAATATCGTTAATTACTTGGCAGCTGCAGATATCGAGTTAGTTGCCAACGGAAGATCACCATTTACATGCCAAAGGTTATCAACAAAGCCACCAATAGTACTTTCCAATCATCCTATCCTCAATAGAGTACTTAGAGCTTCTTATCTTTGGGATGCATACAAAACTAAGAATTTCCCACCATTCTTTGCCTTCAGGATTGGCTTTGCAGCAGCTCTAGCCGCTATAGATATCGACAGCTATTTTTCCTGCGACGTAATGTTCGAAATAATCAGATTAGTTTATCTCAAGATGCCAGATCTCGTCAGGAGTCCTGCAGTACGTTCCGCTGTTCTCTTCTTTGCAGAAACACTCGAGCGCAGTGATAGATATTACCATGCTTCACTTGTATTAGATAATTATTTCTTATCCGACGTCAATGACTCAACAAGTGCCACAGCCATAGCCCAAATAGCCCAGAGAAACGGAGATACAGTCCGTGCCTGCTTCTTCTACTCCGAAAGCCTCAAATCTCTTATTACTCAACAAAGAATCGACGAATCTCTCTACATCGGCCAGATTCTTGCACAAATATACTTCGAGAACGGCATGTTCCATCTCGCGATATCCGTTCTTTCCTTTTTACTTCGAAATTCCTACAACATCGCATCAAACGAGCGAAATGTCCGACTTTTTTCGAAATCCAGTGGTACAATCAAGAGATACAGAAACAGCCAGCATTTAACTATCCCCGAGTTCAATCCAAACCCGAATGCCATCAATACAATGTTAGTTTGCTGTTCTTACATCGATACATTGATAAGAGCACGAATGTTTTCACAAGCGAACTTAGCATTGGATGCATTTAAATCAACAATGGAAGCACCGATCCTCAGAACAGTTTTGGCTTATTTGGATTCTCGATTACTCCTGAAATCGAATAAATACGAAGAAGCCATTGAAAAACTGCCAAATTTTGACATCCACGACCAAAGATCGAATACAACACATATTTCTTTATTGAGTGGTGCGCAATTTGACAATTCAACAGCTGTTCTCAACATGATGACGCGCGGTTCATTGCACAGAAGGTTCTTCAGAGATGGACACGCGTGGAGTGAATTAGTAATTCACGCGAAATCATCATACAGAGCGTTGGGATACGGATATTTCTGGAGAGGACAAAGTTTCGCAATTGCATTGAGCGAAATGAATTTTAGATCGAGTATTTCGATGTCTACAAATTTGAATCACATTCAAAGCAGATACTTGAAATACAAGGATGAAAACAAACTTTATAATGAAAGAGAGTTAACTAATGAAAGTTTGAGTTGTTTCGCTTTGGCAAGGGTTTATTTCGAAAGAGTTGGCTGCATAAGGAAAGAAACTGAAGCTGCACTGAAATACTGTGATGTTTTATTGAGACATTTCTTCGATATTACAGGCGAAGAAACTGAATTTGCAACAGTTGTTGTCACACAACCTGTATTAGATACAACATGCAAATTCGCAAAACCAAGAGGAGATCAGTTAAAAGTCGCTGAACACGTAATAACTCTTGAGAATTTCGCTGATGAATGCTCAAGAATTTTGTATTTCGCAGAGAAAAACGCGGAAAAATTAATGATGCCAACATTGATTTTATACGCTCAAGCACTATTAGCAAAACTTAACTTAATAAAGAACAGAAAAGAATTGGCACAAACGTACTTCGATTACGCATTTAACTGCTTCATGAAGTACTCAGATAACGGAAGATTTATTCCAAGAGTTATTGCTAATTCTACATTGAGAATGTTCGAAACAATTCTTGAAATATTATGTGATACGTTAAGTTGTTTTGACTCTGATTTCATTAATGATAGAATTGCTTTGTATGACATTTTGAATGATTTAAGAACTCTTTTAGTTAATAGAATAAGGAATGTATCAATGGGAACAAAGAAAGGAGTAATTGGATCATTGGATATGGATACAGAAGCTTTGACATTGGCAAATCCGAAATTGCCATCATTTAACTCTGTTTTGGTTGAAGGAGGATATCTAAAGAACGACGACGGAGACTTCACTGATTCAGAGACATCATTCATAGCAATCTTCAGAGCTATCTCAGCAAACATAAGATTGTTCGAACAGCAGAAGATTGACCAGGATTCACTTCACATGAGAAACAAAAAATATTGTGTCATGCTTGAAAAAACCGCTCAAAAAGTCAAAAACATGACAAATTTGGATTTAAGTTACAAAGCGGCCAAATCAAATTCCGAACTTGCAAACAATGTTATACTGATGATGAGATTGTCTACAGCTATATTCACATACGTGCCAAGTTCAGGAACAAAGCATTTCATGAAATTCAAACAGTTTTCTCATTTGAATAATATTTCAATCGACCAATTAAATGTCAAAATTGACTTTTCCGCTGACAGTTTTCCTTTGTCAGTTTTTGAGGCACTTTTCTCTTTTATTTACGTTGACAAGAAAGGCTCTGGCGACAAGTTTATTCAAGGCGAGAAAGGGATCAAAGATCTTCAAATTCTCAAGGAAAGTTTGTTCGGAGATCTTTTGGAGAACTGTCCGAATTTGAAGTACAAATGCGCAATAACTCCCGACGAATTGCCAAGCGACAAAAAACTTGTCTTCTCAAAACCAAAGGGCCAATTAGTCAACATCGATCCATGTGTAGGAAACGCTGTTTATTTCATAACAAGTAGAGAATTGAATGGTCTTCCTTTAGAAGTTTTGTTCAAAGAAAACCTTGTGTTTAGATTGCCATCGTACGCTGCTTTGTTTATGAAACCAAGTCACAACATGGGCGGTATCCAGAAGATGATTGTTTTCAGAAGAGAAACAATGAACCCGTTGCAGTTAAGACAGGAAGGAATCCAAAGATCTGCTGAAGCTTGCCAAGGAACATTTTCAGCAATTGGTGCTTCAGAGTTTCCGAAACAACATGTTGAAGGATTGGAAAGAACATTGCCTTGTCCGTTCCCTCTTTTCTCTTCCAACAAAAACAATGATTTCTATCTCTCGAAGTACAAATTCATTTGTGTCGAAGAAGTTAAGCCGGGATCAGTGGCAATGGCAACTTCTTCCAAATACTTGTTCGTGTTCACTTACACTGATTTGTGCGAGATGCCAACAATGGTTGAGAACTTGTTGTCTAACGCTCCGAACTCTTTCTTCATGTTCATTCCAAGTTTCGCTGTTAGAGATTGTTTCAAGGAAATGAGCGACATCGTGAAGAGAAACAAAGAAAGACAGATTGGAGGTGAAGAACATTTGAGACTGTTGAATAACGCTACTGCTTTTGTTGCTGCAATGCAAATGACTTTGATGAAGAAGATTCACGCTCCAATTCCTGTTTTCATGCCAAAGTACGAATGATTTACTTTTTATTTGTTTTTTATTATATTTTTTTGTTGTTTGTATAGTTTATATTTATATAAATGTTTGTTTGTTTTATGTATACTTACAAAATTAATCATTTATTTAACTTAATTATAGAAGATGAGATTAAATCAATTTTGATTTTTAGATGAGATGTATTTGTTGTACTCATAAATTTTTATGCTTTAGGAAATATGAATATACTATGAATTCAAGCTAAGATATTGCCTCAAAATAAATTAAATCAATAACAATTTTCATCTTGATATCTTAATGAGTCAATAAGAAGCTTTTAATCATTTTCAAATAAACTAATATGATATGATTAACTTCTCAAATTGAGTAATATTTTACTATATCAAAAAATGTTAGTTCTATTGACTAATTGCTGTGCTTTATAGATTCCTGTCACTATGTATTTGTAAGACTATGAATTAAATTATCCAAAATTTCAACAGTGTTATAAAATCTTGAATTTTTTGGCAACTCGCTTATTGCTATACTAAATTTTTGACAAAATTATGCATTATAATGAGGGTAAATTGTATATAATAATATACAATGACATTTCAAGCTGATCAAATTTCAAAATAATTATTGAGCAAATTCAAAAGTTAAGGCATATAAGTATCCATTATAGACGAGAACAGAGCATTATCCTTTGTTGAGAATCAATCCGTCAGATTCTTCATTCTGATATCATCTTTCCTATAACAAAAGAAAAGTAAAAGGGTGATCTAATCATCAATACAAGAAACAAATAAGGAACAAATGACACTCATTTCACCATCCGCTAGAATTGTTTGACACTCTGTTGATTTCTCATAAAAAAATAACGAAAATCCTGAAAAAAAAAAGAATGCGCTCAAGAAAACATCCAATTCAAAGTCTTCTTGAGACTGCAGCCGCCGCAAACACTCTTGCAGGTGATCTTCACGAGGCAATTAAACTAACAATTATCCCACGCATTCCAAATCTCGATAAAAATCAAAGATTTGAATTAGGTGAAGATGTGAAAAATAAAATGAAATCAGTTGATATATTACGTAAAATGGGCTTTAAATTAGTTGTCGACGAACACTTATTCGATCCTGTTCCAAAAGAATTACTCGATTCTCGGTATTCCGTATCCATTCAGTTATTAATTGTATTCTATCAAAGTGTAACATGGGCATATGATCCTAATCATACTAAAACTTCAGAAGAACTCTCTTACATTTCTCAAGAAATAAAACCTATTTTAGATAAAGTAGGAGTAGCAGAGAACCAACTTGAGTATTGTTTCAAGAAAGCTGTTAAATCCTTCTTTCGCGATCCAAATGCTAAGCTATCCGAACAAGCTGCCTTAGATTTACTCGAAATCTTCGACAAGTCCAAATTTTTTACAAAGAAATTAACGAAAATATTTTCTAGACTAGTAGTACTATCAAATAACATCACTATCCAAACAAGAAATGCTCTTTTGTCATTTTTAGTTCACGCATCATCAGAAAAACGACCTTATTTTATCAATTCAGATCTTTCTACAATCGGAGAAGTTATTAGTCAAAATATTAGTACGTTAGATTCAAAAGGATTAATGATATTAGGATATATGAGTAAATATGCACCGAAAGAGATCATGGTTACGCTTATACAGACAATACCATATTGTTTATACTCACTTATACCTTCAAGTGGCAAAGTTTACAACGACAAACCTGATTCTCGTTTTGAATTAATCGATGTTTTTCAATTACCTCTAGATTTCTTCGATATGGAGTTACAATCAGATTCTTTATACAACTTCACATTTCCTACAGAGTTTTCTTTCTCCAAAACAGCTTTAGCGGATTATTCAGAAAAAATTGCGAATTCTTTAATACCTTTATCAAATTTCTACAGAGATATTTTCTTCAGGACATGTCAAGAGATCATTATGCACGAAAATACAGGTTCTTCAATCACTTTTACTTGTTTATTAATATTAATCATAGAAAAACTAATGATTGTCACTAGTGTTAGCAACTCATATAATGTTATTACAGAATCAAAACTCATGAGCATGTCATCACAGAATATTTTTGAAGAAATTGATGATGATATAAATTATGGCCGACAAAAACTGTTCAAAGTACTTTGTCGACATTCCCCTGAACTTATTATTGACTTATTTGCCAGATTTTCCAACTCTCCACTTTTAATTGCGGAGTTTATTGTCAGATTGTTTTCCTGCAACATTTCTAAGTTTTCTTTGAAGTTCCTTGTCAACGATGGCTTCATCAACTGTTTCATTGCATCTATCTATCAACTAGAAAACTACAAGAAACCGAGATGTATCATTTTTGACTTTCTTTCTTTCCTTTTACAACAAAATGAAACGGAATACCTCTGTTTGTCATCATCAACATTCTCCAAACTGTATTTCAGATTCTTGTTCAACAGACAAGTAGGTTTAAAAATAATTCCTAATGTCAAAAATTTCTATTGTTTACAAAACGATATCAAAAAATTTAATTCGTCACTTTTGTTCCTTAAAAAAGTATTGGATTCGTGTGCAGAAAACATCTCTAAATCAAACGAATACGCACCTTTGGCTCATTCAATAATTGACTGTATTTTGGCGGTTATGTCACATCACTTTTTAGATTTACCATTTATGTTATCATTATTTGAAGATCTTATACAAATCAACAAAACAGTTCTATCAAAAAATTATTTGTTGGAATTTCTCTATCGTTTAACTTTACAATTTCCAATGGTTGAACTAAAAAGTGACAGTTTTACAACACTTGTAGAAATTATGATGAAAACAGAAGGTAAAGAGCCATCGGATGAAACATATGATTTGGTCGGAAAAATTACGAATCGTGGCAGTTTTGACACTTTACATTATCTGCCAATTTTGACACATATTGGTCCATCAATTTCTTTTGCTTTGTTTGGCCAATCCGAGCGATTTACAAAGATTTTAGAAGCTTTCCTGAGAATGATTGATTTGCAGACATCTACTGTTTATTTACTACATGATTATGGTGTTGATTCGATGCTTATTCAGTGTTTTACTCAAGACACAGATATTCCTTATGTCACTTTTTGTAATTATGTTTTACAAATAAATTTGACAGAAAAATCGTCAGATTTAGCCATTAAATTGATATCTAAGATTATTAGTATATCATGTAACAAGAACATCTTGAATCATTTCACGCAAATGCTACAACACAAACACTCAATAAAAGCGAGTCGTTTGATTGATGAATCATTTGCAAGATCTTCTTCTTATGGTGGAACAATCTTTGCATTGGGATTTCTTCCGGAACAGTTCACTATAAAGAAAGTTCCAGCGGAGATATTTAATAAGAGCTTCTCTATAAAGGTGAGATTCACTACTGATACTGTTTTGATGTACAAAATGTTGGGAAACGTTTTTCTTTTCAAAATTTGTGATGAACAAAATTCATCAATTTCGGTTTTCTTCTGTAGAGGACAAATTTTTGCTGTTTATGATGATAAAGACACAGTGACTACTGCTTGCTTAATGAGAACTGTGGACAGCGGAATTTGGTCTGACTTCATTTTCTCTTTCAAAATTTTGAATGATCCAATAATTAAGGTTATAACTTTCACCTCACTTAACATGAGTGGCTGCAGCAGTGACATGAAATTTGTTCCTTTCGTAGGTGACACAGTTAAAGTAATTGTTGGTGGATCAGACAGATCACAAGAAAACAGACAATTCGGACAGTTTTGCTCCTTCAAAATTTTCAAAGGAATTTTTTCGTCAATAAATGACATTGACGATAAAAATACGTTAGTTTTTGATGGCTCCAATTTGCCGTTGACAAACAACGACATCAAAATTGATAACGTTACTGTTTTCGCACGTACAAGTAATCCAAACATCTTGGAAGTCGCGTCAACAATTAATTACGCAAATGTTTTGTCACATTTATTAAATCTGACGGATATAAATTGTTTTGACAACATTTTGTCAATTTTGCGTCAGATTTTTACAGTCACCATTGACTTTGACGGGTATGAAAGGATAATCAACTTCATTTTGAGTCATCAAGAGTTGATTTGTTTCGATACATTTAAGAAATTGTTGATTACTTGTGAAACTCTTCGAACTGATTTGAAAGAATACTTTTATTCAGCAATTATAGGAAATCTCTTCATTTGGGCGAAATCTTCCAAGAAAGAGTTCGAAAAGATCATGCTTTATTACGCAAAGATCATGCGCATAAATGCAAAATTCAATGTATCAAGATATTTCTTCTTCTTTTCTGATCTTTTCGGAAATCAAGGTCAATGTAGAAAAGAAAAAGTGACAAGAGATTATTTTGTCACTTTTATGAACAAATGCATTATATTTGCGAATGTTAATGATGCGCAGTATTTGCAGGAATTGATTATGAAGAATACAAATAATCACGACATTTTTGTTGTTTTCCTGAATTTGTTTGTAAGAATTGATGACAAAACTTTGGAAAAAATGTCAGGAAAAGAGCAGATTTACCAAGATTTTGTTAAATCAATTAACTATGATGTTGAAGAGTCATCTCTTCTCTTCCACGCCATTATGAAACTCTCGAGATACAATGATTTGAGTTTGATTTTGGTTGTTGTCAAAAAACTGGAATCTTTGCAGATTTCTTCTCAAGTTTTCAACGAATTATTCTGCCAAACATATGATTATCCTGAGATGAGTCTTCCTTTGTCTTTCCTGGCACTCGGTCTCGACTACAAAGACAAGAAATTCATTTTAACTTCGATGGCAGATTTTGCAATGAATAGTTCAGGAGGAAACATAATTCTTGAGTTCCCTTATTGGTTTGTTTGTCCAATTTTGCTTTCAATACAACTAGGAAGAGACATTTTCTATTCTACATCGTCTTTCTTGGCTTCTGTAATAGAAAGATGCCAAACTCCGGATCAAAGAAGTGAACTGATAAAAAATGTCTTCCTTTTCTTAGTTTTTAGCGGTTTGACGACTCCTGACCGTTTAGAAATTCTTATTTCTACTTTTATTGACGAGATATACGAGAAAAATAACGATCTTACTTATACATTGATTTTTGTTATTTTTAATTTTATTTTCTTCAGATTTGACAACCAAAATTTGTCACTTCACCTTTGGCAAAAGTTCCATGATTTCCAGTATTTTGGAGATTTCGGATCCCTCAAATCTCCTCTTCCTGAAATCAAATCTTTCTCTGATTTGAACAATGTTTTGAATGTGAATTTCAGAGAATACAATCCTATATTTAATTTGCACATTGATTCAGAGCATAACTCATGGAATGATGCAGGAAAGTCTCAGATTCTTTTGCTATTGATTGATAAAGTCGTTTACGAGGATGATTTTATCAGACACTTCATTCCTTTCTTTACAAATAAGTCTTCACTAGAAAAGGATGAAGTTATAAAGATCTTCAATAGACTTGATTCTTATGTCAACCAAAATGCGAATTACTTCAAAGATGCTTTCATCTCTTTCATCGATTCGATTAAGATTTCTTTGAAATCTTATGAAGATAACGCTGAAAAATATTTGAATTAAAATATTTATTATTCATTGTTTGTTTTAATACTTAAAAAATGTTTATTTCGTAATTTCATTCCTTTAACTTTAAGAGGGCTTTTACACTCATCATAATCCCAGTTAACTTCTGAATGAAGGCCATGCCATAGGGGTGTAATTACACCCTTAAAGTGGAGTCTCAAAAAAATTGTTTATTTCAAGAGGTTGACATTCTCCAAAAATTACAATATATCTTTATTGAGATTGTAAAAAAGTATAACAGTAATATAAGGTACTAAGTAGTTATTTAAAATAACTTCTTCCCCTACATAGTTAATGACTATTTACCTTAGAATATTGGGATAGAAAGTTTGTGTGTCAGAAAGTGGTAAGTGTACCCTTAAGCAATATTGTTAAAAAAAAAACATTTACTACATAAATCATATGGGTTTTCCTACAAGTGCACCATATGTAAAACCCAAACATATAATTATTTAATTATGTGAATTAGGGGCCGACTATGGATATATTTTTTCTCTGTTTTTACACAACCATTTCTACTCAAAAAGTCAATAACATCTTGATGATTGTTTTTAATGGCCAAGTCAAGTGGTTTTTCATTTCGATTGTTTGTTGGATTTCTATCAACTTCTTTCTTTAATAAGAGAAGTTTGCAAGCATCAATTTGTCCAGCTGATGCAGCAATATGAAGTGGAGTTCTTTTGCCCTTATCACTTTCATTAACACCATGGTTTATAAGCGCAAATTCGATACCTTCGACATATCCAATTCTACAAAACTCATGAAGAATGAAATCATCTTTAGAATTGTATCCACATTTCTCGAGATATTGAATGAATCCGAGATTTGCCATGCTTGCAGCTTCAATAACAATATTTGTTAATCTGTCGCCAGCTTTTGTAAGCTTCAGATATTCGTGTTTGACTGCATATTCAATTGTTTCTTGGTCATTATTCATAAATGAATCCACAAGTAATTCGAATATTATATCAAAGTTTCTTGGCTCTTTTGGAATCTGTTGAAGTTTTTCGAGTGGTGATAAATCTTGTTGAATGCTAATAGTTTGATGTCGTTCATCATTTATTATAATTATATTATTTGGAGCTTTTAATGTTTTTTGTGATGATGATGGAGTGCATCCATTGCTTCTCAGATAATCAATAACTTGTTGATGACCTTTTTTAATTGCCAAGTCAAGCGGTGTTTTATTATTAACGTTTTTTGGATTTTTGTCAATTCCTCGTTGTGATAAAAGAAATTTACAAGCACCGAGTTGTCCTGCTGATGCAGCATTGTGAAGTGCTGTCCTTCCACCATCATCTTGTTCATTAACATCATGATATTGAAGTGCAAATTCAATACCTTTAATATCACCAAGATAACTAAACTCATGAAGAATGATGTCATCTTGAGGATTGTATCCACATTCAACTAAAAATTGGATGTATTCAAGACGTCCTTCGTCAAGGACTGCCATAGCCATAGTTAAAATTCCACCATTTGGATTTTTAAGTTTAAAATAATCATTTTGAACTGCATATTCAATTGCTTCTTTATCCTTTATATTGATTGCATCAAGAATAACTTGTAGTATTATTAGAAAGTTTAATTGTTTTTTAGGAATCTTTTTAAGCTTTTCAACCGGAGATAAATCTTTTAGTTCATCAATTATAGGTAATATTTCATCTTGCTCGTCTGCGTTTAATTTTCGGATACGTGGCGGTATGCTTATTTTGGTTTCAACTTCTTGTTTAGTTTGTTTATCAGATTTTTTGTGTTTTGGTGGTGGTCTTTCATCAGGTTGTTGATCTATTGGATTATCTTTTTGCTTTGTTACATCTTGTTTAGTTTTCTTATCAGATTTTTTGTGTTTTGGTGGTGGTCTTTCATCAGGTTGTTGATCTGTTGGATTATCTTTTTGCTTTGTTACATCTTGTTTAGTTTTCTTATCAGATTTTTTGTGTTTCGGTGGTGGTCTTTCATCAGGTTGTTGATCTGTTGGATTATCTTTTTGCTTTGTTACATCTTGTTTAGTTTTCTTATCAGATTTTTTGTGTTTTGGTGGTGGTCTTTCATCAGGTTGTTGATCTATTGGATTATCTTTTTGCTCTGTTACATCTTGTTTAGTTTTCTTATCAGATTTTTTGTGTTTTGGTGGTGGTCTTTCATCAGGTTGTTGATCTATTGGATTATCTTTTTGCTCTGTTACATCTTGTTTAGTTTTCTTATCAGATTTTTTGTGTTTTGGTGGTGGTCTTTCATCAGGTTGTTGATCTATTGGATTATCTTTTTGCTTTGTTACATCTTGTTTAGTTTGTTTATTAGAATTTTTATAATTCGGTGGTGGTCTTTCATCAGGTTGTTGATCTGTTGGATTATCTTTTTGCTTTGTTACATCTTGTTTAGTTTTCTTATCAGATTTTTTGTGTTTTGGTGGTGGTCTTTCATTAGGTTGATTTTGATTTGATATGGCATCAATTACATCCCCATGTTGTTGTAACATTATTTAAGTTCACCTATCAAATTGATTTTTTTGACTAAATGATCGTTAACAAAAAGTGATATTTTTTTGCTTTTTGAAATTTTTATTTAGTCAGACTAATAAGTAGTCAAAATTTATGTTTTTGATAGCACTTTTTCAAAAATTGAGGGAATAAGGCAGAATTTTAAATTTGAAAGAGGGATACTAAAATGAGGCTATAGCAATATAAAATCAATTATAACAAATAAAAATACAATTATGTTCTGATGGTTTTAGTATAATATTCTTAAAAATGGAAAATTTCAATTATAAATTGCAGACTTCTTTCTTAATATTACTCAAATAGAAGCTGTATCTTTACATAAATGACCAACGTATTATATATTCATATAAATGTCTTCATTTTAAATTAATTTTGTGCCGTAATAAAAAAAAAATACAAAAATTAAAATATACAAACAATTTATTATTGATTAAGCTTGCTAACATATAACGAAATCAATCTTTGCTTTGAAATATCCAAATCTCGTGTGACTTGCTCAGCTATTTCTCCATACGTATGGATTAGCAATGCAATACAAAAAACAACACTTTTTCGAACAAATGTATTAATATGATTAACATTATCGCATAAAACTTTCGAGATCTGCCGAACGAAAGGCTTAATTTTATCTGGGTTCGCTTTAATCACAGAGTAAAGCTCATCAACATATTGCGATGCCATTTTATTTGTTGAATTAATTCCATTAAGGAAAAATCCAACTAGTTTTTCAGAATCTGCTCTTGCCTCTAATAATCTGATCAGTTTTTGAGAGTTCGGAGTTGATTTGTCCATATCAATTTGACATATTGCGCACTCAAGAAGAATTTCAAAATTATCGCAGCCTTTTTGATCAAGACAGTCGCACATAACACCAAAAAGCTTATCAGCATCTTCAATAACATCATTGTGGTGATGAACTGCATTAACAAGTGATGCATAAAACTTTTTTGATGTTTTTACGTATTCAGCAGCGCTGATATTTCTTAAATACTGTCTAACATTAGAGCACAATAGTTCTATGTTACTTTCTGAGTCAATATCAGGACTTTCTTGAGATTTCGCATCCGAATAATTCAAAATCGAGTTCAAATATTCCGAAGTTAGAAGGTCATATTCATGGGAAAGGTCAGTGAGAACGTTTCTGTTTTGGCGGGCGATGGAAACAAGTATTGTTTGGGCTTCATCTGGGCATGATTTCATGTGCATTATTCCTAATTTCGCAAGTTTTTTAGCAACAACTAAATTTGATAGATCAGTTTTAGGATTTTCGGTTAAGGAAGCTGCAAATTTAGTTAGTCTCGCTGAAGGAACTTGAGTAAGAACGATTGCAATGAGATCATTTGAATTATAATTTTTTCTAATTGTAGAGAGAAGATTTTCGAGCAGCTCTTCATTATCTGATGCTACAATATCACTTAATAAGCCGCCAAATAGTATTTCAAACATTGATTGAAGAGAAGACTTAAATTCATTAGGGAAAATATCCATCAGAGTCGAAATCAGAGACATGGACTTATTAGATAGAGCTCTAGACTTGCAGTTAAGAGTAATTACAAGTCCTGGAACAATATATCTCATTTGAGAAAATAATTCTTTTGTTCTATTCTGATCAAGGTATTTGGATATTTGATCAACCAGTTCTTTTTCATTGCCTTCTTCAAGCAGGATTGCGCTTTTTCGGAGAGGAGTAAATTCATTATTTGCAGGAGAAGATGCTCGCTTCTTTCCAAGCCTTGGAGGCGGAAGGTTCTTTTCCATAGGTTCTGATTTTCGCTTGGTTGTTTTCTGTTCGTTAATTTTGATTTCTTCATCTGATAATTTCGGATTTTTATCAATGCTCCTTTCGGTACTTTTATACCTTATATTGTCATCATTGTTCTGCTTTTGATGAGGACTGAAATTCATTTCATTTCCATAATTTGAGACTCTTACTGAGCTTGATCGATGTTTGTTAGACATTTTAGACTTCTTCTTTGATGGAATTTGAGATGGAGACTTTGATCTTGCTATATCAGCTGTTTTACTGAAAATCGGAATCATTGATGGCTTTTCAACTTGTTTTTTCGGCTTCTTTTTAAATGGAAGCTTACTTTGTCTCTGATTTGGATTAAGTTCATCGGGTTTTGTTAGGCCATTTTGCTCAGCAAGTCTCCTTTTTTCAGATTGTCGCTTAACTTCTTCTATATATGATTTTGGAGAATGAGGGGAGAATAGTAAATGTTCTGATACTTTAGTTTCTATTGGAATTACAGGTGAACAATGGACTTCAGGAACATCATCTTGAGTTTCTTTAATTGGAGGCGTTCCTGGAGGAACTTCAGCAGACAAAACAGCAGATTTAGTCTTGGAGTCTAATGTTGCAAGAAATAGCTCTGAATATTTCGAGAATTTTGATGCAAATAATTTTGAAGCAATTCTAGCTGAATTCCGGACAAGTGGTTGTGAGTCAACCAATAATAGTCTTAATGTTCTCATTACTATTTCGTTATATTGATCAAGAATGTGTTTTCCCCAAAAATTTAACATTAGAATAAAAGAATCTGCTGAGATCTGTCTATTTTCACCAGCTTTGGATTTTGACAAATCAACAATGCTGAAAAATACATTTTTCTTTGGACAATATTTTACAATTTCGAAAATTGCTAATTTGCAGCTTTCGGCTATAATCAATGTTCCATGCGTAGTTTGTTTTGACAAAGGCGCTATTACTTCACCAAAAACAGCGAATTTTTTGCGTAAATTATGAACTAATTGCGCTATAAATAAACATGATTGTTTGACTAATGCACTTCGTAAATTACAACATCCAGCAACAAGTCCAGGTCCTAAATTTGAAAGCTTGTCTGAAAATTCATCAAATTCTAAGGCTCCGTCATTGACTAGACCCATTCCTCGTTTTATTGCCTTAACTTGTTCATCCCATTCAACGCCTTGAGCAATCTTTTCAGAAAGGTATTCTATTTCCTTGGAAGCTTGTGCTGCATTTCGAATATTTACCGGAGGAACATCAAAACCTGCTTTTTCGAATTCAGATCTCGTGTCCTTAGCTATATCTGCAGCAGATGTCATATTGTTTTGTGCAGATTTTTTGCTACGGATCATACGAAATTTCAGAAATTTTTATAAAAAAATGAACGTTTAAAAATTTCAATTCAATGAACATTCGTATCGGATTAGATCACGATAATATAGTAGGACAACTAGAGTTGCATAGACCTCATTCAAATTTGATTTTAGCGTAAAAATGTCAAAAAATTTTCATGACTGATTCATCAGAAGCTGACCATAAACTGGATAATATTGATTGCACAGATTTCTTACATATTTCTCCATTTTATTGCTATTGCTTGGTTCTAAAAGGATTACCACCTTCAAAGATATCTCATGATGAAAGAAAAAAGATGAAAGATAGTTGGAAGGATCTCAAAACATCATTCAAGTTATACTATGTCGATATGGCAAACTCAAAATGTGGTGGTAAATGGAATTCAGATAAGTTTTATGAAAAAGATGGGGTGATAATAGCACAGAAAACACAATTGCCTGTTCAAAGATTTACCCCTATTACAGATATTATTGATCTCCAAAATAATCAACAAAATAATGATTTTAATTCAGTTTTAAATAAAATAGAAAATACAATCAATCTTACTACTAAGATGCATTTATATGATACAAACAATTGGGCTGGATTTTCAAATTGAAAATTTTGATATTTTGTTTCTATCTTAATGCTTACATGCACACTTAAAGATAAGTAGACTGAACAAAATCCTAGCTTTAACCTAATTTAATTTTTAATTTTTGTTGTTTTTTTGTATGAAAAATCAAAAAAAATTAGACATTATACAAAGTTATATGATAGCTATCATTTGTAATTGTTAATAAATACCAGAGGAATACCCATACTCTAAATAGTTTTTACTTAAACCATTATTTATGCTACATCTCATTAATTTTATCTTTCTATTCAAATGATAAGCTTTCTATACTCTGCCAAGGTATAGTACATTCAGCAAATCAATCAATTTTTTTTTAAGTTCTGCTATTTATCCATTATGAATATTAAATATATTTTGAAAGTTCTTATTCTAGGAATATTTCCTACTGTAGAGTTTCATTTGGTTTGTCCTGTTAATTCTTGAAACCGCTATATTAAGGATTGATATTCAACTGATCTAGGTTGATGAAACTCTATAATATAGGTTTCCTTTATTTTAACTCTCAAAAACATTTCTGTGAGAAGTGATTAGTATCAAAAATCTGAAAAAAATAAAATAGAAAAATAAAAAACTATCATGGTGTTTATTTTAATAAAATTAAGATTGTAAACCGAAAGAAGATCCGAATTTTGATTATATCCGATCGATAGAATTTATATTTAATTTTTAATTTTGAATTTGTGCAGATTGTTACTGATATGGATTATCATTTTGTGTCTCTGGAGAATACGCTTGCGGCTGATATTGTGGAGGTTGATATGGCTGAGATGCATTAACCTGTGAATTTGGTTGAGGTGGATATCCTTGTTGTGGATAGTTTTGTGGTGGATACTCTTGTTGTGGGTAATTCTGCGGTGGATAATTTTGAGGGGGATATGGTTGTGGTGGGTAACTTTGTGGGGGATATTGTTGTGACTGAGCTGGTTGCTGAGGATATGGTTGTTGATAATATTGCTGTGGAGGATATTGTTGCTGTTGAACGCTACCTTGAGGTTGTCGATGCTTTTTGCTGCTTGAACTCGAAGATTTTCTTTTATCTGTGCGTAAATGATCTGGAGTACAGCATCCTTGTATTGTTCCTCTACGACACAAAATAAAAATCAGAAGTATAATGGCAAAAACCAATACGAATATATAACCAAAGTAACCAAAACTAGCCATGATTAAATATTTCAAATCTTTCAATTTTGTGTCACCAAAGAAAAAATAATAGTTGAAATTTTACTTTATTTATTTATATATAGAAAATTAAATTATTTTTATTGATGGGAAATTTCTGATTGTACGGTTTTTAAAATAATGAATATCCCTATGCAATATGCATATTTAATTATAATATGAAGAACAAGATTGAATGAAATCGGAGCATTTTAATAGCAAATTAAATATATTGTTGGGGCATTTTCTTAGGAGAGGGTAAATTTGAATACCATTCAAAAGTAAAAATTCACAATTTGTTCGATTTGGACATATAATCTATTATTATATATAATGTAATTAAGAAAAAAAATAAAATGACCTGCATATATTAATTATTTAGATTGCAAGATTCAAAAAAGCTATTAAAATTAGAGACTAAATAAATAGCGAATTGATTCATATGGATTTATGTAATTGTGAACATTAAAAGAGTTTATTTATTGATCTAATAAAAAAAGATAAATATTAATGAGAAAATTGAAAGAATAGAGTGTCCCATTCACTCGTGTTGGTCGCCAATGTATCATTCTGGGAGAATTGCCTCTGCATGTTTCCCACAATGGCACAACAATGTTTTGGAGAAAGACCTGGAAGGGGGTCCTTTCTCAAGGTCAGGGCCCCTTCTAGTCTTTTCTGGTCCTGAAGGAGCGCTTCTGACTGGTCTGTGCGCTGCTTCCAGGAAGATCAGGAGATTGCGCCAATAAGCTCCTATCAACAAATTTTGACTAAAAATATAAAGTATCCTTTTGTGATTTAACGAATAGCTCAATTTTAAAATAGATTTGATTCTAATAATAAATTGAATGAGTTTCGCTTACGTTTAGAATTTAATGATTTATATGATTTTTTCGTTCACAGAAGAGTCATTGATATCCAATATCAAAAAAACAGCAAAGACACACCATAATAAATGATATTGTGTTGCATGCTAAGATCAGTCATAATGTAAACCTCTCAATTTGATTGTCGTGGGAAGTATCTCAATTCCTTCAAAAAAATTGAAAAACTATTTAATTTTAAAAATATAATACTTTTAATTAGTTAATTAATTGGAGATATTTTTAAAAAATCACTTTTGATAATACTTTTGAGAACTTTAATTAAAAAAATATATTCAAAAATATCCAGGATATCAAGAGGGAATTGTTCCTTATGAGGTATATAGTTATGATGTATACCTCATAAGGAACAATTCCCTCCTTAAAACGAGAAAACTTGTTCGAAATTGTTTATCATTTCGAACAAGTTTTCTCGTTTTTAATAAGAAACTAAAGGCTATGAGGCACTGATTATATATTAGTGCCTCACAGCCTTTAGTTTCTAATAGATAGCTGGGAAACTTTCTCCAAATGATAAGTTATTCAGAGAAAGTTTCCCAGCTATCAAGAGGGAATTGTTCCTTATGAGGTATATAGTTATGATGTATACCTCATAAGGAACAATTCCCTCCTTAAAATCGTAGACATTTTTATACTTATTAATCAACCATTCAAAATCATATTCCTCTGAAAAGTTATTTTATTAAAAATTTAGAATTTTAATAAATATAGAGTTTGAATTTCATACAATACCTATATATTTTCAATAATGGAATTTGAAAACCATTCTCAAAAGTTCTCAGAAAACCTTTTTTTCATTAATTTTAAGAAATCTGAGTATTAAATTAAGTGATAAATTCGTTTGACACTACTTTAATTTTTAAATTCAAAAAATTATATGTGCTTCTTAAAATGACTCAAAAAAATTTTATTATAAAATAATATATAATATTAAAAATCCCACAACATTTTTTACTTTACATAATCGTACTTCCTCGACGATTAATTTCCACTCAATTTCTATCGTTGACCGAACTTAGCATGCAACAATTGAAGCTAAATATTACATATTTCAACATATCTAAAAAATTATTATAAGATTAGATCTTATGCAATGCCGAGCAGTTTCCTAAAGCATAATTACTTATTTATACAGAATCAATTATATAATATTCACATTGCAAATTATATACATTCTCACGAAGCAACATGAAATAGACTGTCCGAATTTGAATTCAAATAGAGATCTACTTCAAAAGGATTTCTTACAATATGTAATCTCGATGTTGATCACTGGAATACAAGGGATGCACGTAATTTACAATTTGTTGCAAAAATAGTAGTGCAACAAAAATTTTATTTTTAGCTTGTCACTTGATATATAACAATTGCAAAAACTCAATCAAAAATAGGATTTGAACAACTTTTTAAAATTGTGAGAAAAATTCTATCGGCACATTCTATTCAATTTTAAAGTATTTCTTTCATATTCCAATCGATTATTCAATATTTGCCAATCACAAATTTTAGTTCAAAATTCAAAAAATCCCTAATTTTAATTTCAGATGAAATCTCGCAAAAATAACATTGTTTTAACCATATAAATATATATTTTATATATTGTATAGTGATTTTTTAATATTTTTATGAGTAAAATCGAGAGTGAAGAAATGTGGACTACAAAAAACGATAGAAATGAATAGTTTACATGGGAATTCAATACTTACAAGTATTCAATGTCACTTTTGTGCTCGAGATTTTGACTCTAGTATAGATCACTTTTTAAAGCATAATTAGCTAAAATCTTTAATTGAAATTTTCAATGCTAATACAAATTTGATTATTAATACTAAATATCATATTCTTTGTAATTCCATAAGAATATTTTTCTAAATCTATTGAAAATTGAAATGAAAATTTTTATACGATCGCATTATGTACTGATAACTTTTTTGATAAAAAAAGATTTTGATTGTAAAATTGCAATGTAAAGTTCTCAATTGATGCAAGAAAAACGTTTGGATTTTTGTGATAAATATTTGACTTGTTTGATCAACTAAAATGAGTTTCGAAGGTCACTATCACTCCAGCTTACTCGCATGCTTCTCAGATCCTTGTTTATGTGTTTGCGGATTCTTTTGCACCCCATTTCTTCAATTTGCAAACGCTTATTCGTTAAGTACATATACTCCAAATTGCGTTACTGCATGCTGCTTGTTCATCCACCCATATGCTGTTCGTCTTGAAATCCGTAACAAGGAACATATGCCACTAAGTTTATTCACAGATTGCTTAGTAACCAACTTTTGTGCTCCCTGCGCTGTCATTCAAGATGCAAAAGAAATAAATCACATGCGCTACAATATGATGAGATATAATCGTCCATCAAGTAGACAAGTTTCACCTAGAATGTAATTTTATTTATTAAAAAAAAGAGGGCATTATTAATATTTTTAACCATTTATTCAAATATCAACATTATACTTTGTTGAAATAATTTTCTTTAATTCCTTGAAATAAGCTGTCTTGTTAAACTTACTCTGTTCATCCATCAGCATACATTTAACTTCAGTAAAATAGTCACTATGTCCCGATGAGTTTGCTTTCCAAAGAACATTTTCGGTCAATTCCTCTTCATCTCTGTCATAACAAATTGCTTTTGCTGTTGCAAATTTTTCCTTTCCGGTTCTTTCTTCTTTAGTTTCTGTACTTGAGACAAGCATCAGCAATAAAATTATCGCTTTGAGCTTGTCATCAGGTGAAAGTGTTTGTTCATTGTCATCAGGTGTAAGATTTTCTTCAGATGTTTTGTCATCTTTTTCAAAGATTCTCTTTCTTAACATTTCTTTACTAAAAGCTTCGTCTTGATCATCAAAACCAAGCGAAGATGACAGATTTAAGTTCGTTGAAATAGAATCACTTATACTAGTAATGAAATCTGAATCAAGGAACTTGAAAGAGAAAGTTGATGTCTGTTCAAGAATTTTCTTAACAATCTCTGTTGAAACTTGAACTGGGTTGAATTCAACACTCAACGTGTAAGATTTTGTACCATCTTGGAACTTGTGGAAATTATCGAATTCATTTTTAACAATAGCGAACAACAAACCATTGAGTTTCGCTTGAGAAAGATCAATATAATCTTTGCTTTCTTGTTTTTGGATCTCTAAATTGTAGTTATAAATCAATCTAATCAAATTATATGTCTTTGTCAATTCTTCGAGATAAGAATTGATTTGATCTTTGAAAGATCTGTCTTTGAGTGAAGGGTTTTCATTGATATATTCTCTGAAATCAACTAATTCTCCAGAATCTTCCGTTTTTCCAGATTTTTCCAAATCAGTAATGAATTCAACAAACAAATTATCCCTTCCGAGTTTTGATTTAATTCCAAGCAATTTATCATAAGAATATGATAAGCACAAAATGTAAAGAGCTTCGAGATGGCATCTGAACATTGCTTTCCATTTTTCCAAGAAGTCATAAACTGGCTTAATGTGTTTCGTTCTTTCTGCTTTTGATTCTTTTTCTTTAGAAGGTTTGACAAATTGTTCTAAAATTTCCAAAAACTTCATTTTCTGTTCAGAACTCTCGTTCATAAACAAATAATAAGTAACAAATGATTTGATAGTCATCAAACAATACTTTGTCGATTGGTAATTATTATCACTAGCTGTTACAATGTGGAATATCAATGCTTCTTGTGAATTTTCGTTAATGAAAAGTGCCAAATTTTTGTTGGCACTTTCTTCTTTTTCTTCTTGCCCTTCAAAGTGAATTTCATTTTCAAGGAAGAAACTGTTGACGAATTTAGAATTTTCCAAAGATTGCTCATTCTTGAAATCATTGAGCATGTCTTTGAAGAAATTACCTTTGTAGTACTTGATAAATTCGAACAATTGTGGATCAGTGTATGCTCGATCTCCTGCTTGAATTTCATGATCAAAAAGGTCAAAAATCAAATTTCTTGGATTTTTACCTTGGATTTTTTCTTTCAAAGTATAGTATTCGGAGCTAATTTCGGCCTTGTTTGTATCATCAATTTTCGATACTGCCAAGTCTTTAGTCTCATCTTGTTCAAAGCAATCTTTCAAATCAGGATTTTCGCCATAAATCTTCCTATCAATCGTGTTTGCTTTGATTTCATTACCTGTTAGACCTTCTGAATCTTTTGGTTTAGGAGTAAATTTGTCTTCTTCAAGCATCTTTGGAGAAAGGAATTCTTTCATTTGCTTAATTTCATCTTCAAATCGATTATTATCATTATGATTAAATATGTAACAGAAAACATATGATAAACTTGAAAAATTATTTGCAGAATTGAAAGATTGTACAATATTTCCTTTGATTCCTTGTTCATCCAAGCTCAAAATGAATCGTTTCGTTGGATAATCCAATTCTGAAAATTTCATTTTGTTGTCTACAATCTTAATAAAATCTATTTCATTCTTGAATTTATCAGCATTTCCTGTATTATCAGTGTTTTTAGCTATTTCTTCATAGCGCTTCAGCATGAAATAGAATTTATCATAGAATTCCTCCAAAGTATTGCAGAAACAGTTAATGAAAACTCTGTTCAAGTTTTGAATGTTACTTTGATTTTTGTTACTTTGATCTTTGTTACTTTGATCTTTGTTACTTTGATCGTTGAATTTCTTTAAACATTTACCAGCGTTTTCCTGGATATACTTTTGAACAAATTCACGAAGAATCTCCTTTTGTTCTTTTTGTATTTTTTTGTGTTTATTTTCCAAGTGACTCAAAACTATTTCATTAAGTGGATCGTAATATTTAGATTTGATTTGCTTATGAATTGCAACAATTTGATTTGCTCCAAAATTCTTTGATGGGGTATCAATCCAGTAAACAGGCCATTTACTTGTCGAAATAACGTAATCTGGGATTTTTGTTCCTTTAACTTGAAGAACGATGGCAACATGATTTGTACATTTTGTTTTATTGAAGAAATCTTCAATCAACGATGTGTAATGATACAATTCGTTATGGTCTTGATGAGAGATGGAAATGATTGTGTTCTTATTTTGTATGTAATTGAACAACATAGTTTCATTCGCAACCATTTCATGAAGAACAAAATCAATGTTTGATTCAGTTTCGAATTTGAAATCATTCACGTAATCGTTTGTGACACAAATACACATTTTCTTGTTTTGAATGTAATCGCTCAAATTCAAATGCATGTCTTCAACTGCAGGATCTTTAATCTCTTTGATTTCCTCTACACATTTTTTAAGATCTTTGTCATTTTTAATTTTCTCTTCATATTCTTTAACATAAGCTTCTGTGAAATGTTCCATTCCATATCTAATGATCCTTGCTCTAAGTATTTCATCATCGTCAATACATTTGTGATATTTTTCTTCATCATGATGAATTGCTTTGAATTCATCAATTATTTCCTTTAATTCTTCATCGTTTTGACTTGATTCGAGTCCGATATGGAAAAATTGATCATCAGTTGCTCCCAAATAAAACAATATCTCGTATTGAGAAGAAAATCCATTAAAGATTAAAGGTGTTTTGAATCTTTTAAGATGCTCAATCAAAATTTTCGCCGAACTTTCCTTCTGCTTATCTTTCTTCTTTTTTGCAAGCCATTGCTTCCTAAGAATTCCAATGTTTGATTTCTTGAATTCCCAAACAACTATGATTCCATCAATAGCATTTCCAGTATTGTTAAGATCTTCAAGTGTTATTGGAGAAACAATCTTTATTTGTTCATCTGGGCTGATAATTTTTTCCAAGTAGAAATTGACTTCAGGACTAATGGCAATTTCTTGCTTTGTGAAGCTCATTGAGCAAACGTTAATTTGATTAAGATCACATTTATTGTATTTTTCGATATCAGAAAGATCGTGGTTACAAGGTTTATCATCACCTGGGGACATTTTTCTGATTCTCATTGCGTCGAATTTGAACTTTTCAAATTTATTCATAAGTTCGTTTTTATCATTTTGTGTGAGTGTATCTTGAGCATCAACAAACTCTTCGAAATTCTTGATGTAATCATTAAAAGACAAAGTGATTGCGTTCAATCTATCCTGCATAGAAAGAGGAACATTGTTTACCAAATCTTTTTTGTTGCAAACCATCAAGAAATGCATTCTCGGCATCTGTTTTGGATTAAGATGAACAGAAAATCCATCAATATGCGTGTAAGGATTGTAGTCATCACTTGGATCATCAGGATTCGAGTAAGGTTTCTGTTGATTGACGATATCCAAGTTTAATTCTATACTTGGATTATTTCCTTGGATGAGGAAAATTAAATGTTCATTGGATCTTTCCTTCATGAATTGCTCGCAAATCTGGAGAGATGATTTGTTGGCGTAGATATTACGAGGCTGCTTGAAATTGTTCTCGTATAAATTGATGATAATGAATCGCTTGAAATAAGATAAAACATCCAAGAATTCATTAACAACTGGAACACTTTCATAGTGTTTAGTGATGAATAAAATGGATCTAGCCAATCTGTGGTCAAACAACAATGATTTAATGATACATAATACATTGTTATACTTTGGCAAGTTGTAATCATTATGTGGAAACTTTTCTCTCCAAATTGCTTTTGTTTTTTCAACAGCGTCTTTAAATGTTTCGCCAAGAGAAATGAAAGAAGAAACAACAATCGGATAATGGATTTCAATCGGATCAGATTGTTGCATGATGATTGTGTAGACAGGTCGCATCAAACTCTGACTGTTGTTGATGTATTTCTTGATAGAATTAAAGAAATTTTGTGTTGATTCATCAACATCATCCTTCGTAATTTTTTCAAGTGTCTTTGGATCATAATCAATATGTCCATATTTTTGTTCTTTTGTTAATGAATCGAAAAACTTCGCTTCGTCGGAATCTGGATTTTTAATGGCATATTTTTGTTTCTTCATAATAGAAAAGGCTCTGATTAAATCATCGGTTGTCGGCCTTGATCCCGAAATAACAACAGATCTATTCATAATAGCGTGGTCGATTTGGTAATTAGATGCTCCGACAGGGAAAATTTTTTCGAACTTTTCTGAGATGTCTGAAATATCATCTGATAATCCTGTATTTTGTTGATCTGTTTTGATCTTGTAATGAATACCTTTATCAAAGATATAATAGAGTTCTTTGATGTACAAGCTTGGATTGAGATTTCCAAATCCCAATTCATCAAGGAAAACCATAGCTGTGTATAGTCTAACTTGGTTATCTCGATGATGATGTCTCATGCAATCATAGAAATGAGATTCCAAACAACTTGTTTGAGAAATGATACTCGTGAGAAATGTCGAACAATAGAAATCATTTGATTCACCTGGTTCATTTGATGTTTCATTTGTTACAGGTTTATAATGATATATCTTGAAATATTCGACAGCCAAAGATTTAGCTGTTCCTGGTTTTGCAATCAATAAAATGGGTAACAATTCATGCATGTAATGGAATATATTGTATCCGATGTCAAGAGCAGCGAGATTGAACATGATGCTGTTAAGTTTCAAAATTTTTGGCTCTGGAATGTATTTGTAACATTGTGCAAAACTGTATTCATACATTTTCTTTTGAATATCAAAATTATAATTCTTATTTAAATGATCCTTGAATGCTTTGTTTAGAATCTTGTTCGCTTCGTGTGTGATGTAGCCTTGAACATCAACATTGAGCATCTTATTTTCACCGTTTTGGAGATATTCAGCCTTGTTGTCAATTTTAGCAAAACCAGGATTCAAAAATTGTACGAAATCAGCTCTGAAATTACGTTCTTCTACATCTTTATCTTTATCTTTTTCATCAAAAAGATTTGAGAATTCCCAGTATTTTTTGAGATTATTGATAGTGAAATTACTACTTTTGTCATCTTTGTCATCTTTGTCATCAATGAATTCGGCATTAGTCGTATAAGGCAAAATAAATCTCATGTAAATGCCAACAGAAAGAGCCAGCTCGAAATTTCCTGTTTGTTTATAAACCAACTTAAAAATGTGTGAAAAATGAATGGCATTTCTATAAGAAATTGCTGCCTTTTCGCGAATGATATTGTATATAACTTTATACAACTCCCAAATGCAATCTTGGATTACAAACCTTTGTTTTGACTCCAAATTAGCTGAAAAACCATCATTCTTCTTCCTCTTTTGTTTTGTTGTTGTATCATCATCACCATAATTTTTCGTTAATTCTGTTTCAATGATTGTCATCATGCATTGTTTTTCATCTTCATCGTTGAGATTAATTTCGTATTCGATTATTGCGAATTCGATCATTTCAGGAATATCTCTGACTTTGTAAGTATAGTTAAAGTGATTGATACGGAACAATTCCTTTTCTTCTGATGTTTGGAGATCCATGAAATTAATGGATTTTGTTGGCATAGAAATGAATTGTTTGTTGCCAATCAATGACAATTTCTTGGAGATTTCATTGGAATTGATCAATGGATTCGCTGCAACAATGAAAGAGATGTTTTTCTCTTTCTTCATGAAGATCTCTCGCATCTTGTGAGCGATGTAACAACCTGCGGTACATGTATTAGCTTCATCAACAAAAATGAGGTATTTTTTCGATTTGTTTTTTTGTACATCTTCTTCAATAGCTTCAACAATTCTTTGGATTTCTAATAACTCTGTACCACCATTGCAATTGATTGTCTTTGTAAGACTACCAGTAATTTTTGACAAAATTTTAGAAATGACATTAGAAATTTTTGTTTTTCCTGTTCCTGTGTTTCCAACTAAAATTACTTCTTGATGATTATAAACTCTCAACAAAGCTTTTAATAGTCGTTTAGCAATGGAATCATTCAATCCAACTTTAATATCATACTCCCTTGAAAGAAAGGTTTGGAAATCATTAGTATCGCATCCGTAAACATCACTTCCGTTCAAATTTAATTCATTGTCGAATGTGCCGAGCTTAAAATATTTCTTATTTTCCTTGAACCTGTCTGGAACTCGGATGAACATTCTGTCTTTATTATCGAACTTATCTGGTATAATATTCCATGCGTAAAGAGCTGATATCCTGTTCTTTTGGCTTTGATCTTCTTTTATCAAAGCAGTAACACGATTAAAAATGTCTTCATTATCTAACATATCAATATTTGATTTAGGATCAATTTTTGGCCAATTCTTTCAGTTCATTTCTTAATTCTGCCAGTTTCGTTATATCATTTGTTATTTCGTTTTCATAATGTGGTTCGTAAATCTTGAATGCATTGTCTGTCCTCAAATCAGAATCCCAATTATTTCTTAAATTGTTTAAATCAAAAATAAAGCTCAAATACTTTGTATTAGAAATATTTGGAGGGAACTCGAAAATGATCTTTTCAAAAACATTGTTAATATCAATGAATTCTCCAGTCTCATTGTATCCTGAGTTACCTGTTAACTTGCGCATAGAAATCAAATATAAATCATCAAAAAATTCTGGACATGCGTTTCCTTTGAATAGTTCTGGTGAAAATGTCATTAATATCTTTTTGTTGCTTCGAAGATATTCAAGGATCTTGAGCTGATATGATTTTTCTGGATCTTCTATATACATTCTCACACAATCTTTGATGTCATTTGTTAATATCTTTTGTTTGATTTGATCAAAGTCAATGTCTTTTTGTTCAAATTTAATTTCTTTTAGCCCTCCTTCTTTAAACAAATTTTCTTGGGCTATTGATGAAACAATGCATATGGCTTGCTGTGTTTCAGATGACCAATTTGAAGTAAGTTTTTTGATGGATTGGATTTCATCAGGAGCTAATGTTTCTGGATGAACAAAAATGACGGGTTGGCGGCCAATGAGTTTGTTAACGAGTTGCATTTTGTCTTTGAATCTATCGCCTGAACGACAGAAGATACGACAGTAATTGCGAGATTGTGGCAAATTTTGATATCCGGAAAAAACTTCGTATGGATGATTGACTTTGATGTATTTTATCTCTTTTTTGATCTGTTGTTCCTTTATGGAAACATGATCTGTAACGTATTGAAATCCTGTTTTCAAGAATGAATTAAAAGTATTAGATCTCTGGTTTTGTGAGAAACAAACGTCGAAGTTATCTAATGATTTTATCTTGCCTTTCATTTCGATGTCTCTGCCGATCTTCCATATTAAGCTGTTCTGAATATAATTCCTTTTATCTTGTTCGGGCTTTTTATTCTTCGCATTGATCATTCTAAGAGTTTTTTTCATGCTCTTTACTCTGTCTAAGGTAATTTTTCGTGCATAAAGCGGTGGATATCCTTGGTCTCTGAGCTTGATCAGAATTTCGCGGAGTTCGAGAACAGGTTCATAAAACGTGTTGAATTTTGCTTCAATATCAGTCTCACATGAGTGCTTAATTTGTGTACTCATAGCATTCAATTCGGAAAATTGAATTCGGATTGTACTATTAGTAACAAAATTTAACTCTACAAATGTCTCTTGAGGAGAAATGGTCCATAGAGGGTTGTTCTTCTCGTCCGCTATGTCCGAAGTTTTCATTCTTAGTTGTTTTTCACCTACATCCATTTTTTTGAATTATAATTTTGTTGGAATTTTAAAGTTTTTTTTTATTCCATTCCTTTCCATAAATTATCCAACAAAAAACAATTTCCTAAAGTATTCAATTTCGTGCTCATTGTTTAATTGATTTTTTCCACTTAAACTACTTACTTAACATATATTTTCCTTAAGTGAATGATTCAAGGAGAGATAATGAGAATTTAGATCATGTTAGTTGTACTCATATCATATACATTAAAGTTGGAGTATTTGTTTATGCAATTCATTTATTTATGAATCTGATATAATCTATACGAATCTATCATCTATTCATATGTTACTTTGTTCTCATATAGCTGAGATTAACTTTTCCCTAGAAAAAAACACACAATTATATGAAGTTTTGATAAAACATGCTGGGAAACCATTTTCAAGAAGCTTGAAACAATATTTTATTTATTCTCACAGCATTCTAAAGTATATTAGTTATTAATATTGATATTTCTCCATCAAATCCTTATCTTTGTCAAATTTTCATTGAAATTCAGTTCCACAGTTTTTTGACACTTTTGACAAAAAAAAATGATTTCTTTCATATTTACGTTATCGCTTTCTGTTTCGGAAGAAATAAATAAGACATCCAATATTAGTAAAGCGCATACAATTAAAGAAAATATTAGTCAGATTACCAAATCATCAATTGTTAATAATTCAAGTATAAATTTAACAAAGAGTCAGCGTATAGCCAATAAAACTAGAAAGTATAACGAATCAGTAGCTGATAAAGCAACTCCACAGCAAAAAACTATAAATCATTCCATAAATTCAACCAAATCAAATATTTCTAACAAAAATCATGCAACTTCATTAAACATTTCCAGCAAAAATTCTACAATTCCACACGAAATTAAAAATACAACAAAATATACCAATGAAACAAAAATAAACAAAAATTCAACTCTGAAAAACCAAACAAAGATAGAAGAAGTAATACCTAAGCATGAGAAATTACCAGAAAAAGCAAAGGAAACACAGAAAAAGCCATCCAAGGAAGTAGAAAAAGAAGATGAAACCAAAGATACACAAGATGATCATCATACATCTGATCCGGGCATGGAAGATGAAGATAGTCAAGATGATGAGGAAGATACAAGAAGACCAGTCCCCGGACAAGAAGAACAATTTGAATATGGTTTTCCAACGTTCAAATTACCAGAATTTTGGAGGGATAGTATTACAAAGAAGACATATCATTTCCCGCAAACACAAGAAGAATTCGATGCCCTCCCACCTAAATTCCAAAAAGCAATTTCAAAAATTTTGGAACAGAAGAAGAGCCAATACCTCAACATGATTATGTCAAATCCAAGATACAAAGCCGCATATGAAGAATATTTGCTTAGAAGTCAACAAAATCAAGATCCACCACAAAATTACGAAAATCAACAGACAAACGATAATTACGAAACCGTAAGAGATTACTATGACACAGAAAAATACCAAAGGCAATACAGATCCCAACAAAAGTACCGTGATGAAGATGTAGAAGAAAATGAAGATTATCAGCCTAAACCTCAACGCCAGGACATTAATCCTAGATCCAGATTACCACCTAATACCGAATTCGATGGAGAAGGCAGACTTACTTGCGTACAAGGATTTTTCGGATTTGAACCGATCGATTATCATGGTTGCTGGACATGCCATCCATCATGTCACTACAGAGCTGATTGTATCAACCCTGGATACTGCAAATGCGCTGACGGATACACTGGAGATGGCGTAAAATACTGTAATGCGCCAACACCGTTTATTCTTAAGGCCAAGAGTGTGAAAGGAGTATTATCAGCTCAGTACATTGGTGTTAACAAGGATTTCATTGTTAGAGAAGCTTATTGCAGATTTAATGAGAAAATTATTACAAATGCAACAAGTTATGGTAACAATACTATATTCTGCAAAGTTCCTGCTGGTCAGAGATTTGACCGTATCCGGATTTCTCTCGATGGATCCTCTTGGAGCGAAGAAGCTCACATTTTTAATATGTTTTCAAACAAACAGTTCATTCAGATATTCATAATCACGTTTTGTGTAGTTGGAGCAGCTGTTGCATGCATAGTAAGCAAATGTACAAGAGGAAATAGGAAGTATTACGATGAAGAACCATTGATGGCTAATAAGAACTCAATTCAAAATACTTATTTAGAGAATGGTGCAAATAATCTTGATGAAGCTCTTTAATTTTTGTATTAAATGTATTTTATAAAAATAATGATTTAATTTGATAAAAAATTTATTTTTTTTTATTTTATCAAAAATTTAGTGGTTGCAGTGGCAGTCTGGAGAGCACTTGCATCCTTCGTTGCAGTGGCATCCTTCTCCGCAGTGGCAGTCAGCTCCGCACTTGCATCCTTCGTTGCAGTGGCATCCTTCTCCGCAGTGGCAGTCTGGAGAACACTTGTTATCCTTTGTGCAGTGGCAGTCAGCTCCGCACTTGCATCCTTCGTTGCAGTGGCATCCTTCTCCGCAGTGGCAGTCTGGAGAGCACTTGCATCCTTCGTTGCAGTGGCATCCTTCTCCGCAGTGGCAGTCTGGAGAACACTTGTTATCCTTTGTGCAGTGGCAGTCTGGAGAGCACTTGCATCCTTCGTTGCAGTGGCATCCTTCTCCGCAGTGGCAGTCTGGAGAACACTTGTTATCCTTTGTGCAGTGGCAGTCAGCTCCGCACTTGCATCCTTCGTTGCAGTGGCATCCTTCTCCGCAGTGGCAGTCTGGAGAGCACTTGTTATCCTTTGTGCAGTGGCAGTCAGCTCCGCACTTGCATCCTTCGTTGCAGTGGCATCCTTCTCCGCAGTGGCAGTCTGGAGAGCACTTGTTATCCTTTGTGCAGTGGCAGTTGCTTCCGCATTTACAACCTGGGCAACATTGGCATTTGAACCATTGGGACTTGCCTGCGTTTTGCTTGTTGCATTCGCATGTTTGCTGTGAAGACATCTTCAAAAATGACCTGAGTAATTTTTATAGGAACTCAAATTCATTTTCAATACAAAATTTCCTCGCTCTCAAAAAATCTTTCTCAATTTTTTAATTCAATATATGGTTCGAGCAAACATGCTTAGTTATCAGTAATCAATAGGAAAATTCGAATTTTGTATATTTCATTTTATCTTTCAATTTTTCAGGCTCACTTCCTCTCAATTCTATTTTGCTGGTGTCAAACCGTCTTCATTGGGATTCACAAGTGCCTAATATTACTGTACAAATCTATTAATGCTAAGATCAGAGTCCTAATCCTAAGTAAACTCTCGAAATTCAACCAGAATTCTTAGATATTTACAACTTCCATCTTATATATACCTTTGAATAGAATGGTATTGAATGTAGCAAGTTATAATATTAGTTTGGGCTCAATCTCTATATACAATCAAGATTTTAACTTTTTGTCAAATGTCAAGTTTTCAAAATTGAATGCAAAAAAGACTTAGTTTCTTCAACGGAGCAGTTCTTGAATCATGCTCTCGTTTGGACGATATTATTCCTAAAACTAATTTTAGAGTCTCTCCATTCAGTTTATTTGGCGAAAAAGATGGATCTATGCATCTTGAGTGGATTCATCGTCCATCCACTTGTCTTCTTATAGAAAAAATTAATGACAAAGTTGCCAGAGAGTACCTAATTAAATCTGCAGATTTCTTAGCAAAAGTTAAACATTTTACAGTTTATGTTGAACAATATTTATACGACGCGGAAAAAGCATATACATTTTGGCAGCCATATAACACAGATCAACATGGAAACATAGATTTTATTCTGATTTTTGGAGGAGACGGAACTCTTCTCCATGCATCTTATTTATTCAACGAATTTTGCCCACCAATTTTATCTTTTGCAGCAGGATCGCTTGGATTCCTTACACAATTTCAAATGGAGGAATACAAAGATGCGATTGACGATTTAATTCGAGGAGTTCTATACATTAACTCCAGAACTAGATTATTTGGAGAGCTTAAGAACAGCGAAGACCAAATATTAGATACAATACAAGCCACAAACGATATAGTTATTATGCCAACTATCGCTTCTTCAGTTTGTTCGATAGATGCTTTTATAGATGGAGAATATTTCACAACCGTTATCGGAGATGGACTCATCGTATCAACAGCTACAGGTAGTACAGCTTATAATCTTAGTGCTGGTGGCTGTATGGTTCATCCATCTGTTTCTTCAATTCTTTTCACTCCAATCTGCGGCCATTCTCTTAACACACAACCAATAGTACTCCCCGATTGCTGCGAAATTTCTTTCAAGATTTCTGAATCAGGTCGAACAAATAGTCCATATAATATTAACTACGATTCAAAGAGAACTACTATCTCGAAAGGGAATGAACTGTGCGTAAGAATATCCGCATTTCCTTTACCAACTGTTTGCAAACAGTCTCCAATTGGAGATTGGCTCCATTCGATTTCAACAGTTTTACGTTGGAACCAGCCAATGATAAATATGACGGCTGATAACAACGAAGCTATGAAATCTTGCAATATCTCTGATAGAAATACTTATCATTAATTAATATTTATAGAATTAGTAATTCTTATGCAACTTAAGATAGAGAAAATCCAAAACTCTTTATGTTTATGATTTTGAATTTGAATTTTTTGTAAATTATCATTGTAATTTTATATTAACTATTTCACTATCTTTTTTAGCCTAATGTAATCATATTGCCTTTCCGTTCTACTGTTAATGAACAAAATTGAAATTTCAATATTAAATTCTGTATATTTATTATAAAAAAACACTTATGATGTAGTTCGCATTCTCAACGTATGGGATAATAAAGGAGAGATATACACAAATGATATAAAAATCAAAATATATATCTAATTTCCAATTTATTTTGCATTAATTGGATCATTGAATAAATAAAAAGTCTCTTCTAGTTGTTTTGTTGCTACATCTAGCTCTTTCTAAGTTCAAAATAACATCAAGACTTTCCTTGTTGAAGGAATAAAATCATCATTATTACTATACATGATATTTGTATAGTATATATCATTTTTATTATTATAGCTGAGATTTTATCACCTTTAAATTGATGAATGAAAAAAATTTAATATCAGAATCAAAAAAATGTTGGTTTTTTCCACTTCAAAAGGATTGAACTTAAGAGTTTGGATAATAATAAAGCTAGCAGGTTTTCCAAAAAATATTCAAAATCTATTTTTTCATATGAAAAATCAAATATTTGATTTTCATTTTTCTTTTTTCGATTTTTTTTTGGAATTTTCACTTATGACATAGGACAGAATGAGTATCTTAATTTTATTACAAATCGTATGATATGATGAATTATATTATTATTTTAAAAATACATTTTTGATATCAAATATCAAACCAAATAATATTCAATTTTAAAACAAACGTATTACACTGTTTACAAATCTAAGCTAAATTAGTAGAGTACATCGATGAAAAGAGTATATAACAGGTTTTTAGTATATTTATTTTCATATTAGATGTTTCAACACACAATATTAAAATTGTAGTTGGCACATGAGATATCTGAACTTGTTGGCACTAGGTGCATGATAAAGTAAGCTTCAATTTTATACCAATATTGTAAATTGAACCAATTATACGGCATTGTATTGATGTACAATTCGATTTATGATATAAAACTGATATACTACTTGCACCAGATTGTGCCATCGTAACATTTAAGAGATTTCACGAGATAATTCTGGATGATTATATAACTCAGGATTGGCTTAGCCGATTTTATCCAAACTACATATGCATAGTCGGCATCTGGAGTTTTAGGCCATAATTTTGGTTAGATGCGAGCGTTTGTACCTTTGATTTGACGTCTAATAAAAATTGAGATAAAATTTTAAACGTCACTTTTTAAATGAATGATTTTGATTATAAATACCATAAAAGATCACCTAAAAGGTGGAATTTTGATGAGCTTAATAATGAAAAAGAGTACCTAGATAACATTGCTATCGATATTTTAAGTACTTGCAGAAGTGAATTTACTGATCCAGAAAATTTTCAATTTAAGCCAGTTATTACACCAACAATTTCCTCACCACATCGTTTAAGCACCGCAAGTTACTCAAGTATTTCATCTAAATCTGTTTCTAGTCAATCATCAAATTCATCAACTCCACCAAATAGAAATAAATCGCAGACAAGTAATAATTTCGAGTCAAATTCACATCAAAGTTTTGCTTCTTTTCTGTCTGATAGCGATCATGAAACATTTAGTAGCTTTGAGAAGAAACCTAAGCCAAAAAAGCAACCAAAACCATATAGAATCAAGAGAGATCAAGAAATAGATGAATTTGTCGATAATATTACGGATTATACAAAATGGAGAACATAAGAGGTATTTTATCCTTGCTGCCCATATCACTCCTTTTACAATTGATCAGGAAGAATCAACAACCGATTTATTTCAAACAATTTTGCGATAATTTTGATTTGATATCAATTTTATCAATTAATTTCAAATTTTATTGTCCCTTTGCTTTAAGTAGATTATTTCGAATTGAATTACCATGATATGGTATTCAAATAACTTTCTATTTTAACAATATGAAATACCATATTGATTTTTATAGATATTGAACCTTTCACCACGCTTACACACGAAGAATGTTACGATCGAATAAAAACTTCATCATCTTTTACCAAATTTAATTTTTTTTATTATTTTGCTTTTTGTTTGAATAGCTAATTAGAATCATAATGATTTCGGTTAAAATAGATTATATAGCTCCAATTATACTAATGTACTTTAAAATCGATATTCTAACATGTTATTAATGATATTAACATGCCATTATGCGGACAAATTTAATTTTTGCACTATGAATTACTTATATTCTGATTTTTATGCTAATTGTCTGAAAGCAGGAAATCCAGAGAAGAAGTTTGTAAAGTTCTCAAAATAAAGCATTGCAGATGAGATATCTCCATACGACAATTCAAAACAGCCAAAAGATTCTGCAATGCATATCCCTTGACCAAAATGAACAGGAAGGCATGGTGCTAGAAATTTTTCGAAATTATGCACAAGTTCTTCTTATTGAAAAAATAAATCAAGAAGTACAAATAACAAGACATGAAATGTACCCGTTTGGTGTTGAAATTAAGCACGTAGTTCCAATTGGCTCCCACTTGGCCGTCATTACTAATGATTGTCACTTGATGATGACAGAATCCACTCCTCCTTTCAAGCGTGTATCATGCGACAAGCTTTACAAAGGTAACACTCCTACGAGCATCCCTATTGCTCACTGCGCAGCGTCAACAAACGGAGAATTTCTTGTTTGTTGTGGCTATGTTGGAAACGCAGTTGTAGCTTCATTCGATTCAGAAGATAAACCAACAATCAAAACCATCAAATTCCCAGAAAACTTCATCATTCATAGCGCAGTTGCTACAGAAATGCCAGAATATTTTGCATTTTTAATCTCATCTATTGAAACCAATCAAAAGCATATCATTAAAATCGATGTCAATGATTCAAAGCTCTTCGAACACATAGAAGTTGATAATGATTCTCGCGAATTAATTTCAGTTTTTAACAACGAAGGTTACGCAAAGCAATACTTATTCACTGACCACAAATTCAAAGCTGGAGTATTCCAAGGTGTTGTTGAAGTACCAATTGAAGCTCCTGTCGCTTCTTATTTCTCAAATATGGCAGGTGAACTTGCTTATCAATTGACCAACGGCAAAATCTACGTTTGCGATCCGAAAGACTTCCAAATCACACCTCGCGGAGAACTACCTTTGATCTCTCATTTCTGTCCCCTACCAAATGACCTTCTTCTATGCGTTGCAGAGCATGGAGATGCGTTCGTCGTTCAAGTAGCTCATACAAGCGGTCTCTGCAATAACTCAATTAACTTCGAATACTTCCCTAGAACTCCAATTCCTTTAATGCCCGTAATTTCAAACGCTCAGTTCGTAGAAAACGATATGGTTGTTTGCAGTGGTGTTGGCAAGTACACAAACATCGTTACAATAAGCAATACAATACCTCATACGATATCTCAGATTGATTACAACCAACAAGAGTATTTTTCACGTAATTGCCCAACATTCAAACAATTGTCGAAATTCCCGAACCACCAATTACAGTTATTTGCACTCCAAGAAGGAATTCTTGTTTCTACGCCGAAAGCAACAGTCAGCGTTACAGGAAGCTTCAGCAAAGCCTTACAATCCCAGAAAACCATCAAAGCAGGAGTTTTCAATGGCGAAACTGTTCAGATTCACGATCATGGTATTGCATGCTTAACTTCTGGCAAACAGTGGTATAGCGACAATATTCTCGTGGCAGCAGAGATCACAAATGATATGATCGTGGTCTGTGAACCAACAGGGGATGTCTCATTATTAGGTACAGACTTAACCGTGGTCGCTAAGACAAATATACCTGCAGCGAAATGTTTCTGTTTCTGCGACGAACTACTCGCTGTCGCATCCGATAGCGATAAAGGAACGGCCATTATTACAATTTACTCGAAAGACCTTACGCCAACGGACAATGTCCTTCAGCTTACAACACCCGTGAACAGTATGGTCTATATTGAAGAGCAGAATGCTTTGTTCGCTTCAGCTTTCAGTGGTAATGTAAATAAATATGCTTTCGACAACCTCGGTAACATTGTTCAGAGCACACAGACCATCCTTACGACAGCAGTCCCTGCTTCGCTTCTCAAATTCCATGATTCTGTTTTAATTATTGCAGATAAAGTTTTTTACTTCTTCGGAGACGAACTATTCGCAATGAGACTTGATACAGAAGAAATCATTGCGGCTGCCTCTCTTCCGAACGAGAAATCTTTTGTCATTCTCACTAAAAACGACAAACTCCAGCAAATAGACGTAGAAAACACCGAAAACGACGTAAACAGAGTCTTGTTCCCCGTCAGCCAAATGCCAAGAAGGGTTATCGTTGATGGAAAACGCTCATATATCATATGCAGGTCGAATCGTGGCTTAAATACCATATCAAGCATTGTTGTCATAGATAAGGAGATCAATCTCGGTACTTATCCAACAAAAACTTATGAAATGGGAATTGAAGTCACTTCACTTACTGTTTTACCTGGCCATTGCATTATCGTATGCACGAACAACTACCACAAAAACACATGGAGCCTGACGAAGTACGATTGCACGAATCCAACATGTTTTGTCGAAATTATCTCGAAGAAACAATTTGGATTGCAATCTCCGCAAGCCGTTACGTATGTTCCATCACAGAAAGCAATATTATACAGTAGAGCTGGCGATCAGTCCTCATTGATGGGCGTTGACGAAGATTTGAAGAGTGATTGGAAATTCCGTATAGTTTTCAATTCATTTTCAATGCTAACTGTTATAAATAATACTGTATGGTGCGCTTCTTCCATGGATAGAGTCTCCGCGATCAAATTTATCACTGATTCAAAGACACAAACACAGAAAACAATTTTGGCGACTGAAGCCATGCCAAGGCAGGCCACAGCTATCGTAGGTTTAGACGATAATTCAGTTGCTGTAGGAGATAAATTTGGAGGAATCACAATCCTCAGACTTAGCGATGATTTCGCTGTCGACATCCCATGGAAGTTCGCAACATCATCTACCGCATTAATACAATACAGCGAAGGCCAGAAGAAGCCAATTCCATTAGATGTAGGTCGAATTGACAGAGTTGCTTCTTTCATGGTCGGAGAGATGGTCACTTCACTTATGGTATCTCCTGCATCAAAGACTTTGTATTATACAACATTACTTGGTCAGATTGGTGTTTTGATTCCAATTTCAAACGAAGAAGAGTTTAACAGCTTGGCTTCCGTTGAAACACAGACAGAGAAGGCTTGCTCGAACTTCTTCGGATTGATGTATCCAAAGGCTATAGATAGCGGAAGAATGGGTATCTTAAACTGCGATATGATTGAGATGCTCAGATTATTACAGGAATCAGATCAAGAGAGAATAGAACAGGGTCTTAAGATCCATAAAGAAGCAATAATGGGCCTTATTTGCAGACTCAAAGCCAGTGCAAAGTTTTAGAAATAATATTATTTTTATTTTTTATTATAATGTCATAAAATTTTATTATACAGGTTTTAAAGATGCACTCTTTTTATGCATTACTGTTACATAATCTAGAAAAATGAAAAATCAAGATATATGTTCGCGAAAAGCCTGAAAAAGTAAAGATTCAAGAAAATATATGATTTACTGCATTATGCAAATTATATTTAGGCTCCTATTGGAAATCAATTGATTCTGGATGAGATGATGATCATATTTGAAATCAAATTATATGTTATTAGTAAAGAGATTGTAGCTATGCCCATATCACATAAAAATCTTTCTATATAGACCCATCTCAATCGTGCTTCTATGAGTTCATAGCTCTAATTTATGAGATTTGTCCAATCATCTTTAAGATAGTTCGTTTTGGTGTAATATTTTATAACTTGGAAGTTTTCTATTGAAAGTAATTGAATATCAGACAATGTTTGCTGAGATCTGTTCTAAAAAGATCTCAAAGAACTGAATAATGCTTATTTGGAGCAGAATTTGCTGATATAGAGTGGTAGCTATATTGGGAATGATCGCTAACATGCTTTTTAGTTACAAGTAGTGAGAATTTCTCAAAAGTGACAATAAATGGATTCTGAGAAAAAGAAAGGGAGAAAACCAAAGAATGCCAAGAATGAGAAGCCAACAAAGGAAAAAGGAAAGAAGGGAAAAGGCAATAATAAAAAAGATGCAGCAATAAAAGAGGAAGCAAAGCAAGATAAGCAAATTAAAAAGAGATCCGCATGGAATTTCTACTTTGGTGAAGTTCGCCAGCAGCTTCAACAAGAATTTCCAGATAAGACCTTCCCAGAAATCACAAAAATCGCTTCAGAACGATTTAAGAACCTTGATCCTAAACTGAAAGAAAAATACAACGAACAAGCCCTTAAATCAAAAGCTATATACGAAAGTACTATCCAAGCTCAAAATCCAGAAAATGCTCCGATTTCCAAAGCCGAAAAAGAAAGGAAACAAAAAATTTCTCCATACTTTAGATTTTCTGTTTTGAAACATGAAGAATTAAAGAAGAACAATCCAGACATGACATACAAAGAGCGTGCTGCAATAGTTTGGGATGTTTGGAAATCTTTATCGATGATTGAAAAGACATATTTCGAAACAGACGCAAGTGCTGCTACAGCCTCTCTTGAGCATCACGAAGAGCCAAAGGATGAGGAAGAAAAGAAGAATTCTGACGCTGAAAAAGATAATTCCGATAAAGAAGACCATTCAGACAACGAAACAGGAAATCAGAGTAAGGATACTACAGATGATCATCCAGATGATCAACCAGATAACGAAGAATCAAATAATCAAGAACAAGATGAAAATCAACACTCAGAAGCTCAGCAAGAACATTCAGAGGCACAACAGGAGCACTCTGAAGCTCAACAAGAACATGAAAAAGAGAAAACTTATACAGAAACAAAGAAAAATGAAGAAAGTGTAAATTCTGAAAAAATCAATCCAGAAAATACAAATAACGATGTCAAACAAGTAGAAAACGAGCCTGCTAAAGCAGAAAATTGATTTGTATATTGTTTTAATTTATATATTAATAAATTTTTGTCTTTATTATTGTTGTAATTCTCATACTTCTACCATTTGATAGCCATTGTATTTTATTGCAAGTAACACACCTAGATGTTTTTTTTTATAACTTAGAATATGATATCTCAGAATTTTCATAGAGGTAAACTTGTGAAATATATCTTGCAGTAATTTACCATTGAAGGGACTTCTTTTTATTTAGAAAGAAACGCTAAATGATCTTTACATTATGGTGTTTTATGGATCTATCCGAATAAATTTTATGGGTTATCAAATTTTCTTTTTTTTCTCATAATAGACATGTTTTCATTCCATGTAAATATGCTCATTATATACATCAGTCCATATAGATACATATTGCTATAAGGGATTTACTCTCAAACATTTTATATGATGAGCTAGATGCAATTAAACTATACTTAAATTGAGTTCAATTAAGATTGATTTTTATGTTACAAATGGGACTTTGAGTCCAGTATACTATGATAAAATCGTAAGCATATCGTACCTAAGGCAAATATATACCAAAAGTTATACTAGTTCAATCCATTGCCTTTATCTCAAAATACACTGGATAACTTGTGTCACTTTTCCAAAGATATGAAAAACAAAAAAAAGTTTGATTCCTTTGATTTGTTAGTTAGAGTTTTCTGTTCATTTAATCATTTAACTATTATACATGCTTTTTATTATATCAAATAGTAATTTTTAAAATATTTTTTTGAGGCGTCGGTTGAAAAAATTGAATAAGTGAAGTTGCATTTATAATGGTCCTTTCGTTTTTGTTTGCATCATTATGTCTTAGTGAGAACCTCCCACTTTGGCCGAAGACTTATCATCTTCGAGGCAAGTGGCAAATTCCTTACCAAAAAATCAATATTCCTTTCCTTGTTCAAACAGATTTAAAGAAAAACAGGCAATCAGAAACAAGCTACGAAAATCTCCTTAACGAAATCCATATTTTAGGCACTGGTGTTTATCAGCTTCAAGTTTCTTCAGAAGTTGGCCCAACCTGCCACTTATCTCCAGTTGATGACCCAGATGATGATGAATTAACAGAATACCTTCCAACAGACAACAAGCAGTGGAAATACAAGGGAACAACTGTTATCAATGGCAAAGAAGCTAAATATTGGCAATATGACTATGAAGGCATCGACAGATGGTACAATCGCTTCTATGTTGAGAAGAATACAAATACACCACTTCGCTATCTCATGAATGGTCCAAGTATTCGTGGATCACACGCCTCAGTCTACATTTTCGATATTGAAGACTTCGGTCCAGAGCTTGACGAATCTCTTTTCTTAGTTCCAAACGGCTGCATCAATTCCACAGAGTCATCTGGTCGCCGTCGTCGTGATCTTTCTCGTCCACGTCTTCCAAAGGGATCCAATGCCGAAACATGCCCAACATACGATCAGAAGGTCATCCAGAACCTTCCAGAGTCATTTTCATGGCGTAATGTCCCATACGTCCTCGAATATCCACATGATCAAGCTGTTTGTGGTACATGCTTCGCATTCGGTGCATCCGAGGCTATCAATGGTCAGTTCTCTCTCAGAGCTAATAGATCAATCATTACTTCAGTCCAACAACTCGTTGATTGCACATGGGGCACAATTAACTACGCATGCGATGGCGGCGAGCACGACGAAATCTACAGGATCCTTAGGGAATCAAAGATGGAGCTCACACTCGAAGATGAGTATCCATATCTCGGAGTTGGCAGTTATTGCGGCAAAAACTTCAAGCATACAGTTGGCTACGTCAAGGGATGCTATAAGATCCCAGAGCACGACAACGAGAAGCTCAAATCCGCTCTCTTCGAGCACGGACCACTTGCTGTCGGAATTATCGCTGATCAGGATGGTTTCGGCACATTAACAGACAACATCTACGATAACGCTAACTGCTACGTCCACGACAAGGTAAAGATCGACCATTCCGTACTTCTTACAGGATGGAAGAGAATTAACGGCGTCGACGCTTGGGAAATCATGAACTCATGGTCAGACGTCTGGGGCGATCATGGCTTTGGATACATTGTAATGGGAGATCACGATTGTGGCATCACGGAGGACGTATTCTTCCCAATTGTCCACTTCGAAGAAAAATTCTATTAAATAATAAATAATCAGTTCTTATTACTTACTTTTTTTCCTTCTCTATTTACTTTATTTTCAATTTTGATATTTTGAAAAATTCAAATGAAAATTCTCTTGACCAGATATTCAAATAATAATATTTTAAAGAATTCGAATATTCCCCACATTCTCAAATTGATCTAATGAATCATTCACTGAATCATATTGAAAAAATAGTTCATTACCATTTAAATTCAGCCGCGAAAACATAAATGCGAAATTGAACAATAGTTGAGAAAAAGTCTTCTTAAAAAATTTGATTTCTTAGACTTTTAATATTCACTATAATATATAAATTTGAAGTACATCATGAAAACTCTTAGAAAAAGAAGTATAGTGACTATAAATAGACCAATATTATGATCATATATGATGCATAACTAATAAATTGATTAATAAAAGCAAGCAGAGCAAAATATATTAAAAAAAGTTTTAAAAATAATGAAATTTATACTTTTTCTCCTGATCCAGATTCACTCGATTTCTTCCTAAAAACGAAGAACCAAACAAGAACGCAGATAATTACAATAAAGGCAATCACACCAATTACGATGCCTGCAATTGCGCCCCCACCAAGACCGTTCGATTTAGTCTCTTCGTCTTCATTGCTTTCTTTAACAAATGTTACGTCGCTATCTGCTGAATGAGCCTTAACTTCTTCCTCTGTTTTGACACCAGGTGGAATTTCGTAGATAATATTGCTTGCAAAATATGATGGGTTTTTTGCATTTGCTGTTTTTTCAGGCTTAATAGTAATATGAATTTTTGACTCATCAACATATTTACCTTTTTGCAAATCAGGAAATGCCATTATAGTGTGGCCTGAAATATTTCCTTTCTTTGATTCCTCAGAATTATTCATCAGAAAGAGATCGAAGTTATTGCTTCCTGTTCCTTCAATTTTCTTGCTTTCTGGTGTATATGCAGTTAAACCGAATGTTACCATTTTATCTTTCGTATATAAAACTTTTTGATCAAATTCAAATTCGTTCTTTGTTGTAAAGAATGAATAATTAGTTACAGAATCAGTATGAATTGGCTCTGTAATTGTGGCAAGTTGAATTATGCATTTTACTGTAGAGTCAGAACATTTAATAACACTTAAGTATTGAGATCCACCTACACTAAATAGATTTTCATATGTTTTACCTTTGTCGTTTTTATTAGACCTATCATAAACTGTAACTTTGTATTTTGACGTTGATGCGAAAACAAAACTTCCATCTGCGCATATTGCTTCACCTTCTGGAATATAGAGCTGTTGATGATATGGATAATCATAAATACTTAATGCTTCCTTGCATTCATCTGGATACGCATACTTTTCATTTATTTCTTCTGTGAATATATTCTTATTATCCTCAGTAAATTTGCTAACTTCTTCAAGAGTGAATGCATCATCACCTGGAAGAATGTAGAACACATCTTCTCCAAATGGATTTTTGAAATTAGAAGCTGTTTGTTTTGTTGTATCTTCTTTCCATACAACATTAATTTGCTCAGCAAGTTGCTGACCTAAAGTGGATAAGCCAAGATAGGATGCAGCACCAAAACTATCTGAGATATCACTGAAATCTTTAATAACCGAATGAGGGTTCACAGTGAAAACTGGGGGATATTGAGTCCATGTAAATAGTCCTAATGATCGTAGTGGAGAAATAACAATGTACTTATTGAATGATTTCATTGTCGTAAAAACGGTAAAAGATTTCTTGTTATTAATACTTGGATATGAAGAACTCAATCCTAAAATGCTTACTTGCAAATCCGTAGAAGGGTCCTTTGCTTCTATCTTCATTTCCTGAATATTGGAATAAGATCCAAAGTAAAATGGATTTTCTTTCGTTCCTGTTTTTATAATAATTTCTTCTTCATTGATGCCTCTTTTAGAAATCTTATATGTAGCTACGAATTGATTATCAGATTTTATAAGCACTGACCCTTTTATGCATAAAACTGAGCCTTTCGAAACAGTTTTTGTAATGAGTTTTGATGGCGGATATACATCGATTGAGTTACTATAACTGCATCCTTCAATGGATATATCTGTTGAGCAAATATTGTTCAAGAAAAATGCAAACATAATGTGATTTGAAGTAATATTGAAATATAACCGCTATTTCTATTGAATTATTTTATGTTTAACACACTATAAACATTTCCAATTACAAACAATAATTTCATAATTTTGAACAAAAAACCGTTGCTCTGCTTCTAACGACGATAAAAAATTCTATGAAACCATTTACTTTTGATGTTAAAGTTTATTTCGGAATCAAAAACAGATCTACTCTTTTGGATGCCTTTTAAAAAAGGGGTATTATTATTGTCGTCTGGCAGTTTTAGACGACAATACGAATTTTCAAATAATAGGATTTTTAGCCAGATAAAGAGCTACTCCATATATCATGCTTGCTTGCACACTATATACATAGATGGAATTGATGTTCTTCCTTTATTTAGGTACCAAAACATGCTTGTAAAATCTCTTTTTTAGACGACAATGATAATTTTGTCACTTTTCCAGACGACATTGATAATTTTGTCACTTTTCCAGACGACAATAAAACATCTTCTTTAAAAAACAGCTTTTAATAAAATGCAGATTAATAATGTTGGATTTTTCATTATTGAAGTATCAAAATTAAAACATTTAACAGACACATTTTATGTTTGTTTGTCTTAATTTGTTATTTTTCTGGGTTGACTTTTTCCGATTCTAATTTTTCTTCATTTTTCTCTTCATCATGCATTTATTGAACTTCGGAGTGTTCTTGATATGACTATGAAGGCATCGACAGATGGTACAATCGCTTCTATGTTGAGAAGAATACAAATACACCACTTCGCTATCTCATGAATGGTCCAAGTATTCGTGGATCACACGCCTCAGTCTACATTTTCGATATTGAAGACTTCGGTCCAGAGCTTGACGAATCTCTTTTCTTAGTTCCAAACGGCTGCATCAATTCCACAGAGTCATCTGATCGCCTTCGTCGTGGAATGTTTGTATTTAAAAGAAGTTTAATCTCCATTGCATTCTCAAATAGATCCAATGAATCATTCATTGAATCGTATTGAAAAATAGTTCACTATCATTTAGATTCAGCTGCGAAAACAATACCTAAATCCATAAAAGTTTAGCAATTCTTGTATTACCTGTTTGCACAATAGCTGAGAAAAAGTCATCACGAAAAATTTGATTCATACAGCTTATAAAACTCACTGAATAATACAATATTAAAGCTCATCATGAATATTATTAAAAAGAAATATAGTGAATATCGAAAACTATGGTTTTAAAAAGTGTTTATAAGCAATTTATACTTTTTCTCCTGATCCAGATTCACTCGATTTCTTCCTAAAAACGAAGAACCAAACAAGAACGCAGATAATTACAATAAAGGCAATCACACCAATTACGATGCCTGCAATTGCGCCCCCACCAAGACCGTTCGATTTAGTCTCTTCGTCTTCATTGCTTTCTTTAACAAATGTTACGTCGCTATCTGCAGAATGAGCCTTCACTTCTTCCTCTGTTTTGACACCAGGTGGAATTTCGTAGATAAGATTGCTTTCAAAATATGATGGTTGATATTCACTTGATGATTTTCCGCGCGCAATAGTAATATGGAATTTTGACTCGTCAACATATTTTCCTTTTTCCATTTTAGGCGTTGCCATTAAGACTTCATCACCATAAACATCTTTGTACTGAGAGAGGCCGAGGTTATTGCTTCCTGTTCCTTCAATTTTCTTGCTTTCTGGTGTATATGCAGTTAAACCGAATGTTACCATTTTATCTTTCGTATATAAAACTTTTTGATCAAATTCAAATTCGTTCTTTGTTGTAAAGAATGAATAATTAGTTACAGAATCAGTATGAATTGGCTCTGTAATTGTTACACATTGAACTCTACATTCTTTAACAGAGTCATCGCATTTAATAACACTCAAGTACTGAGATCCACCTACGCTAAATGGGTTTTCATAAGTCTTACCTTTGTCGTTTTTATTGGTCCTGTCATATACAGTAGCTTTGAATTTTCCTCTTGATGCGAAAACAAAACTTCCTTCTGTGCATATTGATTCACCCGATTTGAGATTTGCTATATTATAGTATGGATGATCATAAAGACCTAATGGAGCCTTGCAATCATCTGGATACATATACTTTTCACTTATTTCATCTGTGAACATATTCTTATTATCCTCAGTGAATTTAATAACTTCTTCAAGAGTGAATGCATCACCACCTGGAAGAATGTAGAACACATCTTCTCCAAATGGATTTTTGAAATCGGAAATAGGTTGTTTTGTTTTATCTTCTTTCCATGCAATATTAACAGGCTCAGTAATTTCCCTACCATAAGTGCTTAAAGCAAGATAACATTGGTAACTATTCTCAAAATTTGTCCTACTGTAATTATCGAAATCTTTATGAATCGTATGCGTGTTTACATCGAAACTTAGTGGATATTGGCTCCATGTATATAGTTGTAATGATCTTAATGGAGATATAGCAATGAACTTATTGAATGATTTCATTGTCGTAAAAACGCCGTAAGTGTAAAACATACTCGTTTCTGACGGTGCCACTCCAATAATTTCTATTTGTAAATCTTGGGAAGGATCTTTTGCTTCTATCTTCATTTCCTGAATATTTAGATAAGATCCAAAGAAAAATGGATTTTCTTTTGTTCCTGTTTTAACTATCGTTTTGACTCGTGTATAGTCTTCCTTGGTAATTTTATATGTAGCTACAAATGGTTTATCAGATTTTATTAATATTGCTCCTTTAATGCATAAACTAGTACCTTTCGAAACAGTTTTTGTAATGAGTTTTGATGGCGGATATACATCGATTGAGTTACTATAACTGCATCCTTCAATGGATATATCTGTTGAGCAAATATTGTTCAAGAAAAATGCAAACATAATGTGATTTGAAGTAATATTGAAATATAACCGCTATTTCTATTGAATTATTTTATGTTTAACACACACTATAAACATTTCCAATTACAAACAATAATTTCATAATTTTGAACAAAAAGCCGTTGCAATGAAAATCCTATGAAACAATTGATTTTTGATGTTAAAGTTTATTTCGGAATCAAAAACAGAGCTGTTCTTTTCTCGAGGCACCAAATGAACAAAAAACCGTTGCACCAAATGTTATGAAACAATTTACTTTTGATGTAAGAGTTTATTTCGGAATAAGAAAAAACAGCTTCCTGATAAAGTTGCAATTTCTATGATAGAATTATCAGAACTAAAAACATAATTCACTATATTCATTAGTTATTTTTTCTGGATTGATTCTATTGGATTCTAAAGTTTCTTCATTTTTCTCTTCTTCATGCATTTGTTCAACTCAATGGTGTTCTTGCCAAGTATATTTTTAATTAAATGATGATTAAATGATTCATGAACAATAAAAATGGATTCATGTCATTATATGAGCACAATCGCTCACTTCCTTTATTTATTGTAAATTGTCTAAAATCAATAATTTTTTTATTTCAGACTCATTAATCAAAGAAATGGCTACATTGATGATTTTATGGTATTTCTTCTTATTTTATCATATACGAAATAATTTCTTTCATTTTGTAAGAAAAATCAAGAAAATTTAAGGGGGCACCCGTATGTACGTTTATTTGAGAGGAGGAGGATTACCCTCTCAATTTTGAGGGATTCGTTAGTTTATTTTCTCGATGAATATGCAATAAAATTTGATTTTTACCTTATCAATATACTTCATATAATATACACATGTTCATGTAAAAACTTTTTTCCAAATCCTCAGGAATTAAGGGATTTTTGAATTTTAAGAATTTTTTTCGAATTTTTTCGAAAAAAAAAATATTTTCAGAACAGCCTTAACGGCTAAGATTTAGGAACAATGTTAAGTATCAAAAAGAAAGGAGGTCTGATATAGACAACATATATCGTTGAAGGTTGAAAAAATCTCTAATATTTGAGCCCAAAATTTCAAATTTTAATTTTTTGAAAAAAGAGGCCACCCGTATGTACGTTTATTTGAGAGGAGGAGGATTATATTTTTGAAAGGGTGAAACATTATGAATATGTTAATTATATAATAATATGTATTATTATAAAAAAGAAAAAATAAAGCACGTTAAAATTTTTCTTTCTTGATTTTTTACAAAATCTACTTAGAATTATGCAAAATATGACTAAATAATTATAAATTTCAAGTTAAATTTTAATTTTGATAAATAATTTAAATTTCAAAATATCAAGTTCAGTTCGACTATGTATGTAGTAATTCCTCAATAAAGTGCCAAAACCCTATTAAAATATATGAACATTTTCAACATTTTAATGTTTTTATTTAAAAATTTGATGGAATATGAGCTTCAAACAATTATTATGTAAATAAAAATAATTAAATATATGTATTTATTCGTATTACAACCGTAGTAAGTCGATTCTTCCTTTCTTCTACTGAGGTTTGAATTTGATTTCGAATTGTAAAGAGATTCAAAAGGAAAATACTAGCGGAGAAAAACTACCTCCATGAAAGGGTCATAATGGAGTCAAGTTGTATTTTTTGATATTTTTTGCTTTTCGAGCCTAAATAGGTAGCCAAGATAATGCCTAAAAATAAGGTTCTAAATTCTGAAGTTTACATGATCCTCTCGTGTGCACCCTTAACTAAATCAATATAAGATATTTATATTCCTGTAAAAATTTATAATAAAAATCCTTGGATTGAAAAAAAAAGAAAGAAAAATCATCAATTCATATTGGAATCATAGTATGAGAATCCCTGAACTGCGCCATCATCGCCAATTGCCGGCTGAACGAATGAATCAGCAGCAATTTCACTTGTAAATTCAGGATCGAAGTTCTGAGTGTTGAGGGGATCTTTAACTTGTGGTACGAATGATGGTGTGTAGTCACGGTTGTAAACTTTGACCCAATCAAATCCTTCGAAGAAAGGATGAGATTTGAGATCGTCGAATTTAGCTCTCTGTGCTGGATCCTTAGCGAGTAATTTGTTGATAAAGTCGATAATACGATTGTCAAGGCCTTGTGGGAAAACTGGTGGTTCATTGACAATTTTGCCAAACATAACAGCTTTGTTATCATCGTAGAAGGGAGTAACACCGAGAATCATTTCAAAAGCAAGAACGCCGAGTGCCCATTCATCGATGGCGTAAGAATAAGTTTGTTGCATAATAACTTCTGGAGCAAGGTATTCTGATGTTCCGCAGAAGGTAGATGTTGATTCCGAATCGATGAGTGATTTAGAGAGACCGAAATCAGTAAGTTTGATGTGTCCCTCAGCATCGAAAAGAATATTTTCTGGTTTTAAGTCTCTGTAAACAATACCCAATGAGTGGAGATATGAGAGGGCAAGGCCGATTTCAGCGATGTATAAGCGAGCATCGTTAAGTGGGATTGTACCGACTTTATCCATATGATAGAAAAGTTCGCCACCTGCAGCGTATTCTAAGCCAAGGTAAAACTTGGCTGGTGTCTGAAATGCGAAGCAAAGATTGACTAAAAATGGATAATGAGCTCTCATCATAATATTACGTTCGGCCAAAACGGAGTTAGCTTTTCCGGGTTCGTTAATACGTGACTTGTGGATTGACTTAATTGCGTACAAGTCTCCTGTATCGAGTTTTTGGACGAGCATGACTTTACCATAAAAGCCTCTTCCGATAACAGAGATAATCCTGAAATTATCCATTGTTAGATGCTGCATTGGTAACTTGATTTGATTAATAGCTGCAACCCAGCGAGCAACTTCTTCTGGAGAGCCAGCTGTAAATAATAATGGATCAGCGCCAGCTGAAGGAATAACTTGGAATCTTGGTGTTGAAGCACCAGTTACTATCTCGGCAGTAGTATCTGGTCCCAAATCAATCACTTGCTCGATATGAGTCTGTTCTTCATCTTTTGAAATAACAATTTTCTTTTCATTTAACGTAACGAAACGCTTATGCCATAAACCTTGATTGGTGCCTTTTTTCTTAAGCCAGCTTTTAAGTCCATAAAGGTCTGGAGTATCTGTTGAACTCATATTTTATTTTTTTGAAAAAAAAAAGTTCTAAAAAAAGTTTTCAGGCTGTCAGCGGTATTTTAAATATAATTGAATGAAAATAATCGTTACATTTCTACAGATATGAAATTTTAATATTTTTTATTATTAATATCATTCTCTAATACATATGAATGATTTCATGAAATACTGAAAATTGAGAGGAGGAAATTTTAATTACCGTACCTTGAATAACCGGCGAACCATTCAATTGGTCATAGACCAATTTGAGATACCCTTTTCAGAGGAATCTAAAATGTTGTTTATATGGTTATTTATATATTATTTAATCATTTTCTTAAATAAAAATCATAAGTTCTCAATTTTTCTTCATAACGATTCTTATAAATTTTAATGTTTTTACTATGAGTGCTAAATATTATTAATTACTAAATGATTTTAAAAAGAATAAACATATTTTTACTTTGTACGTTAACATACGTTAATATCACTTCGGCTATGGATAGAGGCCAACAGCGCCTTATTAATGAGAAAAACATTAGCCTCTTATCAATGAGATGGAAGTGTATTCGTGGATTACAATTGTGAATTCAGATACACTTCCATCTCAAAAAATGCAATCAAATTTGTATTGAATTGCATTTTTTGAATACATGCTATTGGCAGTTGGGTTTTTAGTGCATTTATATTATATTGGTACTAAGGCTTTTGGAAAATTTACAAAATAAATTTAATATTTTGTAAATGTTATCGGTTCTTACGCTTTTGGAAGGAGGGATGGTATTTTTGGAGCATTTATATTACATTGGTACTAAGGCTTTTGGAAAATTTACAAAATAAATTTAATATTTTGTAAATGTTATCGGTTCTTACGCTTCCTCTCTTCATCAAGATGCTTCCTCACTCCATCATGCATCCATCATGAAGCTTCCTCTCTTCATCAAGGTGCTTCCTCTCTTCATCAAGATGCTTCCTCTCTTCAACAAAGTGCTTCCTCTCTTCTTCAAAGTGCTTCCTCTCTTGATCAAGATGCTTCCTCTCTTCTTCAAGATGCTTCCTCTCTTCAACAAAGTGCTTCCTCTCTTCTTCAAAGTGCTTCCTCTCTTGATCAAGATGCTTCCTCTCTTCTTCAAGATGCTTCCTCTCTTCAACAAAGTGCTTCCTCTCTTCTTCAAAGTACTTCCTCTCTTGATCAAGATGCTTCCTCTCTTCTTCAAGATGCTTCCTCTCTTCTTCAAGATGCTTCCTCTCTTCAACAAAGTGCTTCCTCTCTTCTTCAAAGTGCTTCCTCTCTTGATCAAGATGCTTCCTCTCTTCTTCAAGATGCTTCCTCTCTTCAACAAAGTGCTTCCTCTCTTCTTCAAAGTACTTCCTCTCTTGATCAAGATGCTTCCTCTCTTGATCAAGATGCTTCCTCTCTTCTTCAAGATGCTTCCTCTCTTCAACAAAGTGCTTCCTCTCTTCTTCAAAGTGCTTCCTCTCTTGATCAAGATGCTTCCTCTCTTCTTCAAGATGCTTCCTCTCTTCAACAAAGTGCTTCCTCTCTTCTTCAAAGTGCTTCCTCTCTTCAACAAAGTGCTTCCTCTCTTCTTCAAAGTGCTTCCTCTCTTCATCAAGATGCTTCCTCACTCCATTATGCAGCTGCTTCTTTTCTTCATCAATTCCTCTTCACCCTGGAGCTCCTCAGCTTTATATCATTTTAATTGGATTTTTTGAAATCCACCTGCAGTAGGATAAAGGAGATGTAACTCACGACTAAGAACCTGGCCATATGCTCCATTCCAGGCCAAAACAGATTGCATAGCCACAAACAGATTGAAATACCAATCCTGTTGCTGCATGGGGCGTCCATATTCCATTTGGAAGACTTGCATCATCACATTTGGATCTGTAAGGACTTTGTCGTTGACAAAATTGGGCCTTGCAGGAGGAACTCCATTTGCTACAATGTATCTGGAAGCAAGAGGTTTGTTCATATCCAATGGATAGATTCCTGTTGCTTTAAAAGCATTTTCGATGTTTGTAGCTGTGCAAGACACACTACATGCATCAAGGAAGCTGCGAACCATGATATAGCGCAGTTCTCTGGCGTTCCATACATAATTGATCACCATATGCCCTTGCTGATCGTACCGGATAGTCGCCATAAGTTAGTATACAAGTCTTGGGTACGGCGGCACTGCGTTCCACCTTACCCAATACTTGTGAATTTGACACTTTACAAAGCTGCCAACCACTTCACCTCACTAACGAACTCACTAATGTAAAAAATAAACGTTCTCACTATCGTTCTCACTAACGACTTCACTAATGTTCTCATAAATTTTCCTCAATATCTTCATCATCAGTGTTAACCCTATTGTAGTCATACTTGAAGCCATAAACTTTCTCTAACTTCTTAACGTACAATTTACATAACTTACCTTCGTCATCGTATGGTTTAATGATATAACTATTTCTATCTTTATACACAGTCAATGAAAAGTCAACTGGTCTCGGATGTATTTGAAAGAACATGTTATACTCAGGAAGGAAGAATAAATGTTTAAATGTATGTTTGTTATACTGTGGAATTCGAATGAGTTGCTTTTGTTCTGTCATTTACATCCAAATAAAAATTTTCAGTAAAATAAAAAATAAACTTAAAATTAATGATATCACCACCCTCACACGTATGAAAACATAGCGCAAAAATATATTTAGGTGAAGTGGTGAGATCTCACCTCTTTTTTCACCTCTTTTTTCACCCTCTTGAATTCATTGTTTTATAACTCTCTTCCTTTCTCCAACTCTTCTAACTTCTTCTTAAGTTCAGCAATGTTGTCCTCATGAAGTTTAATCTTTCTCAAAATTCCTTCTCTATCTAATGGTTGCTTTATCTTTCTAAACTGAACTCTACCATCCTTCATAGTATGAATGTAAAAACCTTCTGGAATAGTTCCTGATTTAATGTATTCTACCAAAAACTTTTGTTTCATTGCTTCAGTGACTTTAGTCGTCATTTTACTCTAAATAAAATGTTCAAATAAAATAAAAATAACGTTATTTTTTCAGTAAGGAAACGCAGGAGTTTTACGATTTATTTGAGGAGTAGGTTCTGGTTTAAATGTTGGAGTCGGTTTAGGAGTTGACTTTTGAACAGGAGTTTGTACTTCCATAGGTTCAGGAGTCATTGAAGGTTTTGCTTGTGAAGGCGTTGGTTTTGACGTTGGTTTTGGCGAAGGTGTTGGAATTTGTTTAACTTCAGCTACTTCAGTATTATTTACAACATTTGCTTTATTTCTTTTCAACATCATAACTGCTCCTGCTGTAGCTAGCAAACCTAGTGGGAGACCATATCTTATATAAGGACTTGACCAAATGCTATTTTTGACTGGAGCTGGTGGAACACCTAACCTTGGTGAGACTGCTCTTTGCCATTGTGCAGCTCGTAAGAAATATTCAATAGGTGCTCCATAATCGTTTGGTAAAGTTTGTTTCATAGATGGTGAAGGTTCACGAGAGCTTGATGAAGAACTCATTTTTAAGCTTTAAAAATAAACGTTCATCCTTTATTCCTCACTGTTGTCCGTAGCTAAGTTATAGTCATCTAATCTTATTATGGGGATGCCATTAGCACGCACCTGAATGGCAAAGCAACAATCCCTCATAAATCCAATAAGTGGCTTTGGTACATTTTCAGTTGCTAGTTCAATAGGTCCTTTAACAGACAATTTGTATGTTATTGGAGCAGTAGATGTTTGACCTTGCTGGAAGCAAAAGTCCACTTCAGTTGGAAAACCACATAAGAAATGTGTGTTGTCATAGCTATCCCATTTATGTTCCACACTACCATCATCCACCAATGACCTCATAACATCTTCATTAAATCCTATCATATCATTGTTTGTATTGCAAGCGTTCGCAACCATTTCATAAAATACAGGTCCATATGATTTTTCAGGTTCTGCAGGCATATTTCCATAAGCTCCCATGGAAAGCTGAAGATATTTAAACTTAGGGTTCTCAAAATTAACATAATAGTTGTCTTTCTTTCTAAATAGTGCCCAAATACTTTTAACATTAATAGGCGTATAAGCTGCTGTAAATGTTGCACTTGAACTATCTGTATTCTTTGAGAATGAACCGTCCATAGGAATCCAATCCATAACTTTAACAGGAAAACATAAAGCCTCGTTTGTATAATGTTCTACAAGTTCTGTATAAATGTTAGGGTCTAAAGAGAATGACTTTGGATGAATGAAACATTCATTAAAATCCATCTTTGTTCGAAATAGTTGCTGGGTTACAGTTGTAATAGTAACTGTTCCACTAGCTTCTACTGCCTTCGTTATCATAGTGAATGGTTCATTCCATGGAACAAATTTATTTGTCGGTGGATTTGAATCTGAAGCAAATGCAACTTTAAGAGTTGGATTGAAAGCAATGATATCATTTACAGATATAGATGTGCATTGTAAGGCGTCGCTACTGAACTTTACTTTAAGCTGAATGTTTCCTGCAAAAGCTGGAATAAATCTTATAGCTTCTAATGGTAAAAACTTTCTAACAGGAATTCTTAAACGAAGCTTAAAATCAAATGATTTTCCTGCTGTAATCGGCCCACTAACAATTTGTCCTGTTCTGCATGTTCCCGAATGACTCCATACATCTTCATGTCGGGTCTTTGAGAAAACATCTACTTTCTTTATTTGTTCGGTAGTTTGTGAGTTTGAAGTTATATATGCTTCTTCTCTTGCATTGTCTTGAGAATATACGATACGACCATTTGCAAGGATTTGATATCCAGCAACTGCATAGAAAGCGTCATCGAAACCAATCCAAAATCCTGGTGGGTTTGTTTTATTGGAACCTGAACCAATTTCTTTATCTGCAATAAATTGACCTTCCATTTTATACGTAATGAATGTATTGTAAAGGTCCAACATATTTTCACCAGGAGGTGAGAGATTGAATGTTACCCATGTGTTATCTTTAGCAGTTCCAGGTTGTGATGGAATCTTTGCGTCAGAATATTTTCTATTAGTGTCACCAATTTGAACTGCATTGTCTATGATATCGAAATATGAGCGAATCTGATGAATATGCTCTGCTGGAGTAAATTCGTTTAGCTGTTCGTTCTGCATGTATTTACTTCAGATAAAAATATCTATTTACTTCATTATTCTCACTCTTCTTCTTGGCATTCGTGGTGGAAGTTGTTTCTTGACATTTTCAATGAACTGTACATTCTCTTTTGTCTCAACTTCTTTCACTGGTGGGTCAGGGTTCTTTGACTCGGTTTGTTTTTCAATGAAATTCACGAACTTTGCAATAAGCTCTTGGTTCGTTATTGAAAGTACATCTGGCTTCTTTTCTTCTTGTTCTTTTGGTGGCTCAGTTTGAACGGAAGGTTTTATATGGGCTTCACCCTCGGTGCCATGCACTTTAATGTTGTCACTTTCTGCATTCGCTAATGGAACCTTTCTTTTTCTTACGTATATTTTACCATCTTTACTCTGACTTACGTAATAGAAAGGATGTTGTATTCCTCTTGCGTCATTTAATATAATAGACTCTCGCTCTGATTTTGACAAGCTCATTTTACATCGGTTAAAGTTTTAATTTTGTTTTTTATCTGCAGTCAAATGACTCAGACAAGCCCTACGGACAAGACCCAAGGGGTCATAGATGTTGAAGCATTGAAGAAAGAAATTCGCGAGCAAATTTTATCCGAACTGAAGGAACAAAAACAAGAACAAAAGCCAGAGAGACCAAAGAGAAAACTTAGTGAAAAACAACTAGCTGCATTAGCTGCTGGAAGACAAAAGAACCCACGTTTGCTGGCAAAGAAAGCTAGAGAAGAAGCAAAAGCAAAGGAAGAACAAAAAGCTAAAGAAGCTGAAGCAAAGAAAGAGTAAATGGTTTATTTTTATCCGAATTAAATGTATAGACAAATACCTTTAACTGTTGCGTTCAGTAGTGAAAACCCTGACGTCAAAATAAAGGGGAACAGAGTAACGTTTAAGTTTCCAACAGACTGGATTGTGAACATAAATGAAGAGAAGTACATTGGCATAACATCTATGTATATAACACGTGCTTTCAGAAAGGTTGACTTTATACTTCAAGTCGAGATAGAAAATGACGAACAGTCTTTAAGCGCCCAAAACATTCACATATACAAATACTTTAAGGACGATACAACATTGTTGCAATGTATGATTTCATTTAATGAGATGTTCGAGAAAAAGTTCAACATTGAAGTACAAACTTTACAGCCTTTACGTGAGTTTCTTGCACAACTGAAAGAAGAAGGTAGTCAGCCACAACTTATAGACTTTCATTATGAATTTAATGAAAATGAAGATGGAACTCATGACTGTCAGTTTGTTATATATTCACCATTCAATGAAGTAGCTAAAAAGAAAGAAAATCCATTACGTATAAGATTTCAAATCTCTGAACCCAATGAAGACTTCAAGAATGTTTTCAATTATGATGCAATGCTTCCGAGGAAAAATGAATTTTCAAAGATTGTAACACCTGGCATTTGGGATAGAAAGCAAGCTATATTATATTCAAACTTAAGTAAGGGAGTTGAAAATGAGTTCATTGGTCATACAAGAACTTCACCACTTCCTAACCCTAAATACTATAAATTAACTGGCTTCAATCGTGAGTTTTGGATAGACATGTACTCAACTCATGACCATAACTGCCCAGTGTTCTTACCTCCAGACCATAAGGACTGTCTCTACATTGAAGCACAACTCTTAAACTCTACCATCGCAGTATTGTAAAATCTACGCTAGTTTTATTTTTTCTGAAAATTTTTATTTGAGTGAAAGGCATGGAAGGTGAAGGACATTGGCAAACACTCGAACATGACAATGACTATGAAATCTTTTCAGAGTACCCTTATCCAATTAGACGTATAAGCAATAAAAGAGTTGTTAGTGAGTTTGACCAAGGAAATGGTTATATTTGTGTAAATTTAAACAAACACAAGCTAATGAAACATAGAATAGTTGCAGAAACTTTCATTCCGAACCCTGAAGGACTTCGTGAAGTAGACCATATAAACAGAGACAGAGGAGACTTTCATATCTCGAACTTAAGATGGACGACAAGAAGAGAAAACATGAGAAATATTTCTGGTTCAAATGGCTATTGGTTTGACATTGTTGACTCTCTTCCTGAAGACGCTGTTGAAATTATACAATACTCATATCACACGTTAGAGAACTACTACTATGTCCCAAGTGAAGATGTCTTTTACTGTTTCATGGGAACTCAATACAGACGAATGAATGTCTTAAGACAGTATAACAAAGATTATATAAACATTACAGATGTAGAAGGAAGAAGAACAAAGCTGTTTATTGCAAAGTTTAAGAGAGACAATGGTTATGTATAAATGACAAAAATATATGACCACATGGGCTTCGCCCTTGCCGCTAGCGGCTTATTTTTATCACGAATGGTCTCACTGCTGACAAAAAATAAATGACCTCAGAACTTCAACTTACGAATAAAGCTTGTTTTAGTCGTTATTGAGAAGTTAAACTTCTCTTCAAAGCAAGGTTGACATGACTTACATAAGTCAAATCCAATCTCTTGACCATCATGAAGTGCTTTGTAAAGTTTCATTAAACTGAACTCAGAGTCTTTGTCAAATTTTCCTTGCGGAACCATTAAACCTTTATCTTCATCATAGAAACACTGAACAGAGTCAGGAAACATTTCATTAGCGGTTAAAGCAATAACATCTTGCTTCACGCCTTTCATTCTGCAGTGAAATGCAACTTCATTTAAATCATTCGTGAGTAAGTCTATGTAAGTCTTCTTTCCACAAAATATTGACTTGTATGCTAAACTTTGTTTTCCAGGTGTTATTTCTGCGAAGTCACTATGAAACTGACCAAGGTTTTTACCAATGAGAACTTTCCATAACGTTCTAAACTCTTCAGCTAAACGAGGGATATCTTCATTGTAGAGATGCATACTGTCGGTGTCGCTATAAAAGATGTCCATTCCTAAGTCCTCAGCTGTACAGAATACTTCACACATTATTCTCTTCGACATAGATAGAATGTTAACACCAAGTGGACAGAAGTTAAAGTGTCTGCAAATGCTTTTCGTTAGCTTGAAAATAGTTTTATCTGAACCATCCAAACCTTCGAACTTCACTATATGGTTGTAGTTTCTGATGGCATATCTTATAGCATCTTTGTCATCTACTATGGTTATTTTTGACTCAATAGGAGATAGAATAGTTTTGCCATAAATACTGTTCAGAATGAGCTTTATATTTTCTTGCAAAGGATTTCCTTCTTTCTTATACTTTAATCTTAACTCAAACAACTTCTTTACTTCATCTCTTATTCTAATATCTCTGTTTCCATCGTAATAGTATCCTTGCAACACTTCACATTTGACACCTTGATATTTTATGAGGTCTTGTAATGTTATATGGTCAACATACATGAGACAGCAAGTGTTTGAACTTCTGGGAACGTTAAGTTCTGGATTTAGTTCAGGGTCACAAACTATTAAAGGAAAGTGTCTGGGTATTCCAATCTCTGTTATCTTAATGAGAACAAAGAAGCCAGACATAAACTTTTCACCAATGGGTTCCTTTTGGTCGTCATCGAATAAATGTCTCATGAGATACTCTGTGCTTAACATCTCATCCTTCAATACTTTTGGAATTCCTTCTAAAGTATACAATCTTGCTATAGCGGATGGATATAATGAAACAGCGTCGAAGTCAGCAATGAGTTTCTTTTTGCTCTTTTGTTTAATGTTATCTGACAACATACATCTTCCACCTTGAATGCAGCGTGAAATAAATTCTCTTGGTTTATTTGAGAGGTCATAAAGATTTCCATTCGGGAAGTATACTCTGTTCTCAAATAATTTGTTAGCAATTGAACAAATACTAACGTAGTCATAAACGTTTAAATCAAATTCTTTCAATATGTCATTGCGGAACTTAACAAAACCTTCTCTTAAAATTCTTACATCTTGTTTGCAATAAAACGTGCTATATTTTTCTAAGTCGAAATGGTTTTCATCTATTCTGCAACCTTTGATGGAATCTATGTTTTTCATGAATGTATCTGCATCCTGTATAAACTTACATGCTTCAGAAATGACACCAGTTCTGTTGTCATTTGCTAACAAAACACTGCTGTAGTAGTTGTATGGAAATACTTCTTTCGGTCCTGTTTGTAAGTTAAACATAGCAGGAAATAGTTTAAGTTTCTTATTTATAACACTGTAAGAGTCTTTTATAATAATTGCCCTTCCTTTATATAAGCCAATTATTTGCATTGTTCGTGAACCTTTAATGATGGGAGTTCCTTTCACTTCTGTCATGTGTCTTAAGATGAAGTTTATATCATAGCTGAGGTTATGGAAATATATTAAACTCTTGTCAGGAAGTCGTTCCAAAAATTCTGTTGCACAGTTCTGACCCCATATGCTTTCACTCACTGAACCATCTTCACTGTCATAACAGATGTTAAAAGCTTTATGAAAGCCATCCGTACTGCACTCAAAGTCAGCAAAGAAAACGTGCTCAGGAATGAACTTGCACTTATTTTTATTTACTTCTTTTGACTCGGCTTTCTTCTTCAGTTGTACACAATACTTTGGAGCATATGTCAAATCTTTAAATGGTGCAAGGTTCTGTTTATATAAGTCAGTCGTATATGTGAAAAGTTCTCCATAAGAAATAGGTTCGAAATATTTGCACTCCACAATGTTTTATAACATCCATAGAGGTGTAGTTCTATCCATGCGAACTACATATTTATCTTCTCTCTTTGTATAAATCTTCATCTGTTTCTCATGTTCATTCCACACTCCTTCAAGATTTCTATATAGTTGCGAATGAAATATGTTGTCATTGGAAGTCTTTCATTTAGCATGTAGTGGTCTTCAACAAGAAGTAAGTCAATAGTTCGAACAGTTTTACTTCTTTTGGTACGTATCTCTTTATTTCATTATGTCTTGAGTCATTGAAATAACCAATGGTAACATTAAATGCTATACCTGTTGCGTCAGAAATTTCTTGTACTTTACTTTGAGGAAAGTCTCTAACACGAATGACTTCTCTCATGTGGTCAATAGTTCTTCATCTACTCCAGCTTGAATGCAAGCATAAACGAAACAATTGTCTTCTGTCATAAGTGTTGCAGTTCTTTTGTTCAGTTCATTGAAGATTTGGTAGCGTTCAAGATTTATAGGTAATGTGCAAAGATACTTCCAGAACTGACCGCTTCTCTTCTTATAAAACTTCTTTTCATCAAGGATTTCATTCCAGAAGTCATCTATATTTGTTTATCTCCTGTTTGTTTAAGTCTGTCAATAATCTTTTCTGTCTTCTGTCAGTGTGCTTTCATCTCTATATGGTCGTTCTGTGGCTTTCCTTTCTTTACATCTGACATCGTTAAGCCTTCATATTCAGTTAAATCATACATCTTTATTTCAGTAAGATTCTTTATGTTTGTCAGAAGAAGTCATAGTGCATTTCAACAATACCTGCAGCATTTGCTTCTCTCTGATATAAATTCTCCTTCAAGAGCTGATGTAGTAGTGTTCCAATATTATTGAGGTTTAACGTAGAACATTCATATTTCCACCAAGTTATAACATACCATCCATCTTTGTTGGGAGTTTATTTTAATCTTCTCTAAGAGTCTCATGAAAACCTTACCGAAATGTTTGTGTAAGTAGTCTCTGTTTGGTTCATCTAAAGCTTCGATGTTAAAGTCAATGAGTCTATTGCCTGACTTCACATTTCTCTTCCTATTCTCTTCATCCTTCTTTAACCATCTCTCACCTTCTTTTGTTTGTCGTCAATGGAACGAATGACATCGTTAGCTTTGCGAACTTGTTCTATAGCGGCTCTTAAACATCTCTCTTCTCTGTTGTTTCAGTGTGTCGTCTCTTCTTCTTGTTTCACCAACGTTCGCATTTGTTATGTCAAACATCTCTTGACGAAATCATGCGAAAGAGCTTTACGAGTATGACCAACGTTTGCATTTGTTATGTCAAACATTTCTCTTCTTACTTCATGAGGTATTGAACGTCTATGATATAAGTCAATAGCAACGTCATTTTAAAGAAATGCTCTTGCATTATGAACTCATGAATTCTATCATAAGTTATTTCACCATTGTAGTCATTGAGGATGTCAGCGAGTGCTTTTTTGTTTGTCGCGTAATGTTTTTGCAACATCTATGTTAGCTTCTGTAAGAAGTTGTTTTTTCCGAGTGTTCTAACTTAGACAACTTCCGATACATATTTAGTAGGAAATAAAAAATTTCTTAGAAAAAAATTAGCTTAGATTTTTTAAGGCTGTTTAAAATATTTCGAACTTTTTATTTTAATGAAACACATGCAAGATTGCAAGTTCTTTTCATACAAGCTCTCGCCACTGCCATCAAGAATGAGTTCAATGGTGCTTCAAATGTTAATGTTATCTTTAACAAGAAGTTTGTGAAAGAATCTAAGTTTGGTCAGTATGTCAGACCATTAGCTATTGTCATTGACCGCAAACGTTATACTTCACAAGAGTTAGCAGTAGTTTTGAAACAAAAGAGTTTCTTCGTGAATGTCAAAGATACTCATTATACTGTCATAAAGAACTCTAACGTTGACTTCTTCAGTATTGCTATGAATCTTTCCGAACAGAAAGAATATAAGAAAGGTGAAACAAATGTGAAATATTATCCTTCATCTCTGAAGACAATAACGAACAAAGATGTCATACAGAAGCTCCTACCAAAGGTTGAAGAAGCTTCAATTGACATTGACGAAGGAAGTGAAATGGTTGAAGAAATTGACCCTGAAGCTATTTAAGCAAAAATATATTTTTGTCTGATTTACATCTAATGAAAAAGTTTAGAAGAATTTTCTTATTCTTTCTGGCATATTTTTGTCTTTCCAGTACTCCCGCTCTAATGGTCCCAGATGTGTTGGCTTCGACTCTCTCAAGTTCTTAGATGATATAACATCTTCAACGCCTCCTTCATATCTTACTTTATAAGTGTCATCGTTTGTGTTATAGCCAAGTATTTCAATAACCACTCCTCGCTTTGCTTCGTCAATGGTTTCAGCAAGTTTGCCATTACTACTTTCAACTAATTTATGACGAGGGTAAAACGCAATAGAGTCGTCGGCAGCTTTTATAAGATATCCATTACCTTGCGTAGAGTCTACGATATAATAATTTCGACTTAACCTTAAACGTTTCTTTGTCAACGGTTTGTCGTCAAGAACTACACGAACTTTTGTACCAGGAATGAGGGTAAATTGTTTTGAATTTCTGATATTTTGTGTTTGACTTAGTTTCTTTTGTATATACTTTTCTTCTTGTTGTTGTGTCATTGAATTGGTGTATGTCCTGTTGTAGAATGTGTTGAGGAATTATATACTTCGAGAAAATGTTTCATTGTTTCTTCGGTAAAGTCTCGCTCTTGATTTAAATCTCTGAGAGTCCTTATGAAGCGGTTAATGATACCGAGTATGTTATGGTTATGGTCTTCGGTAGTGTAGTGAGTTATGTTATGTTTAATGAGAAAATCTGTGATTTCATTGCTGAGGTAAGCACCGTCTTGGTCTGATGTTAAAGTACTTGGGCTATGTTCTGCTACAAACTTTTGTAAAACTCTTAACACTTCACGAGTTCCTTTGTTCTTCATTGGATATGCATATGCTTTGCGAGTGTTAACATTAATGAAGATGAGGAATGGTTTATGTCCTCCTTTTCTGCTTTGAATGAGAGTGTCAAATTGGTATGCGTCGGGAGTGTTGGAGTAAATTGGTAAAAAGTAGTCGTAAGGGTTTATTTTTGTTTGATGTACAACATTTTTGTTAAAGAACCTTTTCACTTCAGCTCTGTTAGTAAATCCCGAACTCTTTGCAGCTTCATTGAACTTCTTAAATGACCTCCATGGATGTTGTTCGAATACTTCTTTCAAGCTCATTTATGTAAAGTTAAAGAGTTTATTCAAGACGGTACCATGCGAATACAGTCACAAATGGTGGCATATAATCTGCACCCGAGCCTGTTGGATTTGTTGTGAAAGTATGTGAATGATTTCCTCCTGGTTCAGTTTGTCGAAAAGTCTTTTTTGCTGCATTGTTATAAGATGGAGATAAAACGTCATTGCCAGCTTCATACTCTGAGTTGTATAATGGGTGGTCTCTTAATGAGTGGCTATGGTCGCCAGAAAGTTTGTCGTTTGTATGAGTGTGCGGTGGAAGTTTGCTTCAGTATTTTCTTCGAACCTCCTGTTTGCTTTGAAGAGTTAGCACAGTATAAGAATTTGTCTACAATCTGCTGCCATGTACCAAAACCAAGTACTACTTCTGGATTTGTTGAGTTCATTGACGTATAAATAGAACCTATAGGATATAATGTTTGAAGTATTTCTGTCTTTAATGTTTGAAGCTCTGTTTTGTCTGCTTTCTTATCTAACATTGCTGGTAGTTCATGTGTTTCAAAGTTTCTGACATGACCTTCAATGTTCATACATTTACTATTTAAGGAGTTTAGTGTATCTTTTACGCTTGTACTTGGATTCTCTAAAGGTGCACTTGAACCAAGGTATAGTTCAATATTATGTCGTCTGCTCTAACAGTAGTGAAGGTTTATGTGTATGGTTCTTGTCGGCTTTACTGTCTAAAGAAGTTTGAAGTTCATTTATATCGGAAGATGTTGTGTTTTAATGAGATTTCAAAACTTTGTTCATTTGCTTCGAGTTCAACTTTGTCAGCTTTACTTTTAATAGCATCTTCAAACGTTATTTTTGACTTAACTCTCAAAGTAAATCTTGGTTCAACTAATACACCGTTAACATTGAAAGTAGAGGCATAAATTTCACCGGTATAACCAAATGCTTCTGGTGCTTTAGCTACATCATACTGTACAGTACAGTGTATGTCATAACCTTTAGCACGAATGTATTTATATCTTCTTTCATTGGGGTCTTCCGTCTTCACTTCTTCATCCCGTGTTAAATATCCATGGTAGTCCGTTATAATCTGTTCGTCTGAACTTATATAATGAACATGGTTTTTATCTGCTTTTTCGGCTAATTTCTCTTCTATCTCATTTATTTCAAGTTCATGCCTACCACCACCTCCCGAAGAAGTATTTTTCTTCAGCTCTTGAAGAACGTCCACTTCGCCATCTTTGGTGTCAATAATGAGACTTTGTGTTAAAACCTTTCCTGTCTTAATGGATGTTTGTAAAACTTCTTCTTCACCGTGTTCGGGTCATGGTCGTCATCATATCTTGTGAAATCAGAGATGTTGTCATACATTAAGCATATCTGTCTCAAAAGTTCTGCTATTTGAAACTGGAACGAAAGATATACAGAACTTTCATCATCTCCTAAAGTCAAGTCTGCTTTCTTAAGTATTTCTTGAATGTATGCAATGAGAACAGAGTACCTTGGAAAATATTCGAACAATATTTCATTAGCTGTTGGTTTTGGTGGTTCTGTTGGAGTTTCTGCATCTCCTGACTTCAATGCTCTTGCTCTCAAAGACCTAAATGTTAGAGCACCGGGTTTTACAAAGGATTTTATAAATGCTTTAATAGTTCCTGGTAAGTTATTGTTAGCATTAAGTAAGTTCCTTATGCTTCCATCATGTACGTCCATAGCACTATGTAAAAAATCTATACTTTTCTTGTAGTCAGCAATAGACTGACTGTGATTTTTTAAAGATTTGTCAATACCTTTAAGCCAATCTTCATGCATGTCTGATACTGAGCCAAGAATATCATTTGCTTCCTTTAGTGTATTTTGTGCTTCTCGTAAAGTATCCAATCCCGTACGTGCATTGTTTGCTATACGTCTTACAGTATCTATTTGACTCCTTGTTTCTTGCATCCAACCAGATAAAGTTTTAATAGTATCCGAACCATTTGAAATGAAGTTCAAAGCATTTTTAACGTCATCTAAAGCTTCTTCACCAAGTACCGCCCATATCTTTCCGATTTGGTATTGAAGAACTCCATATGAAGCAGCTGTTAAACCAGTATTTATAAGGTCCCATATCCATGATTTAGCAGTTTTTCCATCCTTTCCATCCTTTCCATCCAAACCGTTTTCGCCTTGAGGTCCTTGTACTCCTTGTACTCCTTGTATTCCTTGTGGTCCTTGAGGTCCAGTGTCACCCTTCTCTCCTTTCAGTTCATCTTTATGTTCGTTATAATATTCTAATGTCATAAGGTGTACATCATTGCTGCTACCAGCAACGCCGAGAATTTGTTTCTCATTCATGACTAAATTCTTTAGGCATTTAATGTTGTCGTCAAATCGAAAGCTCTTTAACAATTCAATGAGAACATTCAGTACTTTCACTAATGAGGCATCTACTGTAGAATTTATATATTGCACCGTTCCATCATTTATGATGGGAACCTTGCTTGTTGTAATGAATGGGTCATAAGTGTTAAAAGTATCGAAATCAATGACTTTTTTAGTTTTTCCATCGTCAATGACTAAATCATTGCCTTCAATGGTTAAAGTTGAGTTTTCGTTTACTAGTTCATGTGCTCTTCTTGCTTCATTTGTTTCATACGCATATGCAGCAATAGTCATATTTTAATGAGAATAAAATGTTGTTCTATTTGCAAAGTACAGACCCAAACGAATACGGGACAGTAAAGCTTCAAACAAACTTAGGTCTTCAGAATGAAGCACTTGCTTTCAGAGTTGTTGACTTCAATACTATCGCAACTTTTGTCATAACAGATGAAACAGATTTCATAGAGATTGAAATAGATGACAAAAGAAGTTTTATAACATTTCCTAACAGAGCAGAGTATAGAATAGATAAAATTGCTGGAGTCATGGATACTCTCATAAATGAAGAAACTATTGACAACATAGATGTCGAACTCTCTTCTGAGGGAACATTGAAGTTCAGTAGCAAGAAAGAGTTTAAGATACCACGAATGAGCCATAGAGTACAATTGCTTCTGGGTGCATACCATATGACATTTCCTTTGAAAAGTGTTGACAAAACGATTGAGATGAAATCTGTTCCATACGTATGTTATGGCAATTGTTTGTACATTGAGTCAAAAATAGCTAATGTCACAGGTATTTCAGGAGTTAATAGTAAAGGTTCAGTAGAATATAAGTCTTTCTGTTATGAAGTAAACTCAATGTTCATTCCAAACGTTCCTGTCATAGCAACTCATTTAGGTAAATGGGTTCGCATTAGTCCTCATAATTTGAAAGACATGCAATTCAGACTTGTTGACTTTCAAGGAGAGCCTGTAGAACTGAAGGCACCAGTGCGAATGACTGTTGAAGTTGACTTTTTAGAAAATATTAAATGCAACAGCTTACAAGAGAACTCAGAGCTAAAAATATAAAGTATGAATGTTATATTTTAGGTCATGAACTTTGGTTGTTGCTGTTTGATGAAACAAATGAGTTAGTTATGTCAGTCAAGAGAACAGAAAAATATTGTGTTAGTGAAAACTGCACCAAGTCAATAAGATTAGGTTTGCATTATGAAGATGAGTTCGATACTGTTGAAGAAGTTTTGGATAGATATTACAAATTGCTAACTTGAAATTTTTTTGACTGACAGCGCAAAGCGCCAAGATGGGCTCAAAGAGCCCTCCTGACTGCTTTAATTTACTAAAACATATTTCAAGCAAAGTTTATATTCTGTTGAAAGTTTTGTAAACTCGTTCGAATATTTATACTTAAACTCAACTCCTGTAGTTCCTGGTGTTTCAATGATGCGGATGTTACCTATTTTCATGAATAGTGGAGTTTGACCACAGCATTCGATTTCAGGGTCGAGATAGTCAATGACACATTGTTTCCCTGTTATTCGTGAGATAACATTTTCAAGGTCCTCCTTTGTTAGAATTATTTGGTTCTTGCTTATAAGATTTATCAAAAGCTTCTTATCGTCTTTGAGTAAAATTGTTTGGTATAACTGAAGAAGGTAATGGTCTACGTTATCTGAAGGATTTGTTTGAACATTTGTGTAAGGATTGTCGTTGGCTTCTCTTGAAAGAATTTGGTCCAGTGGTGGATACTCTAACTTAACATCTGATGTAGCGTTAGCGTTTGAAGCTGTGTTTAAATTCACCGACTTAAATCTGGTTCTTTTTCTTTCAAACACTCCGAACTATAGTTCTTTATGACAATATTGTTTGTCGTTCGTGAGTCAACATTTGATGTTGGTTCAATTGGAACATTAACGGCACCAGCTAAGATGGATTTGCTTCTCATTTCATATAGAATAAAAACCTTTTATATGTATGAAATGAACAATATACTCGACAAGGGTTTGAATGTAAAGCTAACGAATGAAAATATTGTTGAATTCACTGAGACAGGAGCTGTGTATAAGGATGCAGAACTACTGAACAAAAGAGCTAAGGGAAGAAGCAGGAACATGAACAAAGGGTGGAAGCCTATAAAAATTTATGTCAATGATGGCTCAGGAGGTTCAAACATAAAGTATGCAGAAAGTTATAGAGTTTATGCTCTCAAAGGTGAAAAGCCTTCATTTAAGAACAGCTATTCTAACGCATATCCTCAAAAGCTAACGGATGGGGAAGTGGATGATATGAATGACAGCAAAAATATTAACAGAAATGGCGACAGAGATGCATGGAATTTGTTTACCATCAGTCAATTAAAGCATAAGATTTAAAAACAATGTTGGTCGTTCCCATGGAATATTTTTGACTTTAATGGTATTAGTCATGATATGAATCTCAAGGTATGAACGAGGAGAGATGAGAGACTTATATGCTTCCCAAATTTCTTCAAAAGGTAATGTTATACCTGACTGTTTCCAAATGAGTTCAATATCATAACGTGAGAAACCTTGAAAGATAACGAAGTCAGTTATGAGACGTTTTATGTTTAAAGCAAGAAAACGCCATGTTTGCATAAGTATTGCTACAGTTAAGTGGTAATGTCTGACTTTAGTTATGATGTTAGCTAATGGTGAGTCTGGTTTTGACACTAAACCTTTTCCGGCGAAGTCGTCACAAACGAGCAGAGTGTTTGAAGGATACTTTTTGAAGGGGTATTTTGAAAGTTTTGACAGAATGTAGTTTGTAAGTCGTTTCATATCGTAAACTCCTGAGTATTGACGTAAGTGGTGTTTGTCAATAATTCTTTCCATCTCTTCTGAAGTCTTTTGCATTCCTGACTGTATGAACTCTACGATGGCATAATATTTTCTCTTACGTCGAATGTAACGTTGAAGAAATTCAATGAGTTCACTGTCTGGAACTTTAACGACTGAGGCTTGAACTTTTGACATAAATGTTTTCGCTGTTGAGTCCATAGAGTCTGAAGTTGCTGATATAATGATTTGGTCATAGTAAGAGTCGTTTCCTAAACGCTCTGTTATGAGTATATGACGAATGAGGTTAAATGTCTTACCTGAACCCATCTTTCCACAATAGAAATAAACACCATTTGAACAGAACTCATAGTCCTTACTGAAAGGAAGAATAAGAGAACTGTTGAGCTTTTCACTGCTTTCATTCATGTCTTCATCTACGTCATGTATTAAATGCTTCATTTTATCTCCATTAAAAATGCAAGTCAAAATATTCAGAACATAGCACCGAGTCTAACTGACAAGAGTATAAAGATATACTATGAACACGTTATGATGAAACCTACCAAAATTCAAGAAAGTCAGTATACTTATGAATATCCAAGACACTGGGTAGAGTATGTAGGAGGTGAGAAAGCTATTGAAATAAGACAGGTTCGAAGTATTCCAGCAGGAAGAACAATATTATTGAAGAACTTTAATGTTTTGAGGTATAATGATGAAACAAAGAAGCAAGATAGTTTTCCTGTTGCTGTGTATGTGAACCTAGACACAGGAGATGACATGAAAGTTTTTAACACAAAGCTTCAAACGGTAGTGAGAGAACAACTGACTGCGGAAGGACATCCATTACCTTCAGAAGTTACCATAGCATATAATTTTGAAACAAACTCAATAGATTTTAAAGTCATCTCTGCAAAGAAGTCAGGTTTTACATTTAATGAAGCAGATGTATATTCGAATGAAAACTTCAAAGCTATTGCATGGTTAGATAATGACGATTGCTTTAAGAAAATATTTAAATACAGTGACTCAACGATGTCAATAGATGACCTTCGTGGAATGTTACCATCGACGTTTACAGTTGAAGGCTCAGCAGGATTGCTTACAAGATTGTCAATTGGTGGCGTTTGGTCTCGTGAGAACATTGTTATAAAATCCAGTATAAGTGAATTTGCTGAAGAATCTATATTATGTCTTTCAAACTACATGTATTCGCCGCCGAAGCATTATAGTATAACAAACTTTGTCAGTAAGTTTAACATAAGACTTGTCGAACCTTCTTCAATGAAAGATGTTGTGCTACCTAAAGATGGAAAGGATGGACTCATTATTGAGATGATTTTAATTGCATATTAAATGAGCTTGTTCTTGAAGGTCATTCATGATGAAATAACTGTTGTAGAAGATGTTAGCAATTGTTCAGACATTTTGAAGCGTATAGATGATATAAGAAATAAGTTAGATAGACCGCAAAGTGGTGAGGGCGAAGCCCGTGAGAACGCTTATGTTTCATTGACTTTCTCCAGTAACGAGAACTTTTATGAGATAATATTGAAGAGAGATGATTTTAATATGGTGTAAATGGTAGCTTGGGCAGCTTTAGGCGCAATGGGAACAAAAGCATTAGCATTTGGAGCAAAAGCACTTGGAGCTTATGACGCAGTAAATAAAATGAGTGGAGGAAGGGTTTCGAAGACATTAGATGCAAATAAAGGGAAGATTGGAGGCTGGGTTGCAAAGAAGTTAAGATTAAATAAAATAGGCCTCATAAATAAAGCATCCAATTTGGTTGCGACTGAGTCAGAAAATGCTTTAGGAAAGGACGATGAGTTTGCAAAACACGCAAAAGACTTTAATGACCAGATGAAAGGTGAAACAATGCATTTAAATAGAGTCGATGGAACTAAAGAAAATGTTTCTTCTCCACCAGCAGTTCTTCCGTATGGTCCCTATGGAATGTATGGAAACCCTTACGAAAGACCATTTGACCCATTGACTGGTGGAAGTAATTGGTATCATTACGGACGAAGAAGAAAGACAGTCAAGTTGGAGACAGACGTGAAGAAAGCAACTAAAAAGAAACCAAGGAAGAGAGTTATAAAACAATGAATTCAAGAGGGTGAAAAAAGAGGTGAAAAAAGAGGTGAGATCTCACCACTTCACCTAAATATATTTTTGCGCTATGTTTTCATACGTGTGAGGGTGGTGATATCATTAATTTTAAGTTTATTTTTTATTTTACTGAAAATTTTTATTTGGATGTAAATGACAGAACAAAAGCAACTCATTCGAATTCCACAGTATAACAAACATACATTTAAACATTTATTCTTCCTTCCTGAGTATAACATGTTCTTTCAAATACATCCGAGACCAGTTGACTTTTCATTGACTGTGTATAAAGATAGAAATAGTTATATCATTAAACCATACGATGACGAAGGTAAGTTATGTAAATTGTACGTTAAGAAGTTAGAGAAAGTTTATGGCTTCAAGTATGACTACAATAGGGTTAACACTGATGATGAAGATATTGAGGAAAATTTATGAGAACATTAGTGAAGTCGTTAGTGAGAACGATAGTGAGAACGTTTATTTTTTACATTAGTGAGTTCGTTAGTGAGGTGAAGTGGTTGGCAGCTTTGTAAAGTGTCAAATTCACAAGTATTGGGTAAGGTGGAACGCAGTGCCGCCGTACCCAAGACTTGTATACTAACTGCCATATCAAACAACTTCTTGAATTGGGCCTTCAAGGGAGAAAAAATCCCAACATCAAGAGGTTGTAAGATATGAGATGTATGGCCTGGGAGAACAAGAAGCTCGATATTGAAGGCGCTCAAGAGGCGAACGGCCAAGAAAGAGAGCCTGGATGGATGACCATCTACAATTAGGAGAAAAGGTACCTGGGCATCAAACACATTCATTTGAGACCTTTTCTCCTGTACTTTGCAGATGAACATGATACAGTATACCATAAAAAGGTATTTGTTCATCCATCCACTCTCGGAGCGAACAAAAAAGCGTCCAGATCTTCCAATTCCGCATCAAGGGTCTTCTTTTGTGGAAGTATCACCATTGGCTTCATAGTTGTACCATCTGCAAAGATGGTACAGACCCCTGTAAGATGTGGAAGCTGAGACTTTTCAGCGCGAACTGGGCGATTCCGGCCAGCAGTAAGAACTTTATAGCGACGTTTGGAATAGAGCATTGTCTCGTCCATATTCGCAATAAACTTCTTCCTGCGGGCAAAGTATCTATGCTTGGAGAGGAAAAATTGGCGAATATGGTTTGCGTCACAGGTAGAGCGTCGGAGCATATCAATAGTTTGGGAGCTCACAATCCGAATTGACAATCTTGTGGCGATATGATTAAGCCAGCCACGGGATGGCGATGGGCAGTAATCATCGAGCTTCGCTAGAAGATGCGGGCATCTTGCAGCGATTAGTACCCGCGCCGCAAATTTTAATCTCCTATTTTGTAATTCCGTACAGACAGCAATGGCCATTGATGTTGTAATACAGTTCAAGTCGTCTGCCATCTCTTGAACAAGTTTTTTGAACTGCATTTCATCTGGTAGTGACAAAAGGGTCATACCACCCCCTGACTGACCTTTTGTCCATGAACGACAAGTAGCAGTGCGCATGATTGCGCGTGCTACTGTCGTCTTTGAAATTGAGTAAACATTCCGTATTTGTTGATAAGACTCGCCATTTACTCTTCGATAGAGTAAATCGAGTTGCATCTGGGTCAATAGCCCAAGATTTTTATAGTTTTCTAATTCTGCAAACTCGGGAATTCGTGTTCTTGGTTGCATTTTTTTAAACGGGAACTTCACAAATTTGGTTCATGGCCATAAAAACTCATTCAATTTTTCTGAGATTTTTTTTCATCACTCACTCAAAACGCAGAGGACCATTCTTCTCAAAATTGAATTATTTTCTCAAATATTGAGTGAGTAAAATGGGCACGTTGTGTAAATTGATTCAAAATTTTTTATTGGTACACGACCTTTGAAATTGGTCTCGGGCTATTCAACCTACGGTATCTATTGCTATTGAAGCAATTGATCTGTTTAGAGTGCTTAACATTTGAAAAACAAGAACTAACGTGGATAGATTAACTATGTTATTATCAAGAATATAGATTTTTTGACTATATGTAATGATGTCTATTGATCTTTGTTTTGTTGCCATATGTTTTCAAGCATATTGATACACAAGTATATGTCACATATAGACATTGAGATGGTTTGGTATCTACACTGTTCCTTCTTGATAATTGCTTTGAAAATTTCAAATGTGGGTGTTTATACTATTTGAATTTATTAAAGTGCTTTCTATTAATTTTTGGTAATTATATATGCTTTATTTAAGATGTCAGACATAAAGATAAATGTGCCATTAAAATCTCGGCATAAATGTAGAAATATCATAAAGTGCATATCATACCATTTGAAGGCAATTTCGAATGTGATTTCAAATTTATAAAAAAGCTATAATTATTTGATATTCCGATTAGATTTTTTGTTATTTTGTTATAATATAGGAATTTGTAGCATTAGGAATTCTTAAAAGTAAGTTTTATATCAATATTTATGAAAAATAGAAACAATTTCTTATCAAAAAAAGAAAAAATTTTATTATATCGAACAATTATTGTATCCAATAAAAATATTTGTTGAATACCGTATTATCTTTTGGAGCAAAGCAGAAATTAGAGTTATTCATAACTGTACATAGATTTGAATAAAAATATTTTAATTTTCCTTCTCGTGGCATATTTTTGATTATTTCCATATGTCTTTTAATCAATTGGATGATCTCATCATGTGCTGTAGGATCGATTGCCGAGAGAGTTGGAGAACATTCATAAATGTAAATAATTGAATGAGAAGCAACAACGTAATTCTGCTCTCCAGTTAATATTCTCTTTATATATGGTACTCCATATCTTATGGCTCTATCCGGATTGGCAAATAACAAATTCAACAGATATGCAACGTAATAGTGGCAATATGTTTGCTCCTTTTCATATTTTGTATCTTTGAGGCTCTGAATTTCTTGTGAAAGGTCTTCAAACAAACGATCAAAAAATTCCGGATAAATTGTACAAAGATAATTGACCAGAATGGTGAATTGAAAGATAATAGATGGATGCTGGTTCTCAGGAGCAAATGTTAACGAATCTTCAATGAAATTCCAAATTTCTTCCATAATTTCATCAATATTTGAAGCTTTGTTGACTAAAGAAATGAGAACTTGCCATGTATCTTTAGAATTTCTGGCAAGAACTGATACAATTTGATCATCTTCCTGATATTTAATTCCAACTCTAATACTCTTGAATTTGACACCTGGAAACGGTTGCAGGGCTGGATCCTGATTTTGTGGGGTCTGTTTCTGTGCATTTTCTGGTGGTTTTGTAACATTTTGAATTTGAATAGGTTTGTTCTGGCCAAATTGAGCCAAATTCGGATCTGGAGGCTTTTGTTCGTTCTGTTGTTGATTGTTGTTGTTATTCTGAGGCAAATTCTGTTGATTAATAAATGGATTAGCTGGATTTGATAAATTACCTGTCCAATCGTTATAGTACCTGGATTAGCAGGTTTGGTACCGGATTTTGCATAATTTGACCAAAATTATTATTATTTTGATTTTGAGCATTTTCTGAAGTAGTTTGAGTTGTTTGGGCTTTATCTTTATTCTCTGAAATAATTTGACTTGGTTTTTTAGCATTTTCTGAAGTGTTTTGAGGCTGATTGTTTTGTATTTCTTGATGTGTTGGTTTTTCTTGGACATTTTCTGTATTTTGTGTTGCATTCTTTGCTTCTTCATTTGTAGGCTGATTTTGAGGGTTTTGTTGAGTAGGATTTTCTGAAATTTCTACTTCTGGGAATGAATTGGCAGGATTTGCAAAATCACCTTGGCCAATAGATATGTCACCTGGATTTGCAGGGTTTGGAACAGGATTTTGAATAATTTGGTCAAAATTATTATTATTTTGATTTGGAGCATTTTCTGAAGTGTTTTGAGTAGTTTTGTCTTTGTCTTTATTTTCTGAAATGTTTTGGCTTGGGTTTTGAATATTTCCTGAAGTATTTTGATTATTTTGGTCATTTTGTATTTTTTCTGCATTTTGGCTTGTATTCTTTGTTCCTTCATTTGTAGGTTGATTTTGGGTGTTTTGTTGAGTAGGTTTTTCTGCATTTTGTCCATTTTGGAATGGATTAGCAGGATTTAAGTATGCTTTAGTATTATCTGATTGTTGAGGATTGTTAGATATCGGAGAAGTATAAGCTGGAATGTTTATTTGCTCATTATCTTTATGTTGCTCTGAATTTTGAGTTGGATTAGTTTGAATTTGCTGGGGATTGCTAGTTTGCGCCGAATTTTGAGGATTTGTCTGATTTGTTTGATTATCGATTGAAACTTCAAGAAAATCAGCATTTTCGTTTGATGCTTCAGTAATTTTCTGATCACTATTCTGTGTTGTCTCTTCCTTTGTTTCTGGTGGTGGAGTTGGTTCTGGTTCTTTGATTTCCGGAATAATTGATACGTGATTTCGCTTTTTTAGTTTAGTATATTGGATTTTTTGCATTGTACTGCAAAATACCTTTGGTGAGCAAATCATTTTGAACGTTTGTTTGGTATTTTCAGAACAAAGCATAGATTAAAAAAAATTATTAAATTTTTTGTCACGTAAATAATTTATTGTCAGAAAAACAAATAATTATTTTATAATTGATGGAAAATTAATTCATAATGAGTTCAAATGCCGATATAAAGAAATCTCTGCAAGATCAACTCGGTGAATCATCTTTTGCCGAGTTTGATCTAACCAGTCAAGAAGTTGTTATTCGATGGATATCAACAGATAAGAAAGAAAATGAATATAGTCCAGGCACTGTATTAACAATTTTTGATGCAAGCGGTGATCGTTTACTCAATAACATAGACAACCTTGTTTTCATGTTCTTTGCTAAAGAAACACAAGATAATGATATGGATGAGAATGCCATTGAAAATGGAGATGACCAAACAAGCGAACAACCCACACCTACAGAATCCAATCAGTTAGCGCCTAATAAAACAAAAAAGAAAGTTCTAAATTTCGAAGAACAAATAGATTTATCTTACAGTCACAAGGATCTTAGATTCAAAAATGGCACTGGTTTTTGTTTCTCAAAAAGGAAAGATTGTAAAGTTCCTGAACAATCAATTGAAACAAAATTATATTTACTTGAACTTCACTTGAATAAAGATGGAAATGCGAAACCATCTAGTAATTCAGAAACAGGAGAGAGTAGTACTAATCGATTAGATCTTCTGGTCAAAATACTTGAATACGTTTTAAAACATAATACTTAAAATTGGGTTTTCAATTTGGTCTTCTTTTTATATGATTTTAAATGTGCACTTACCACTTTTTGACGTGCCCTCATAATGTCAATATATATATTTATTTTACTAGTGAAATATTTTCAAAAACCATATTATGTACTCTATAGTGATTTATATTAACTTTTCCCACCAAAAATATTAACTTTTTATCTGAGAAATTTGGGATAGATTATAGAAAATGTCAGAAAGTGGTGTTTGTACCCTTAACAAATTTATTAAGTTGTTGTTTGTATAAGGTCGTCAAAAATTGTGCGCTTTTTAAAAATCATCGTTTGAGGGGAAAATTGAGTACTTTTTGACACAAAAATCCACTAAGTTAGTGTCAGAAAGTTTACAAATGTATACTTTCTGACAAACAGAGTCTCAGAAAGCACTCATAGAGCGGTTTTTAATTTCCACATCTTGAAGCATTTTTGATTTATTTCGATCAAACTAATGATGTAAACAAATGCTTTGTTTATACACCGATGTTTAATATTCCATTTATATTTGCGAATTTTTCCTATCACATTGTGCAAATATCAATGAAAAAAGTGATTGTGGAGAAACTGCTCTTCATATTGCAGATTGGAATAATAGTAAAGAAATAGCCGAACTTCTCCTTTTACATGCTGCAAATATTTCATATGGAGGAAAAAGAACTTATGAACAGTTAATAAACAAGCATATAAAAAACAATTTATTCAATAAAAATATATAAAATTTCATTCTGCATCAGACATATTTCGAATCTGATGTGTTGAGTGTCTTTTTTGGGCCAAAACTTTTGCATCAACTTCATTTTCTTCTTCTTGTATAACAATCGGAATTGGAGGTAAATCATCTTCCATGAATGACGATAAAAGTGTCAATTTAACACTTGGCAAAATTTTATTTGTTTGATCATGTGAATTCTTATTTTTCTGGCTTCTTTCGCTTCCTTTTGCAACATTTTTAGTTGAGGTGGTTTTGTCTGGTTATTATTTGTGTTATTATTCTGTTTCTGTTTTGGTTTTGGCCTTGTTTTCGTTGGAGGCTTCGTTTTCTTTATTTTCCACGCTTTTTTCTCAATCGGATAAGGCAGATCTGAATCGAACGGAAGGAAGAGCTCTGTTCCCTTCATTATAGCAGGACCAGACGAAGAAGACCTCTCATCAGTTATAGGACCTCTTGATCTAGCAGCATAAAGCATTGCACAGACATTTCCATTGACAATTTGTAGTTTTACAACACAATTGAAATGGAAACTTCTTCTTATGTACAATGCGTATTTGCTTGTGGTCTGTGAGATGTCTATAGCAACGGGAGTGCCTTGTATAGTGATGCAGGTGCGAGGAATACCTTCTTCCGCTCGAATTTCGTCTTGATGACACAATAAACCTGGAATTTGGCAAATAAAAGCGCCATCATCGATATTTTCCATCGCGCAGACAGTGTGATGGCTTGTAAAGCCTAGGTTGGCGGCAGATGGCATGGAAGGAAGCTTGGGAAGTGGCTCTGTCATGACATTTTGGCGAATTGAATCTGATATCTCGAGACCTGGTATAGAATAGAGTTTGTGCTTAGGGAATGGCTTGTAGAGAAAGTTTACAGCTATCTCATCCATGGTTTCCATAACAGTTAGCTTAGGAATTTCAAAAATACTCGAAATTGCAGAAACAAAAATCTTCCAGAACTCATGGCCGTAGTCGAAAGCGTTTGTTCCGAACTGGTTAAATAGTATTGTAATGGATTTATGGTAAGAAAGTTCAGAACTACCGAGCATTTCTGTAATCATAGTTCTGAAGTCTCCTTCTGGTATTTTCTTGATGATTTCTTCTGTGTTGGATGGTACTGTTTTCGTAAAATCTTGTGAAAATGATTTTTCTGGTATTTGGAAGTATGGTTGCTTAAATTGCCGAGATCCGCAAAATTGGCAGACAAAGTTCTGTGGATTACGTCCGAATTGTAGTTTTGCGCATGACTTGTGAACATAATATCCACATGCCACGCATTTTATGATAGGTTCGTCGAATTTCATGTTTTTGCGACAACTGCAGCGTAATGGTAAATATTGACAGTAGGGACATATGAAATTGGTATCTGGCGTAACTCTGGCTATGCCAACACAAGCGCCATGGCAGTAAAAGTTGCATTTTGAGCAACATACCAAAACTCCATTTTTATGTGTTTGCTCGCATGGGCAACGTATAAAGTATGGAGTCTTGTTCATATCGAAGTACATATACGGAGCTGGTGGATCTTTTGCCATGTAAGGATCATTAGGTTGTACAACAAAATTACCACCTATTTCAGTGAGCTGTGGGATGATCCTGCTGTTCGGTCTCGGAAGTATGTATCCTGTAAACGGTATTGGAGTGTAATTTGAGTTAGTTGAGAATGGACGTGGAGGTATTGTAATTGGATTGATTTTGACAGTATTTTCTTGGATAGAATCGTTTTCTGACTCTTTTTGATTGGTTGTGTCGATCTCAACTGGCTTTTCTTCTATTTTTTGCTCAGGTTCTTTTACTTCATTTTGCATACTCAGATTTTGGAATTTACCCTTTGATATTACCCTTCTAAAATTTTCAAATCATTCATCGCTTTTAATAATGGAATTAAAAAGAGCAACAAGCATCATGGAAGAAAACTCAAAAACAATTCATCGTTCTTTTAGAATATGATCATTTACAAACAGATGAAATGAATACAGAACTAATATTATTGATTATCGATATGCTTTTGAAAATAAAGTTTATACTTTAACTGATTTTAGAATATTGCAATCAATAAAAAATCAATTCATACGAATTTTATTAAAATGCTCAGCTATAAGTTCTATTTGTCAAATTTTTGATATACAGCAAGCACATCATTTTATAGTAGTATTTGCTCATATAATATTTAATCTATTCTTATATCAGCATCATAAAGTAGTCAGACACTTTCAAAACTGTAATTATTCTCAATTATAACTTGTGTTAAAGAAATGGATCTATGTAATTTGGAATAACAATACAAATTTCTAAATTGAATTGTAGCAATATCTTGTCTTTTTATAAATAGTATACGAGGAAATAGACTTCGTGTAGGTAATGATAATTCAAATATCGATGCTGCTATTTCATTAATGTGAGTGTCTTCCCAGCGAGGTTAAATTTTAAATGAAAAAATGTAAAATTTTTCAAGAACGAAAAAATGTAAATGATATTGGATAATAAACAATATTGTGTTTTTCAACTCGATCATGGCTTTCAATTTTCCGATCATGAAAAATTTTTTTCATAAAAAATTTCTTGAATTCATATTTTATAATTCATGGAAGATTTCAACGAAAGTGAGCAGATTGAACTTAAGGGTGATGTAGCCATCAAGTTTAAAGTTCAGTCATTTAACTGTTTAGTATATAAAGAAAGTGTTCCTGTGATCAGGAAACCAGTTTTGCTCAAAAACGACCCAGTGATAGGATTAACTGATAGTTTATTGAAGAATCCAACATCCACAGTTTCGAAACTAACATTTCCATTCCTAGTTAATATTTATAGTACACAATTTCATCAATTAGATCAAGCTCCTCCACAATGCCCAAAGTGTGGAGCATATTTAGTCCAAGAATCGTTTAATAATACTATCCCAGCATCATGCCCATTCTGTGAACACCCTGTTTCCTGTCAAAATTCTCATATTTGCATTCCAAATCACCATCAAGAAGGAATCTACATATTTGTACTAGTTGGTGATGTTAACCCTGCGTTTTATGACAAGATTATGTCATTCAAACAGAAATTTGTTCTTTGTTCATATTCAGATCACTTAACATTTTTGGCCAAAGCAAAGAATGGTTATCAACTCCTGGAGTGCTTTGACTCTGAAATGCCACCATCCATTATTTTAAGCGATTTACAGCAGGCTCCAACTCAATTTCCAAAATCCGAAATCAGAAAATCGAATTTCAATGAAATTTTAGCATGTATCAATACAGCGATACCAAATACAGAAATAGCTCGTCATATTATCATAGTTAACGAGCTTCCTCATACATGTCCAGAATATTTTGATCTTAAAAACGCAACATTAAGCGTTCTTTCGACCAATAGTTTCAGATGCAAATGTAGAAGCATGTGTCCATTAACAGGAGGGCTTTTCCTGCCTCATCATCACTCTTTACCTGATTATATAACTCATGTTAATAAAATAACATTGAAAGCAGTTGGAACCAGCATAGAAAACAATAATATGCATCTTACAGCACCAGGATTCTATTCTGTTATCAATGGAATGAGTATTTCCTCATTAACTGAAAAAACAATTCAAATTATTGTTGAAAGAGCCGGGTTTTCTTTTATTTCTACATTTTCTTTGAAACCTGTAGAAGGATTACATAACTTCCTTTCTAATTCCCAGCTCGTTCCCTTCTTAATTTCGTTGAATAATTCACCTTATACGAATATCATTAAGGAGTACACGAGAAATACATCAGTAATTGAATTTCCATCACAGTTAATATATGCTCCTCATTTCTCTTCGTATTTTAGATACCAAATTAACTCGATTAATCGAGTTTTATCGTGTAGACCGTTTTTATTACAAATCAAGCCTACATTGAGAGTTCCACAATTCGTTTCTGAAGAGATAATCTCGAATTTATCTATTCTTTTGATCCTTATCGATTATACAATTTATATCTTTGTTGGAGGCGATGTAAAGAGAAGTGATTGGAGAGAAATCATTGGAGAAGAGCCAGATAATGCAATGATGTCGTTCGAAGTCTTAGACAAAGGTTTGGAAAACGATCTTTGGAAATCAATTAGATCTATCAAGGAACAGTTCATTGGAATGGATATTCCTGTCATTGCTGTGCCAAGTGAAAGTGGCAGAAGATCAGAAATCATTGAAGAATTGAAAGTTGATTCTGATGGTAGCAATAACTTACTTCTGAAGAAGTTTGGTGAGATAGCATCAGCTATTGCAAACATTTAATTCATTATTTTTCATAGGTTGTATATAATTTTTTTATAAAATAAATTATTTATTTTTGTTTATTATTAATTCTTACGATTTTAAGGTCATAACATTATATGGTATTGTTTATTCTTGTTATTATGATTTGATATTTAAATGTAGTTGGAAATATAGATAATTTTGGTAATTAAATGGTGAATATCCTTTGGTTGGTTTATTAGAAGAAGTTTTTAGCGTATCTTTAATCCAAGAATTTATATAATCCAAGTAGTATATGTTGAAGGGTTGTGTGACTTTTTTTGTTACATCTATATATAGACGATGCATTAAAATATATTTATTTATAAATCATTAAAAAATTAACATTAATTTTAAAATAATTTATTTTTTTATCTTTTATAAAAGAAGCTATATATAGATGATGTCAGATATTCCGCGATTAATTAAACATCATTTAAATCCTGAATGGGTTAAACTTCAATTTAAAAATGAAGATTGTGAATTATTAAATGAATATGAAAGCCAAAATAAGCTAATGAGGTATAAATATAATGATAAAGAATATTTAATTTCATGGAATCAATGGAGTCATAATCAAAGACCTCATAAACGAGAAGAAGAAATTGAAAATAATGAAATGGAAATCATTGATGACATTAAAGAGGATGGAATTCCTAAATTTTGTAGAAAAACCTTTAGAACTAAGTTAGGAGCATATAAACGTAGAGTATTAAATCCTGAATACATAAAACATTTATTTAAAAAGGAAGACTGCGAATTATTAAACGCTAATGAATATGAAAATGCTAAATCAAAACTGAGGTATAAATATATTGGAAGTGATGAAAGGTGTAAAGATAAAGATAAAGTTTATTCGGTTTCATATAATAACTGGCACACGTTAGGGATAAGAAAACATTTAGGAGATTATGGTAAAAGTTCCGAATTCTTTAAATCTAGTATGTGCGACATTATTAAATAAATTAGTAATAATTATTTTCATGAATGAAAGATTCACTACCATAATGAAATAAAAAATAAAAAAATAAACTTTAAAAATTCATGTCTTACATTTATGAATAATTTATAAAAAGTTTTTATTCCTACAATTCCTATATTACCATTAATAAAAAGAATATATTTTATAATAGTTTCATTTCGAACATGTTAAAATTTATCTGCATTTCGAAAATTTTTATTATAAATGATAATATAATTTATTAAATTAATATATAACTTATGAATTTTTACTTTTTGTATGAAATAAAATTTAGTATTAATAAAGTTATAAAATAAATTGGTGCATGTTAGATGTAAATAAGATATAAAAAAGGTGTTTATGAATACTTTAGCAGAACTTCTACTGGTAGAGTTTATACTGGCAGAACTTCTACTGGCAGAACTTCTACTGGTAGAGTTTATACTGGCAGAACTTCTACTGGTAGAGTTTATACTGGCAGAACTTCTACTGGCAGAACTTCTACTGGTAGAGTTTATACTGGCAGAACTTCTACTGGTAGAGTTTATACTGGCAGAACTTCTACTGGTAGAGTTTATACTGGCAGAACTTCTACTGGTAGAGTTTATACTGGCAGAACTTCTACTGTTTCCCTCAAAATTGAATACTTTAGCAGAACTTCTACTGGTAGAGTTTATACTGGCAGAACTTCTACTGGTAGAGTTTATACTGGCAGAACTTCTACTGGTAGAGTTTATACTGGCAGAACTTCTACTGGTAGAGTTTATACTGGCAGAACTTCTACTGGCAGAACTTCTACTGGTAGAGTTTATACTGGCAGAACTTCTACTGTTTCCCTCAAAATTGAATACTTTAGCAGAACTTCTACTGGTAGAGTTTATACTGGCAGAACTTCTACTGGTAGAGTTTATACTGGCAGAACTTCTACTGGTAGAGTTTATACTGGCAGAACTTCTACTGGTAGAGTTTATACTGGCAGAACTTCTACTGGCAGAACTTCTACTGGTAGAGTTTATACTGGCAGAACTTCTACTAGTAAAGTTTCTACTGGTAGAACTTCTACTGGCAGAATTTCTACTGGTTATATATGGTGTCAATTTTTTAAAAAATTTTGAATTCAATGAGTTATATCAAAAATAAAATTCTTGAATAGAGTAAAAAAATTTAAATAATTTATTTAAATATTTTCTTCTGACATTTTTGAATAATTTATTTTTTTAATTCGTAAGAAAATGAGTGGATCAAGATTCGTAACCGTCAATCAATTAATGGATGCTCTTTCACCAATTCTTGAAAATGTTAAACAAGTAGATGTTTATTTCGATGATTATGTAGAAAGTTTATATTATAAAGGTAAACATAATATTAAACCCATTGCTTTTGCATTTGATAATAAATTAATTGAAAATGCAAAAATTTGGGAATTAATTCCAGATATTGAATATATAACGAATATAACTAATAAATGGTTCAAACGAATTCCAACCACAAAAGTTCTTTGTAAATTAATGATCAAAACCGAGGCCAAAGAATTTCATGAATTTACATATCATCCAAATAAAGTTTCAGAACTAGAAAATGAAAAACTTCAGAAAAAATTAAACGATAGACTTTCAAATGATCGTATTGAAAAAATAAATAAACTAGCAGAAGTTGCATTTAATAATGAAATATTTGATGAATATAACCTTGAACTCAGTGATGGGCTTTAAGGACCCGGGCTCAACGAGTCATGATTTATGAAATCAATAATTTGATTTATTCTCTTCAATAATTTCTATTCTTTTTGTTAAATCATCTATTTTCATTAATGAGGTGATTCTTGATTGAGGAATAGATTTCAAACTAACCACTCCTTTTATTTTTGAAATTTTGAATCCATCAACTTTAAACATTTTATTCAATTTACATGTTGTCAATTCTTCAAATAATTTTTTATTGTTAGCATAATAGTCATTAAATTCTTCAACAGATGAAAAAATTTTTATTTCAGTAATTGGTTTAACAACGTTTATTTTTTGTTGAACATTTTCACTTTCATTTATTTCTTCCTCCTGTGTTTCATTTATTTTTAAAATTGGTTTCATTTATCATTAAATAAAAATTAGAATATAAGTGATGAAATATATTTTTTAATTAATATTAAATCAGAAATGGCGGCAGGATTCTTTAAAAAATTATGGGATGGAATTAAGAAAGCTGCGGGTTGGGTTCATAAAAATATTATTAAACCCGTTGCAAACTTTTTGGCACCAGTAGCGAAAACGGCAGGAACTATCATAGGTGGAGTATTAGGTACTAAAGCAGGTAATCCGGCAATGGGAGCACAAGCAGGTAACGCAATTGGTGGAATAGCTGAAGGAATACTTAATAAAATAGGAGGTAGATAGTGGAAAAATAAATATTATTTTTATCTTAGTATCGGTTGAAGTCTTTGATAAACTTTTTCTCCTTTATTTAATATTTCTCTTATTGGGGCGGCTTTTGGCGTTATTGATTCAGCAACGTCACTAATTGCTTCTTTATTCTTAAATATCCAATTTGCTCCTTCTTCAATGTTTCCCAAACTTTATGCGCTCCTCTTTTTACTTTATCCCACAGTTTCTTAAAGAATCCTGCAGCCATAGTTGATTATTTCATTAAAATTAAAAATTCATTTTCATCTTTTAATTTTGATTTTTTATTTATTAATAAATGACGACTAACTATTTGGTGCCAAACACTAAACCGATTAATGGAAATGTATTTCATTCATTCGAAAAGATAAATGAAATATTCGCAAAGAATGACGGTAGAAGATATTATAGAGAACTTGAAAGTTCATGCTATGACTCTGATGCTCCATATTTTGATGATAAACAAACTCATTTAAGAATTACAAATCCGGCTCATGATGTGAACCAATTAGGTGACACATATATTAAACGCAAAGTTAAAGCAACTCTAGTTTCAAATAAAGCTTTCACATGTGATGCCGCTTTTAAATGCATGCGTTTATTCGTTGGTTACAAATCATCAAATCAAAGCTTTAAACAATTAGAAGTAGAAACCGAAAGAGGTGATGCCGGTTATCTTCAGATGGATTGCGCCCGTGAATCTTTCGCATTTGCAACATATAAACCAAAATCAGAAAGGAAAGTTAAAAAGTTTGTTCATTCGTTATATAATAATGTTCAAAAATATGATAACTCAGTATGTGGTAAATATATTGACCCTTCAGAAGTTTTCAAGAAAGCAAATGAAGAAGTTGATGTCACTTTTGATATGATTATTCCGGTAAATGATTTGTTAGCATTTCAGGCGTTCGATGATTATCCTAAATCATTTGGTGAAATCATTCTTAAATATTATGTTTTCAGGGATACTTTAGTATTTTGTCAGGTTGACCCGTTAAGAGTTGCTGATTTACAAAATTACGTTTATGAAAAGATAACTGATGAAAATTATGAAAAGATTATGAATCATGTTTATAAATATGATCGCAAATTCCAACAAATCGGACTTCCTGCCAAATTAATTACAAGCTTAGCCGCTACATCTGCTGACGCAACAGTTGATGACGTTATTATTTCATGCACAAAGATGGAAGTTTTAGAGGATAAATGCATTACACCAGGATACGGTTTAATTGAAGAATCAGTTAAAGCAATACCACGTTTATTCAGTAAGGAAGATCCATTCATGATTCCAGCTCAACATATTGACGTTCGTTCACTAAATGGAGGTTGCATCACTCCTGAAGGTATTAGCTCAGATTTCTCATACGCTCTTCATAATGTTACAGATGTTGTGTTAACATTTCCGAAGAATGCAATGCAAAGAACATTTTAGAAAATCCAATGCTTCGAGGTCTTCAGGTCACTATAGATTCCAGAAACTTCCCCGATCAAGCGATGACCACAGTGGGTGACATATTCTTTACACGTATGCTTCAAGCTTCTGATTTAGATGGAGTGAATGAATGCACGGAAGAATACGAGGACTCATTAACTAGACCACTGAATGATGATAATGGCACGCCATTAGCTAGAACATGGAAAGACCAAACTTCATTCTTATGCACTATTCCAGTTCAACGTGATGGAGCGGGTATATTCTTTGATGGATTAGAAACTTTCAATTCACAAGTTACAGTACAAGTGAAAGCTTATCCAATCATTCAGGGTGAAAATGACACTTACTGTTCAAAGGTGACAAATCCTCCTCAGGTTTGGTTTACTAGGACTACGTATTGGACATGGACACCGGATGAAGGTTTGAAATATCATCCAACAGGTACACCACCACAGTATAGAAGTTCATATGATGAAATATTGATGAATAGAAATGTTTAAAATTATAAATTTATTTTTGATTAAATGGATTTAAATTCATCCACCCCTTATGAAGAATTAGCAGGAGTATATAATACATACGTAGATGATATGATTAATGAAGCATTGAGTGATAATAGAAATGCTCTATCTAAGGAAAAATTAATGAAAATTCCATATTCTGAATGTTACTTAAATTCAATCACTGCAGCAATTGGTAAACAAAATAAAGGTAAAACATTAACGATATTAAAACAAATTATCATTATTGCTAACACTTCCCCCTATTCACATGTGTTAATTTATATCAACCGTTCAGGTTCACCTTCAGATGATACATTTGAATCTTTAAAGCATTTAATCAAAATTCCAATTATTTATTTATCACAAGAAGAAGCAGAAGATTATTTAAAAAACTTTTTAATGTATAAAGAATTATATAATACAATCAAGAAGCAAGGATTAGAGGATAAAATTATTGATAAACAAGGGATGAATTATTTGAAACACTTTCTATTTCAAATTTTGATAAAGAATTTTTGCATTCACTAATTTTTCTAGATGATGCCGTGAAATCAAAACTAATAACTAATGAGAAATCATATTTTAATCATTATTAACTCAATGTCGACACATTCAGTGTTCATTCTTTATGGCTGTTCAATACTTTCAAAGCATTAAGCACAAACATTAAATCAAATCTATCACACTTTTCATTTTCAGTGGTTTAGTCGTCAACAGTTGAACGTTATGCTTTATCAAGTGAATTTACCAATGAGCATTAATGAACTTTACACACAATATCAACAATTAGGGAACATGGAAAAATAATAGTTGATTTAAATAAAGGAAGTGTTAAATTTGATTAACTTTTTATAATTAATTTTTATTTTTTATTTATAATTAAACATGACAGAAATAGCAAATCTTCTACAGGTTCCATTAAAACAAGGGACAAACAAAAAGGGTGCATATAATAGAACTATGAAAGTTCCAGACGGAATGAAAGAATTAGTCCACATTGTTGCCGGTCTTCAAAAGGATGTTAAACAAATGAGAAACGTTTTAACATTACCAGAAGCTCAAGCATATGCCAAACGTCATGGACCAAATTGGGAAGCACATGAAGCAGACATTACAGGACCAAATGGAAAGCCTGATGGTATAAATGAAGTTTTCGTTACTGATGGTCAAGGTAATATTAAAGTCATAAATGGGTATAAATTAACAATGACGGATTATCCTAAACGTAAAGCATATAATGAACGTTATCCTATGAAATTTGATGAAAATGGAAAAGCTGTTAAACAACATATCGGAGAAGTAAAATGGTCCAATTAATTCATACCGTCATAATCCATATTCTTATTTCAATGAAGAATTAAACGCTATTGAAGAAGGACCAAACGGATTACCAATATGTTAATCAGTTTGATGGTCAATATGCAAATTTGAGACCTGAAATTCCAGCTAAGAAATTCTTTAAAGTTGCTTTATTCGATCCAGTGTTCAATGAACAGAAAGAAGCAATGAAAGCAGAATTTAAACCAATTCAAGTGGCAAGAATTTCTTCATCTTCACTTTCAGAAGCGTTCAAGGAATTGATAAAGAAACCACTTTATTCTCAACAAGGTTATAACTTTGATTTAATTAAAGAAAGTGATAGACGTAAATTAGAAAAATCAGATGGTTTTAAGAATGCATGTAATGAAATGATTAAAGATATTGTAAATGATAAAATAAGACTGGAAGAAACTCAAAGCAATATCAATAACATAATTGGTGCAGTTACAAAGAAAGTATAAGCAAACAAGGATGAACCTTGGGATATTACCGTAACAACTAAATAAAACTTTAAATATATTTTTCTTTTTTTTATTCAATTATAAATGAGAAGACGTTTCACAAGTCAAAAGAACACAAACGCAAAAGCAGAGATTACGGTTGGTTATAACGTAAATGATGATAAATCACGAATTATTCAAAATGTTAAAGTTAATGTTAGCCCTGAATTAACAAGGTCAGCAACTCAACCAAATTTATTAACTCGTGACTTACCAAAGAAAGAGGAGGAGCAAAATAAAGAAGATGAAGACCCAATCATTTTATCTGAACCTGGTAAAGAACCCGTTGAAATTCCCACTTATCCAACATACCCCCACCTCTTTCATCAAACATCGAGAACCCAGGAATCTACGATTCCAGTCGCAATGCGCCATATAAAGTAGACATTAATTCTGAATTAATGAAAATTTACCGTGATATAATAATTAATAATTATGATTCAATAATAAATTTAATTGACCAATCTGGTTTAATTATTTTACCTTATGAATCATTAATTCACATTATCGCCATTCTTTGTGATGTTCAAGATTCAGACGTTAAGATTCAATTTTTCATAGATGATGAGGTTTCATGCTGCGGAACAGTTGCAAAAATAAATCCTATAAAGGATATTAGCACAATTAAGATATCAAAGAACGGAACAACAACTGAACTTCATTTAACTTATAATAACATATAAATAAAATAGTTGATGAATATAAAATATCACTTGAAAAATTCTTTGTTAAGGCTATTTAATATTCAAGCATTAACATTATCGAATAATAATCCTTTGAATCATAATCAATAATAATTGACCTTTCACCAGTTTCTATCGTTTGTTTTATTTCTTTTTGTTCCCCACTATCTGGATCGGTCATTGTAATTGTTTTTGTTATAGTATCAGCTTTATCTTTAACTTCAATCTTTTTTCCATCGGATATTTAAACCAAAATTCCAAAAATTCGATATTGTCAATCTGTTCATATTTTAATCTATCAATTACATTTTTAATACCATCTGAAAATCTTATGAAATGGTCATTATATGGGTTTGATTGAACTAAATTTGAATGAAGTGAAATATAACCTGTTGATGAATATGACATTGACTCATATTTTCTGAAAACACTAAAATTTATAACATGAATGAATTTCTTATTCGTTGAATTTATGAATTCTTGAGGTAATCTTATTCTAGTTTTATTTATCACTGGAAAATAACGCTTTACCATATTTTTAATCGTAATAAAAATGTCAATTATCAATATTATTTCGAATAATAGTGTGAATTAAATTTAACAGTTAGCGGAATTTATAATGTTACTCTCGTTTCTGTGAGTGGTAAATTTAATCCCATTCTTTTAGACCCTTCAGATTATATATCATTTATTAAAGATGACCTTGAAAAAACGTATGATATGTATATAAATAATGTGATAGCGAAATGGGATATTAACATGATTTTAAGTTATTTAAATGAATCATTTATCGTATGGTATGAAGAAAATTTTAAATCAAAACCTGATAAACTTTTTGAACTTGATGAAATAAATAACCTTATTAAATTTCCGCTGAAAATTAAATTTTGTACTCCTCATCTTCGTTCATTGTTGGGGATATTAAATTTTGAAAAAGATGTTGGGGATGTTTTGTATTCTGACACTGGTTCCAATTTCATTTTAATCAAATGTGATAAAGTTAATACCCCAATGAGATTTTCACATCAAACATTAGACCCTAACTCTTACCCATCAATACAAAACATTTTATCCATCAACTTAAACACATTTTCTTTATCATATCCGTTTCAATTATCCGGGAATTCATTTATTCTTCATTCAAAAGATTTATCAAATATTAAATTTAGAATAACTGACCTATTTGATTGTGATTTAGAATTTATGAATGAAATATTATGGCAATTTCAAATAGAAAAAATAGCTGATGAGATAACGGATTAAATATTTATTTTTAAATCATAATAAATGATTAAACAACAACACAACTTAAGGCGCAAAGCACCCAGGTCCTTCAGACCATTACATACGCCATATATGCATATAATTCAAAGACGGCAGAACAAACGCAAAGGTTGAAATATGGAGATTTGGAGATAGTATTGAAAAATGAACATTTCGAATTCGTTTGCAAAGGTGGTGCAGTGATATCAAATATAAAAGAAATTTTATTTATGAATTCAAAAATTAAAGGAATAACGGATGATATAACATCAATTCCACCAGAAGAACAGAGATATTACGCATTAAATGCATTTCCTAAAGTTTTGAAGATTGGAAGATTTAATTTAAATGAGGAATTCATAGAAGGTTTCCTAAACGACATAATGAAGAAGGCAGATAAGGAATATGTTGATAGTGAGTTAAATAAGAAGGCAGATAAGGAATATGTTGATAGTGAGTTAAATAAGAAGGCAGATAAGGAATATGTTGATAGTGAGTTAAATAAGAAGGCAGATAAGGAATATGTTGATAGTGAGTTAAATAAGAAGGCAGATAAGGAATATGTTGATAGTGAGTTAAATAAGAAGGCAGATAAGGAATATGTTGATAGTGAGTTAAATAAGAAGGCAGATAAGGAATATGTTGATAGTGAGTTAAATAAGAAGGCAGATAAGGAATATGTTGATAGTGAGTTAAATAAGAAGGCAGATAAGGAATATGTGGATGAAAAAGATAATGAAATATATGAAAAAATTAAGGAAAGGGTTGAATGGTATCATGAATGGACATTGAAGACTTTTAAATTTAAAGCTGATACAGGGTGGGTTTCAGGATGTTTAGATCTTAAAGCAGATAAAACTTATGTTAACGATGAGTTAAATAAGAAGGCAGATAAGGAATATGTTGATAGTGAGTTAAATAAGAAGGCAGATAAGGAATATGTTGATAGTGAGTTAAATAAGAAGGCAGATAAGGAATATGTGGATGAAATATACCAAAGTTTGATAGGAACAACAAAAAATATTGAAACTATTGTTGGGGATGTTTCTGTCTATGAAGAAAACAAATATTTTAGATGGGAGTTTGTACACTCCTTAAAAAATGGTATACGGTATAAACTCATTCCGAAAAATAACAATGAAATGTATGTAGGCTATATAAAGAATAATGGTACACAAGTTAAAGTTCCATTAGACAACAACTGCTACTTAAACTTATATGGAGACGAACAAAAGAAATATTTAAGAGTTTATGAAATGGCAGGTATGATGTTGGCTGACCCAGCTCCAGCACCATATTATTATGACTATGGAGATGACGACAGAACACCACATGTAGATGAACAAAAGCTAACATTATATTTAGATTATTATAGATATAAAAGATATAATGCAATAGAAAAAACGAGAATAGTATATTATTATACAGATGACAGAAATAAATATTATAGTCAAGATTTTACCTACCCTGAAAACATAAGATTATATTATAAAAAATATTCTGACACAAACCAGAAGAAACCTGAAATAGTTGCACTATATTTTAAGTTCAAAAGAGACAATCCTATAATATCTCATATGTTTGATTTAATGAACCCAGTAGGTTCTATTTATACATCTGTGGATGCAAGAGGTCCTCAAGTAATGTTTGGTGTTGGTGCATGGGAACAAATAGTTGACAGGTTTTTGTATTGTGCAAACTCTTCAAAGGAAACAGGGGGAAGTAAAACGATTTCAGGTGAAAATTTACCTGCACACAGTCACTACATAGATTTAAGTACATCTCAAGCAGGTTGGCATAAGCATAGATATTGGGATTGGTCAGGAATGACAAAAGGTAAAGGATATGATGTTAAAGACGACGTTAAGTTTGCTATAAATTGTTACTGGGATGACACTCAGGGAGAAGGAAACCATACACATTTCGTTTCAGGATATACACAAACAACGGGACAAAGTAAAGAATACATGCCACCATTTATGACTGTATTCGCATGGTATAGAGTTCAATGAATGTGCTTGACCCAAAGGTCTGGGCTTACCGAATGAACTAAATATATTTTATGTCTGTAATTAATTAGGTAATGAAGTAATGGATGAACTGCAGAAATAAATGTTTACGTTAATGTTTACGTTAATGTTTATGTTAATGTTTTCAGGTTATTCAATAATTAATTATTTTTGAAGAACTGAAGGTGTCACTACGTCACCATGTGTCACTCGGTTAATTAACTTCTCTGAAAAAATGAGACAACATGACATTTTGACAACATTTACGAAAATATGATGCAGTCCAAAAATAAAGTTAGTTTTAAAATTATTTTTATTTTTTTATTCCTATATAAATGACAGCAACAAACAACAACAGCAACTTTATCATTTCTGATGAACAAGTTATTGATTCATTAGCTGAGGAATTAGTTGTGGCAGAAACTAAAACCCTCAACGAAAGAATTGGTGAAAACAAGATTGATTTACATAACTACCTCAAACATGATGGAGGAAGAGGAAGGAAAACTGGTGTGGCTTTATTAGTAAATAAAATTTCAAATTTAACGATTATAGATGTTGATATCAATAAATCGTACAATGATGAACTTAAAGAAACAGTTAGAAAAGACATTTTATCAAAACTTTCGGATAAAGATGTTATCGTTAAAACCGCATCAGGAGGTCTTCACATTTATTGCAACACTAATTTCTTCTATTCAACCTCGAACAGAATGATTAAATGTTATTCCTGCAATGATTATGATATTGACATAATGACTTCTATTGATGATTCAAAGCGTTCATTAGTAGTTATGGCTGATTCAAGAGTTCGCAAGAATGCATCAGAACCAATCAATACATACTCATTCATTCGTGGAAGTTATGATTCAACATTAACTAGAACAGTAAATGATATATTAAATGATTTGAATATTAAGGTAAGAGTTGAACAGAAGAATGAAGAAATAAAGAGTATAATGAATGAAAACAAAGATGTAAACATTGACGATAAACTTGCCCAGAGCATAGTTGATGGCATCTGTGATTTTGAAGTACATAATGATGGTGGAAACATGAATTTAGAAAAAGAAGTTACATTATTCACACTGTTTCAAGCAATTAATTCGTTACCGGATCATTTAATTAATGAAGCATACGATAACGTTTATAACTTCTGTAGTTTAACAGAAAATGCTAAAAGTAATTTTGAAAAAGCACGTAGTAGATATGCACATTTAATGACTTCTCCATTTGTTTTGGTGAAGATTCTAAAACTTTATCAAAAGGAATATTATGATGAATATATTTTACCTTTATTACGTAAGCCAAAAATAACATTTGATATCAAACTTGATGACTCGTTTTTGATAACAGATATTAGACGCAAGGCTGAAAATCATCAGTATAAAAACAGTTCTGAAGTAATTGAGGATTTATCACGTGTAATCCGTTTTGTAGATTGTGGAAATAAATATTTCATTCAAAAGGACTATAATATCCACGACAAAATGAATCAAATATCATTCGTTCTTCAATCAAACATGAAAGAGTCACTCAAAATGATTAAATTATTTAAAGAAGAAGGTAAAACCATAACAGCATGGGACGTACTATTAAATCAATTATCCTCATTAACCGTTAAGGGTGTTTGCTTTAAATCTGATTCCCCAGATGTTTTCTCAACGTTTCAGGGTTATAAATACAACATTCTCGAAAAACCAGATTACTCAAAAATTGAGATGTTTATGAATTTCATTAAAGAAGCCATTTGTGATAATAACGATGAAGTGTATAAATACCTTCTCGGCTGGATTGCATCAATGATTCAACATCCTGGAATCAAGAATGAAACAGCAATTATTTTGAAAGGACTTCAGGGAACAGGTAAAAACAGATTTACAGACATTATCTGAACTCCTCGCCGGTTATTCATGTAAAAACATTACTGAAATAAGTGAGCTAACGGGTAATTTCAACTCAGTAGTTGAAAATAAAAATGTTTCTTGTACTTAATGAACAAGAATGTAGGTGAAGACAGACTTGCAAACTTCAACGCTTTGAAATCAATTATTACGGATAATGAGATTAGAATTAATGAAAAGAATCAACCCAGAAGAACAGCTCAGAATGTTGCCAATTTTCATTTTCGTAACTAATAACGTCTACCCCGTCAAAATTGAAGTTGGAGACAGAAGATACGTAGTTTTAAGGGTTAATGGTAAATTCAAGGGTCAATTTGATTACTTCAAGAATTTAATGGATTCATGCACTAAGGAATTTTATGATAACCTTTTAACATATTTTATGCAATATGACCTTTCATCATTTAATGTACGAATCATACCGATGACTGAAGCCAAACAAGATTTAATTGAATTATCAACAAATCCTTTAGATGAATGGATAAATACACATTATGATGAATTGAGTGCAGGTATGACATGTAAAAATGCGCTATTCTGCAAACCATCAGACATGAAAGACAAGAATTTCCAAATGAGCATTAAGGATAAATGTGATAAGAAACAGGTAAGAATAGATGGTAAACAAACATGGTGTTATGTTTTGAAAGAAGAAATGAAAGGATTATATAAACAGGTTGAACCAAACGATAATGAGGATTCATTTACTGACGATGAAATACCTGTAAATGAAGCTTTATAAAGTATGATTGGAATTTATTTTTGCATTAATCCTGCTGTGTTGTCAAAATGTCATGTTGTCTCATTTTTTCAGAGAAGTTAATTAACCGAGTGACACATGGTGACGTAGTGACACCTTCAGTTCTTCAAAAATAATTCATAAATGCCTTCCTCATTAATCCTGTGATGTTGTCTAAATGTCATGTTGTCTCATTTTTTCAGAGAAGTTAATTAACCGAGTGACACATGGTGACGTAGTGACACCTTCAGTTCTTCAAAAATAATTAATTATTGAATAACCTGAAACCATTAATGAAAACATTATTTTTGGGTCATTTACACTCATTACGATGAAGTCATGACAAATCATTTCCGGGACTGTTGTCAAAATGTCATGTTGTCACAAACTTTAGAACGGCATAATTTAAATTTTTATTTTTATCATAAATGGATACCCACAAGCTCAAAATTTACCACGAATCATAACAAGGGAGGAAACGATAAAAATGATGCGAGAACTTGCTAAAAATAACAAACCACTAAAACTGAGAAAATGTGGTTATGCAGTAATGATGGAAAGAGAGACGTTGTCGAAGAGGAATAAAAATTAAATTTGGATTGAGTTTAAAATTTCATCTTTATTAAATTCATCTCTTCCAATCAATTTATTTATTCTATTAAATTCTTTTATTTTTGCTTCACTCAGTTTAAGGATTGAACGGTAAGTTTCTAATTTTTCGATTATTTCTTTCCTCTCTTTATCGTTTTCAATTACTTTAGTTTTATGGGCATCAGCCCCACCGCATTGCGGCTTCTTTTTGTAATAGCATATTTTTGATTTAATTCTGTTTAGTTTCTTTTTATATTCATCGTCTGGACTCTGAATCTTAATTGAATCAGGACTCTTGGATGCTTCGTTGTCACTCATTTCTTACGAAATAAAAAAATTAAATATTATTTAAATATAATGGAGTAATAAAATAAATCGGAATTTCTATTAATTTATTGTCAACTTCAACTAATGCATTGCCGTTAATATATCTAACAAATTCAGCTATTGTGTCAAATCTTCGTCTTCTTTTTGTCATTGATTTATCAGTTTTTCCATAATCGAGATGAATCAAAACTTTATCCCCTTGTTTAAAATTCATGAGCCCCGAATTAATTTGTTCACGTTTAACATCATTCAACCTTTCCATTTGCTTTCTAATATATTCCCATTCTTTTGAAATATCATTTTTCATTTCCACTGGTTTCATGTTTATATAGGGTGTCCAAATGTGCGTTTAGCACAGCGCTCTATATGAGACTATTAAAGGAGATATATGCTGATTATAAATATATAATAAAAAATATGAATATATGTATATGATGAGTAAGTTGTATTTTGGCGCCATGCCGGGATATAAAATGAATTTTGAGACAAGAGGCGGTTTCGCAGGAAATTTTGGCGGGATTTTTTTCATTTTTTTAATGAATCATAAAGAAAACATCCTCGCTCTTGCAAAAAAATGCAAAGACTGTAAAAAAATCTACGAGACATTGGTAAAATGCTTCGGTATGGATGCTCCTAGCTATTCCACTGTAAGGTATCATGTTAGGATGTATCACTTCATGAACAAAAAGGCGCCCATCATAAAAATTGACAAAAAATCGCCGGATCAAAGAAAAATCAAAGCAATTCTTCAAGCGCTAGATGAAGACCCAAGAGCATCACTCAGAAGGATAGAGGAGATGACAAAAATACCACGTACAACAGTCAGTTATTATCTGCACAATTATTTGAACTACAAATTAGCGTATACACGTTGGGTTCCGCACAACCTTAATTCAGTTCAAAAAAAATCTAGAGTCCAATCTTCGAAAGAGCTCCTCTCTATATTGGCTGCGTATCAATCCAAGAAGTTTCGCTTTTTAGTAACAGGGGACGAGTCTTGGTTTCAATATGCAACAGAAGCCAAAATCATGTGGATCCCGAAGGATGAAAATCCGCAAACATTCCCGAAGAAAAAAATTGACACACCAATGATGATGTTGTCGGTTTTTTGGGGCGTGAATGGTATCATCGCAATTGATATTCTTCAAAAACCTAATACGATGAATGCTCAGTATCTAATTGACAATGTTCTTACTCAAATTATCAATTCTGATGAGTTTGAGAAATCCAAACAACAAAAACAAAAGTTTGCAATTCATTTTGATAATTCAAGAGTTCACAAAAGTCATAAGGTAATGAATTACTTGTTGGAAAACAATGTCAAAGTTGTTCCAAACCCAATTTATTCACCTGATATTGCACCCTCTGACTTTTATTTATTCGGCACGCTAAAAAAGAGAGCTGAAGGACGCGAATTCGCGAGTCCAGATGATCTTGAAAATTTTGTAAGAGAGCAATTTGAGCAATTTTCTCATGATGATTTAAAGCGTGTCTTTCAAGCCTGGATCGATCGCTGCGAACGCGTGATTGAATCCAATGGTGATTATATTTAAATAAACTTTATATATATGTAACTTGTTTCTTTCTATTCGCAGTATTCAGGTTTGTGCTAAACACACTTTTGGACACCCTATAGTTCTATGCCATGTATTATTGTAATAATATACTAACTGTTGTATGATGGAGTCATGATTTCCATCCCAGTATATCTGACCGTTAACCCCTAACGCATCTCTAAGAGTTCTCATTACCGCATCAACTATTTTATTATGAAACGTATATGGAGAGGATGAGAAGTAAAAATTAATTTGTGGAAAATAATGAGCCATAGTTGCCTGAAATCCTTTATCACCATCACCCCTGATATTATCTACTCTTTCATGATCTAGTAAGTATTGAATAGCTCTTCTTGTTTCCTGTTCTGTTTTCCCTTTCACTGGAATGCAATATAAATATCTAGTGTTAATGTTAATGGCAAATAAATAAGTAACTTTTCCTTTTGAATATTCCAGATGATCGATTTCGTATGAATATGGATATGGTGCAAATGAAGGGCGACTAAATTTTTCCTTTAACGGTTGAATTTTCGGGTCAATTGGTTTATTTAATATCTTGAAATCCTTTTTAAAATCTTTTTGTTTCTTTAATGTTTGAAATGGATATAATAAAGTGAATGATGAAGGATTAACTGAAGGAGGAGGCGGTACTGTCGTTGGAGGTTTTGGTGTTGCAAGTGGTTTAATTTTATCTGCTTAATTTTGGATTTCATTCCTTCCTTCATTAATTCTGGATGTATTCTATTCATTTGTTTTAAATATGCTGTATATAAAGGTTTGATATACTTTCCCGCTTCGAGTTTATGTTGAAGGATGAATTCCAAAAGTTGATCTTCATTTAAAAGTCGGGCTGAATATGGTTTAACTAATGAATCATAAATTAAAGCTTGTGCTTCATTTATGGTCTGAGGGACCTGTGTCTTTTGTTCCTTTTGTTTTTGTTCCTTTGGCTTTGGCTTTTGCGGCTCAGGATTATATAATTTATATAATTCATCAATATCTTCTTCAGTTAATACTTTATTTTTGAAATCTTTCAACTGTTTAAGTTGTGATTTAGTTTTTCCCTTTGTATATTCATTATTTTTAATTTTGTCTTTAATTTCAGAAATTATTCTATCATGATATTTCAAAATTTCATTTTTATAATATGAATAATAATATTCCATATCATCACCCGTTATATTGTTATCATATTTTTGGAGATATGCTTTTAAATCATAATAACTAAGAAAATTTTGATTAAATACTAAATCAGCAATTAAAATTTTTAAATCTACGTTATCCATTTATATAAAAATAAAATCAATGTTTTGGACCCGTAATGTCTGCTTCGTGTGCTTCCCAATTTGGACCATGACGTTTGGCATTTCATTAAAATTTTAAATTGTATTAAATAAATGGCATACAACATCCATTTTCACAACATACAGCCTTAGTGTGTGCTCCTGTTAATGCAGTCTTACCGATTGTTAAGCGAGTCATTGACCCATTTTTAAGTTGTAAATTAATATTCTGACCATCAAATATCAATTTATCATTTATTATATCCAAATAATTTTTGGGTGTTAATTGCTTATTTTGTCTTAAACTAACACCTTTCATTTTTTGTGCAATCTTTTTAAAATCACTCCCATCAATTGAACCGTTGAATGATGTATAACACTTAGGACATAACGCCACCATGTTATCGCCTTGTTTCTCAATTGCTAAACCCAATAACTTCTTCTCATGTGCTTTTTCTTCAGCTTTATTCTTTAATTTAGGTTTAAATTTCTCATCAAAACAGAAGAAATCAAATGGTGCGAATTTGAAAATGTTTTTATCATAAAATTGTTTATCGGTAACAATTGCTTGAAATGCTTGAGTGTTAGGAAGATTTGGGTCGCCAGCGATTGCCCAATAAGATGAATCAGTATCACCTTCAATGAAATGAAAACGATTAACATTCATGCATTTATACATAAAATCATAAATGAAAACCAAATACCAGTATTTAGCATTATCTAAAGTGAAGAATGCCTCTTGTAAACATGTATCACATCTATAAAATCTATCTTTAAGCATCACTTGATATGTATCTTCACCTATTTCTCTTATGTTTTTAAACTTATTTGACATACATGCAACGCGTGCCTTCTGTGCATTCATTATTTTAGTCTTTGCGTAATTTTGCGTATTCATTGCATCGTAACCATATGATCCATTAAGTGAAATCTTGCAAAATAAACTTTTTCCTTTATTTCCTTCTAATTCAGCCTTTTGTCTTTCGTTCATAAATTTGTTCGCAAATTCATTAAAACAAGTGTTTTTCGTAAATGTTAAAATTGATTGAATGTCATCAATGATAAAATTAAACCTGTCTATTAGATACCAAAGATAATAAGAAGAAAATGGTTGATATTGGTTGTGTGTTGATGCTAACTGAGTTAATTTTCTCTGTTTCTGGTCAACTGGTAGATTGTTTGATTTCATGTAATTATACATAAAACTGCCAATTGTTTTTTCATCTGTGATAATATCTAAGTTTCTTATTATCGGTAAAAAGTTTATGTAATCATTAATGTATTTTTCATCAATGTGACCCTTTACTTCAGCCACGAATAAAGTATTTTTCTTCTTAATTATTCCCAGTGCTTTTGCTTTCTTTGTTGCTGTATCACAAATGATAACACCATTCAATCTTCCCGGCATATACATTTTATGGTCAGTATATTGAATGAAATCATGAGGATTAGATGAAAATGATGAAGGATATAATGAATTAAAATCAACACCAACGAAATGAGTCATAATGTTGGTGGTGTCCTCATTTGATACAGTTTTAGTTTCTGGATTATATGCAAGTTTATTAATGTGTGTGATTCCTTTAAGATTTACTCTATGTTGAACATTTGATAAACCACCAGTAATTCCATTACGGAGAATGTGATAAGCTTCAACTGAATCTAAAGTCATTGGTAAATTTTTTTAATGCATAATTTCTTAAATTGATTCTTAAACGTTGAACATCTTCATCTTTATTTGATTTTACGACATTGCAATAACAACACATTAACTGACAATTTTCTTTGGTATGTGGTTTTTCATTATCGATTCTATCCAATGTTGGTTTATTTACATATGTAAACGCTTTACCACACATTTTGCATTTAGATGAAAGGATTAAATCGTGATAGTATTGATAGTCATCCATTGAAACATTGTTTTTGGTATCTCTTTTTCGCCTTTTTATCTTGTTTCTTATATGAATCATTTTATATATTCCAATACTTTTTTGTTAATTCAAAACTTGATTCCACATTTTCTTCTTCTGGATATGTTTCGTTAGGATTGAAGTTCTTATATGCTAACGCGTAACGAATCATTGATGCATTCGATGATAAAGAAAGATTATGAAGCATGTCAATTTTATAAACAAATGTTTCTTCGATAATTTTATCAATTGGGTCAATCATAATTTCAACGTCTTTATTGCAATAATGAATAAAATATTCTAATCTATTCTCAAAATTTTTAGCATCATTGAGATATATTTGATAATCACTATCTGATATAGTTTCTTGGGTTAATGCTGAATAAAATGAATCTTGAGTGAATGGTTCCTTTTTATATAATTCATCTTCGTAATTCTCCCATGTGATGAATTGATAAGGGAAAAAGGATTTAACACGTGATTTATTGTTTCCGAAATCTTGAGTGAATTGGTCTAATGTTCCACCCGCTATATAATTTCTGATGTCAATAAATCTCAATTCATATGGAACGTTTGTTTTCTTTACAATGATTTGCTTAAATTGTGAAGATGAACCCAGCATTGATTTTATCTTCCATTTTGCAGTATTTAAATCACGAAGAAAATTAAATTTAAATCAAACTTTCCGAATTAAAACCTATGATATTCACTTTATTGAATTCCTCATCTAGAAGTTCTTTAAATGCTTCCTTCTGTTTTTCATTTAATGTATTCATTAATTCTTCATATTGTTCAATATTTGATTTAGCAACTAATGAACAGGTTGAAAATAAAAATTCAATCCAATCAGAGATGAACGAATCACTTGATGTTAAGCAAAAATTCCTCGTAAATGTTTTATCACGGTCTACGTCCTCGCCGCTTTGCGGCTTTATTTTGACAGTTGATGATACCATAAATGGTTTTAAGTAAGCGTTCAAAGTTGCACATTCAGAAAGTTGAAGTTCTTCTTTAGTCTCTAATGTTTCGAAGTCAAAAGTAATATAATATCTTGTTGGTTTATAATATTCCTGCAAATTATGTGCTAATAGCCATTGATATATCTTCTGTTTCGTGATATGTGGTGCATATGGTTGTTGTGTGTTTTGTAATTGAACGTCTTGAATTAATCTTCCATTATTTTCTTTACATTTCTCACAATGTTTTAAAAATCTTCTTTGGTTTTTCCTTTCTGGATCATCACGGATAGAATATACTTCTTCTTTGCAAAAGGGGCAAACTTTATATCCTGTGAGTGCTTCAACGTCTGTAATTCTGTCAGCGTGAAGTTTTCCACATGGACTCTGTGTTAATAAAATATTTACTGTTTCAAATTCTGGATCTATCATTATTGATTCCACTAATGGAAAGTCTACCTTGTTAATGTCTACGTCTTCTGGTTGAGGGTCACAATAATAAAAATCAATATTAACGTTTAACATTCTTGCTAACCTCTCACTTTCTGATGAAATGTCAAACCCTTCATATGCATCTATTGCTTCATTTAAATAGCTTCTACGAGTTTTAGGATTAACAGCATCAGGAATGTTATAGACGCGTTTAAATAACCTTCTACCTTCGGCTCTTATTTGATTATCATTCATTTTAGCTGTTCCATTTTTATTCATTTATGTAAGAATAAAAATTAAAAAATAAATAAAAATAAAGTTTATTTTTTTTAAAGTCCGAGACTCAGAGAGTCCAGGGCTAAAGTCCATAAAATGAATTAAGAACACATAAATTTTTATCATCTGCGACGTGACGAATACATTTTAATTTACTCAAGAATGCGTACCCTGATACATTAAATCTAATTCCTGTCTTATTTAATTTCACAACTTTGAAAAGGAATGTATGAATAGCTATAAAATGATGAGAAGATGTTTTATGGGTTGCTTCCATTTTTTCTGAAATAAATGAATAAATATAATGTTTATAAGTTTTCATATCTTTTATGTTCTTAATAACGAATGGTATAGACCTGTCAACTTCGTCTTCCTTCGGTGCTGTTCTTTCATATGAAACATTATTGGTATCTTCAATAATGAAACCACAATCGCATAAAATTTTATATGTACAATTGTTTCTTTTGATATTTTATCTAACAAATCAAAAACTTTATCAACACCTGTACATTTATTTAAATAATAATTTGTGTAAATATCATGGTCTTCTTTCTTAATCGTATTTGTTGCATATGTTACATTTTTCAGTGCTTTTTGAATTTTTCAGAATCAAGAGGAGGTGAAAGTAATATACATGGATAATCTCCATCGTCAATAAACTGAAGCTTATGTTTATGAATAAATTTTGTGCCTTCTTCTGAAAGTGTTTCGTCAATATCACCATCTAATAAATTTTTAGTAGATTCCAAAAAGTAATTTTTATATCTTTCCTCATGTGATTTTTGAACTTCTGATTCTGAAGCTGGGATATTCATTAAACCCTCTACTTCATTCTCAGCATTTCTCAATTCACTAATTCTTTCATCTATTTCATTTCTTAATTGTTCCAATTTCTCAATCTCATCGTTATAATATTCATCTTGTTTAATTTTTTCTTCAAAATATTCAGGAGGTGTTTCAAGGCTCTCTGAGCCCAGGTCCTCTGGACCATAAAGAGGAATATTCTTCTGTTTTTCAACTTTTTTGGATATAAATATCTCATTATAGCCTTTTTAGTAATTGGCCCGTTATATTTTAAATTCATTCAACAATCTGGAAAACTCTTTCACATTCTGCATATATGTTGGATAAGAACCGTCTCCAAAATTTTCTAAAATATTTCTAATTCTGAATTAGTGAACTTTAAAGATTTCAATGAATTAGTTGTTATACTCATTTATTATAAAATAAAAAATAAAAAAAATAAATTTAACTTAGTTTTAATTTTACGTAAGAAGTCAATTTTTTATATACCGTCATTTGTAGGTATTATTTCTATCAGATAAAAATTATTTTTCTATTTGTCATCTTTATATAAAGATAAAAAATATTTTTGATTAATAAGGAATTAATTTCATTTTATGTCTTATAATGTGCGCATATGTATTTAAAAGGCATTCATTGAATTGCTTTTCAATCTCTTCTTTTTTTCATCTTCGAATATTATATCATTTTCATGTTCGAAGCTTGTAAGTTTTATCTTCAAATATTATATTAGTTTCATATATCAAATTATGATATCGGTCATATTCTTTTAAGTGATAAATAAATACAAAATTTACGGTTCCTTTAATTTTAAATTCAAAATTAATTTTACAACAGCTTTGTGGATCAATTAGTAAATCAATCAAATAATGTTCAAAATCAGATATTATTCTTTTTCCATACATTTTATATTAAATAAAAAAATCTAACTTTATTTTTTCGGAGTTTTGTGACGAAGTGCGAATCTTCACTTCGTCAAAAATATATTCTTTTTATTAATGGTAATATAGGAATTGTAGGAATAAAAACTTTTTATAAATTATTCATAAATGTAAGACATGAATTTTTAAAGTTTATTTTTTTATTTTTTATTTCATTATGGTAGTGAATCTTTCATTCATGAAAATAATTATTACTAATTTATTTAATAATGTCGCACATACTAGATTTAAAGAATTCGGAACTTTTACCATAATCTCCTAAATGTTTTCTTATCCCTAACGTGTGCCAGTTATTATATGAAACCGAATAAACTTTATCTTTATCTTTACACCTTTCATCACTTCCAATATATTTATACCTCAGTTTTGATTTAGCATTTTCATATTCATTAGCGTTTAATAATTCGCAGTCTTCCTTTTTAAATATATGTTTTATGTATTCAGGATTTAATACTCTACGTTTATATGCTCCTAACTTAGTTCTAAAGGTTTTTCTACAAAATTTAGGAATTCCATCCTCTTTAATGTCATCAATGATTTCCATTTCATTATTTTCAATTTCTTCTTCTCGTTTATGAGGTCTTTGATTATGACTCCATTGATTCCATGAAATTAAATATTCTTTATCATTATATTTATACCTCATTAGCTTATTTTGGCTTTCATATTCATTTAATAATTCACAATCTTCATTTTTAAATTGAAGTTTAACCCATTCAGGATTTAAACAATGTTTAATTAATCGCGGAATATCTGACATCATCTATATATAGCTTCTTTTATAAAAGATAAAAAAATAAATTATTTTAAAATTAATGTTAATTTTTTAATGATTTATAAATAAATATATTTTAATGCATCGTCTATATATAGATGTAACAAAAAAAGTCACACAACCCTTCAACATATACTACTAATCCAACAAATTAACTTATTAATATGATCATTGGCTTTTTAGGTACTCAAAGGTTTAGATACTTATACTTTATGAAGGCAAGTTTAGTTTTGTAAATTACCACCCAATTAATCAGAATCATCCATGATCTTTTAAAATAATCCGAATTTGTTATCTATGATTCAAGTTATGCATTTTATAGACTTCTTAAGGGTATACTTACTACTTTTTGATATGCTCTCAAAATTTCAACCTATATCTTTATTGTAATAACAAAAAAAGTATAAAAGCCATATGAGGTAGTAGGTAATGATTTATAATAACTTTTTCCAGGCCAAAAATATTAACTATTACATGAGAAAATTAGGATGTATAAAAAAAAAAACTAATGTGAGAAAATCTCGATATTTTTAATCCTTAATTTGATTGAGTAAAATACTGTTATTGAATTTTAAGTGGTCAATAATTTATTTTGGCTTTTGAGCTTGTTTACTCTTTGCCTTTCTAAAGCAAGTGTCGCAATAATAATATCCATCGCCATCGAATTTCTTTGTTGCATCCTTGTCGCAATTGTGGCATTTGACAGTTAAACTAACTTCTTCATCCTTATAATTGTACTTCAATGCTTGTTTAAGCTTCTCTCTTTCTGCCTTTTGTTCGTTTTCATCGAATGAGCTTTTACGGGTAACTTCATTCAATGCGTTCTTGAACTCTTTGCTCATTGGAGTTTGGTCCTCAGTATCCTGAGCATGGTTAAATCCATCCATTCCTGTTATGTCGAGCAAATTGTAGGCTCTGAGAAGGAATAAGGCCTTTGAATCCTTATTATACAATGCAAGGCTCGTAAGTTTAGATGAGATTTTGTTATCATGGTCTTGCGTGTTATTGTCGTATGTTTTGAAAGCAGTTTCAAAGTTTTCTAAAATAGTGATAATCTGGTGGTATCCGGAGTTAGAAAAGGCTGTAATTGCAACAGATTTCATCAGTTCGATATCATTTTCCTTATTTTCTGGTTCGTCTTGTGCGCCATCTGTACTTATTAAATCAGAAATCAATTTGTTGTCGAAATATTTCTTCAAAAGAATGTGGAAACATGCTGGATCATCTGTAATAACGGCACAGTGAAAAGCTCTGAAGCCATCAATGTTCTTGACTAAGTCAACATTTTTATAAGAATCAAGAATGTGTTTAAGAACATTTGTTGCTCCGCAAGCTGCACAATACATTACTTGTGTAGCTCCCTTGGGGCAATATCCCTTCCTTGTTGCTGTTCCACGAATTGGGCAATCTAAATCCTTATTCTTTGGAAGTTCTGCATTGATGAGGGCACCGGATACTTTAATGCCCTTGAATTCTTCAACATCATCTTTTCTAATAGCCTCAATGATCCTCGACTGAGTTGTTGCCATTAATAAATTTGAATCTTTTGATGGAAAATTTATTGCCACACGGTTTTAAAAAAAACCACAATATTTCACATAAATAGCGATTAAAATGCATATCAGCTTTGTTTTTGTGGATTTTTTTTAAAGGAATTTTTATTCGAAGGAAGTCAAAAAATGCGAAAATAAATTCCTGATATTTTCTTCGACTTTGGATCAATATGTTATCAATTTAGCAGTTAAAGAGATTTTTGATTCCACTTTGAATGTCAGAGCCTAACGAGGGACTCATAACATATTGATCCAAAGTCGTTAGACTATTTTTTTTAATGAATATGTAATGCCCAAAACAATTTGTAGCGATTGGTCTATTTAATATCCAAAATAATCAAAATTATCATATAAAATTTCGAAATCCTGAATCACATGTCATTATGAGCACATGGCATTTAAAATAATATGCAGATATAATGTCATTCAATGCAATATTAATGAAAATTTTTCAAATAACTGCTTTATCAGATAATATTTTTTTTTTCTTTATTAAGCTTAAGCATATTTATTCAATTCTTTTTCATTAGAATCATTTCGAACAATAGAATAAAGTAATACTAACTATAAGCAATGTGATCAGCAATTATTCATTCTAAGTTCAAATATTGCAATCATCCATTGAAACCGCACAGGATAGTCAATAATGGAAATTGACTCATGGAAGTTTCATTAGATTAACGTTATATTTATTAGAAAAAATTTTTCTCGCTTTCAAATCCATTTAATTTTCATTGCTTTGAAAAGTGCCATTTGATAAAAATATATCGTATTTAATCAATATTTCGTATAAATTAATAAGTAAAGGTTGTATATAATATTACTGAGTCGATAGCTCATCATTAAAAAAAGTGACCACTTAGCGAGGAAGTTCCTCTTTCCAGTTTCAAAAAAAAATTTTCAAAAAAACATGGATACTGAAGTTGCTCAGGAAGGTGCAGCAGGACCACTTTTGATACAAACACTTGAAAAGCAAGGTATTGCTGCGGGAGATATCAAAAAACTCCAAGAAGCTGGCTACAATACCGTAGAATCTGTTGCTTTCACAACAAAGAAGCAGCTTATTACAGTCAAAGGTATCTCTGAAGCCAAAGCAGATAAAATCATGGCCGCTGCTGCCCAGCTTGTTCCTATGGGTTTTGCTTCTGCTTCCGACTACAACCAAATTCGAAAGGAGATGGTATATCTTACAACAGGTTCCACGGAACTAGACAAGTTACTCGGAGGTGGTATCGAAACAGGCTCTGTTACAGAAATATTCGGTGAATTTAGAACAGGAAAAACTCAATTATGCCATACATTAGCTGTTACCTGCCAACTTCCTATAGAAAATGGAGGTGGACAAGGAAAGTGTCTCTGGATTGATACAGAAGGCACCTTTAGACCAGAAAGAATTATTCCAATCGCCCAAAGATTCGGATTGGACCCAGATGACGTCATGGATAACATTGCATACGCACGTGCTTACAATAGTGACCACCAATCACAGCTATTGGTTACTGCTTCTGCGATGATGGCCGAAGCTCACTATGCTTTGTTAATTGTTGACTCTTCTACAAACCTTTATAGAACAGATTACAGCGGTCGTGGCGAATTAAGCGCCAGACAAATGCATCTCGGTCAATTCCTTAGAAATATCCAAAGATTGGCTGATGAATACGGAATTGCTGTTGTAATCACTAACCAAGTCGTTGCACAAGTTGATGGTGCAGCCATGTTCGTATCTGACCCTAAAAAGCCAATTGGAGGAAATATCATGGCACATGCATCGCAAACAAGGCTTTCGTTGAGAAAAGGAAGAGGAGAAACACGTGTTTGCAAGATTTATGACTCTCCTTCGCTTCCTGAGAACGAAGCTACTTTCCAAATTACAAATGGTGGAATTACTGATGCTGAATAAACTATTTTTGAATTGTTTGAGTAAATATTAATGTATTTGGTTGGTAATTGTTTAAAAAATTAAAAATAACCTTTGTTAAAAGAAAAAATTGTTGAATAATTTGTTGAATTTGCTCCTTTCCAGCCTTTCAATAATAATATGTCATACCGGAAGAGAAACTAGCAGAATAACAGCTTATTGGCCTGAATATGATGAAAAAAATCAATAACATGTATCAAAATAGGCGTCGGAGAGATATGATTCAGCACCCCATTAGACAATAGTAGTTATAAACTCAAATTCAATATGATTTTTAACAAAACATGAAATATCTCAATGATTTTTGATATTGCAGTATTTTGCCTACCAGAAGTTACATTTGTAAGCTTCGATATCAATGTAAAGAAAATTTACGATAAAATCCTACCGATTTTCTGCATAAAAACTGTAGTTTAACTCATATCTTACAATTAGCATGATAAGAGTCTCACATTCCGCGTGAATCAATTTAATTGATATCCAAATTTAGTAAAGCAATTATATGTTATATAGTTTTGTTATTGATAAAAGTAATTATACAAAACAACTATTTTTTATATAGTTTTTATATAGCTGATATACCGCTAGCAAGAATTAGTGATATGAATTTCATAAATTAGTTGATGGTTAGTTTTAGACCCAATAAAAAATGAGTAAGGTAGAATTTCGACTATTTCTTTACAATTAAACCATGTTGCAGAATAAAGAGCAGTTTCTCCAGAATCATTTTTTTCATTGATATTTGCACCATGTGATATGAAATATTCGCAAATGGAAGGAATATTAAACATCGGTGAATAAACAAAGCATTTGTTAACATCATTAGTTTGATCGAAATATACTAAAAATACTTCAGATTATTATACAAACAACAATTAAATAAATTGATCTTTATATTGTGCTCATTCATCAAGAATGTCACAAAATCAATGTAGTGTGAAATAATTGCATATTCCACGCATTTTTCAGTTGGTTTTTGATATTTCAAACATTCGCTCATGATCTCTGGATTTCCTCCTAAAAATGAAAATTCAAGACATGTATGTGTTATTTCTGAGTTAAATTTCGTTCTCAAAAACTTAAAACATTCAACAGCTCCATGATAACAGCATAATTCAAGTAATGAATATCCTTCGAAAGAATATGGATATAATTCGCTTTTAATTTTTTGATTTTTATCAAATCCTTCTCTTTCTGTGAATGAGATGAATCTTTCTTTGTCATTATTCATAATTGCTCTGTAAATCGTATCTTCTGAATGAATATTGCGATTTTCTGAATTAATTCTATTTAAATCATTAAACATGTCTAATTTAATTCCGTATGCTTTATAAAACATGTAGTTAGAAATGCCTGGAATAATGTTGACGGCTGTTATTTGATAATCCTCAGAAATGAGTCTCGCAAGAGTCAAATATGACTTTGCATAGCAGTTATTACATGGAATAATCCTTAAAATATCTCTTATAATATTTTGTGGATTATATTTCTTCGAATCAATCAGTTCTGTTTTGATCATTTTGTAAGTCGAGTTTAATTCTTCTTCATTTTTGGTTTTTAGTTGATACAACGTAATAAATAAATCAATATGGTACTTATAGACGCTTACCAATTCAATGTGTTCGTTTATGTGAATGCCTTGAGCAGATATGAAAAATTTGAAATTTTCCAAAAAAAAAATTACCACCAAAATGCTTTAAAAATGAAATGGGTTATGTTTCATCAAAAAATTGTTCAATAAAAGATTCAAAATTTTTCGATTGTTTTTTCCGATTGGAATTTAAAAAAAATTGTTCGCAATTTGGACGTTCATGAACGTTAAAAGTTCTGAAAATATGAATGCTTGCAAACAATTTTTTTTGAATTTATAGATAAAAATAGTGACACATCATGCATTATTAAGCCCTTAACATAATGCAACAGATAAATCTGTATAAAAATAACTAGTTATTTAAGGCTGCACTTACGCCCATCTGACTTTAATTCAAATTTTTGACAACTGGCGTGAAGCTCCATTGAAATTTAACCTTAAGTTGAATGCTGTGTCATAGGGGCATAAGTGTACACTTAACAAACTCCATAAAAATGATGCAAAGATGAATAAGTAATAATGCGAAGAAAAGCAAGATAGAAAACAAAAAATTATCAACGATATACTTAATTTACGCTATTTTTGATGAAAAATGAATATGTCAAAAATATTTATTCCATCATCTTGTTATGTACACCGCACCACAGATGAATACGAAGAGATATCAATTTCCAGAATTTTGCAAAAAAAAAATGAATTCTCAATATATTTTTTTTCTGTCATTTTAAGTTAATGCTAGAAAATTTATGATATATTGCTATTTATTATATTATATGTTTCAAAAAATGATTCCATGAAAATTTTGCCATAAGACGCAAGAAATAGCAAGACTGATATAGTAATTTTTTTTAATTCTAATGAAATTCATTATCGAAAATATCAGAAAAGAAATAAGAGCATCTTATAATGGAAAATTATATTTTTGCACCACGCGAAAGAAGAAGGCGGGCCACTTCATCATGATTTAATTTTAATGCAAGACTAAGAGCAGATTTTCCATCTTCATCTTTTTCATCAATATTTGCACCACGTGAAAGAAGAAGTTCGGCTGTTTCTTTACAATTATTTTTTGCTGCATAATGAAGAGGGGTATATCCATATTTATTTTTTTCATCGATATTTGCACCACGTGAAAGAAGAAGCTCGGTTATTTCTTTACAATTATTTTTTGCTGCATAATGAAGTGAGGTATTTTCATTATCATCCTTTGCATCGATATTTGCACCATGTGAAAGAAGAAAGGCGACATTTCTGTATTATTAGCATTTATTGCAGATTGAAGAGTGATTTGTCCATATAGATCTTTTTCATTGATATTTTGACCATGTGAAAGAAGAACTTCGATTGTTTCTTTATAATTCAATTTTGCAGCAATATAAAAAACACCATCTCCATATCGATTTTTTTCATTGATATTTGCACCATGTGAAAGAAGAACTTCGACTATATCTTTATAATTATGTGCTGCTGCAAAATGAAGAGCGGTTTTTTCAGAATATTCATCTTTTTCATCTATATTTGCACCATGTAAAAGAAGAACTTCGACTGTTTCTTTATAATTTTGTTCTGCTGCAAAATGAAGAGCGGTTTTTCCAAATAATTTATCTTTTGCATTGATATTTGCACCATGTGAAAGAAGAACTTCGACTATTTCTTTACAATTATAAATTGATGCAAAATGAAGAGCGGTGTATCCAGAACTATTTTTTGCATTGACATTTGCACCATGTGAAAGAAGAACTTCGACTATTTCTTTACAATTATGTTCTGCTGCAAAATGAAGAGCGGTGTATTCAGAACTATTTTTTGCATTGACGTTTGCACCATGTGAAAGAAGAACTTCGACTATTTCTTTACAATTATGTGCTGCTGCAAAATGAAGAGCGGTTTCTTTATCACTATCTTTTGCATTGACATATGCACCATGTGATAGGAAATATTCACAAAGATATGGAATAGAAAAATTCGCCGATTCAATAAAGCATTGATTAATATTATGAGTTCTATCGAAATAAACTAAAAATGTATCAAGATTTTTATAAATTCCACAGTGTTTTAAATCGATCTTTAATTTGTACTCATTCATCAAGAATGTAACAAAATCAATGTTGTGTGAAATAATTGCATATTTCATGCACTTATAAGTTGGTTTTTGATATTTCAAACATTCGCTCATGATCTCTGGATTTCCTCCTAAAAATGAAAATTCAAGACATTCTTGAGTTATTTCTGAGTTAAATTTCGTTCTTAATAACTTGAAACAATCAACAGCTCCATGATAACAACATAATTCAAGTAATGAATATCCTTTTTTAGAATCTGGATATAAATAACTTTTGAGTTTTTGATCTTTATCAAATCCATCTGTTCTAGTAAATATGATGAATCTTTCTTTGTCATTATACATAATTGCGCTGTAGATCGTATTTTGTGTATGAATATCGAGATTATCTGTTTTGATATCACTGAAACCAAAAAATTTGTCTAATCTAATTCCATATTCTTTATAAAACAGGAAGTTGGGAATACTCTTGAGACTGTTGGCCTTTTTGACATGATAATTATCAGATATGAGTTTGGCAAGATATAAATATGACTTTGTATAGCGATTATTATACGGAATGATATTTAAAATATCCTCCATAATATTTTTTGGTGGATGTTTCTTTGAATCAATCAATTCTGTTATGACATTTTTGTAAATTGTGTTTAATTCTTCTTCCTTTTCCGTTTTGAGCTGGTATAACGCATTATATGAATCGATGTAGTATTTACTGATACTTCGCAATTTGAAGTATTCTTCAGGATTACCCTTCTTCTTCCTCGGCATGTAAAAATTTAAAAGCCATAAAATTTCCTTTTACCATACAAAACATCCTTTAAAATAATTAGAAGAAAAAAAAAATGCAATGCTCACAAAGATGTCGGATAAAATTTATGAATTTCAATTTAGTTCACAGATATAAAATAACATTATAAGAATAAGAAGGTCGAATGTGGTGGCCGTTTCTGGATGATAAACCCAAATTCTGTGAAAGGATCTTGGAAAAAAAAAATAATCTTGTAAAAAAATCGGGCCTTCGGCGGCAGTTCTGGCCATTCAGGCGCGTCGCAACCTCCGATCATGAACAACACAAAGTTAAAGTCATCCAATATGTAATATGACCTAAATTTTTCCTTTTTCTTTCTTTTCCTCCTTTTCCCTTTTACTTTTCTCTTTCATCATGGCTCTCGGATATTTTGACCGAGCCCACTCACGCATTAAACTTTTAATTCGTTCTCTGGCCGACAAAGAGCCAGAGAACAACATCTGCATTAACATACGCTGAAGTTTTCTGGATTTCCTTCCTCATTTGAGAGAAATTCAGAAAACTTCAGCATAAACGAATTACAGACATGTTCTCTCTCTCTTTGTGGGCCAAGTACCACAACTACATTACACCAGGGCAGAGTTCTTCCGAGGCCTCTCATCAAATTATGGACTTCTGGAAATACAGTCCTATTCGATTAATTACAGAATCCTAGGCCTTTTGGGAACTAGGAAAGAGTAGTAAGAGTACTTTAACGCAATGTTCATTACGAAATCTCTCATCGAATGAGAGATTTCGTAATGAACATTGCCCATTTCGAGTAAATTCACATCCCTGACCATCACGGGTTCAGGGAGTAGTACTGTAGTCCATGAGAGCAATAACGTATAACTAATGTCGCCAGAAGCACAACAATTACGCAGCCTAGCTACGCTATTTTAGCAGCTAGGCTACATATATATCGTGCTTCTGGCTTGCAGAAACCTCAAGGAAGACCATTGGAGTTCTCCAGCCGAAATCACTTGCTGATGTGGATGGAGCAGCACTATGATTGGCCAGATCAAAGGCTGCATAGCATCCAAGCAAGTGGATAGTCGGTAGTGACTCCAGCTGTGGTCCACCATGAGATTATGACACAGATCAAAAAACTACGTTGTCGCGCTATTAAAAACTTGCTAATATAACGATAATTAATTAGATTTTATCAAAAATATCGAAAATTTTGAGATTTTTAAGATTTTCTAATTTTATTTCATCGATCAGATAAGTTTTTATCAAGCCAAATATCAATATAATTTGTGCTTTTGCTAAATATTATATCAAAATGGCAGAATGCTTAATGATTCTTCTTTCTTTGATCTAGATTCTTTTAGTAAATCAACAGATCCGATATATAATACAGTATCAGTTAGCGACATTCTGCAAACAACATATCCTGATGCTTTATCTTTTAAAATTCTCTCGATTGATGAACCAATATCTTATCTTTTTTTAATTCGATTCAAGCATGGGCAAAAAATCGTCGAACTCTCAAAAGACTTGAAGAATTTAAAGCCACTATGTTCTTTTCAACGATATTCTGTTGTGATAGCAGCATCAATAAATTCCGCCCACGACAAAATTATTGTAACAATGTTTCAATCGTCAAATACATTCACAGAAAGCTCAAACTATGCTATAAAATGCATTTTACTTAACACAAATCCTCAAATTGTTTATCCAATTTCAAATATTCTTACTTCCAGACCTATTGTTGAATGGATCCCTAATTCCAACCGATTTGTTATCTTTACAAATGAAAATAGATATGAAATATGGGAATTAAATTGTTCAAAAAACGAATTTGAAATTAATCGAGTTTCAAAGTCAGAAAAAGGCATCACATGGGTTGGTCTACTTAATAAAAACGTTTTAGAATACACGAAAAACAACAAAGATGGGCATATTCTTACATCTGTAATTGATTCAAGCAATAATACAAAAACTAACCTTCCTCCTGTCACAGCTACCGAATTTTTCTACAGCCATCTCTCTGTGCTTACCCACGATGTCTTCTTTATTAACTATTTGCAACATTTGATGATTGCTCTTCCAGCAGTAGGTCTTTCCTTAGATTTTATATTCAGAGCAGGTAAAATGGATATTTTCGATGTCGCAGCGATCAGAAATGACATCCTTATAATCAATACTCCACCAAAATATTTTCTTTGTATTTTATTAGATTCTTATTGCCAGCCACGAGCTGTTTTCACCATTTCCCAGCGTCGCGATGTTCAACTATCCTTCATAGAGTCATCAAACTACACTGTTGTCGATATCAAAACAGGACAAATTTCGACAATTGAATTTGATTTCGAAGAAATAAAGAAGAACCAGCCAGAAGCATTCTTACCATTAATGCATGATAAAGTTCTGTCTTGTGAAAACTCTTTTGATGTTCTTTCCCTAATAGATATGAATATTTTGAAACTTTTTTGGTTTGGCGAAATTATTGAAGAATTTATTTTATGCCACATCCGAAAATGTTTCAAATTGGCGAAAAACTTTAGTTTGTACGACTTCCTCAATTCCAGGTTGACAACATTAGTTCCTTCCCGACACTACATTGAAATGCTGAGTTACTTTTTACCTTACCAAAGTAAAATGGTCGATGAACTGAAATCTCCCCCTCAAATTATGAATTGGAAGAAAGCTTTTCAAAAACTGCCAGAATTGAGTGACTTAAAAGGTGTCATTTCTGCAGCAATAGAAAGTGTTTCTCCTGTTCATTTCAAAGAGGATGTAAGATACATTGCGATGCTGCAAGTGTTGACTGTTTATTTTAGAGTTGGAGAAGAGTTCAAGGCTTCGAACACGATGAAGAAAGAGACAATGAAAAATTTGTCTGAAAATGAAAAAGAAATTTGGCTCGCGAAAGGAATCATTATTTTCAACGAAATGGACTTAAAAGATAAAGAACAAGAGACATGTCAATGGTGGATTCTCAGAACTACTTTTGATGTAGAAGAAATAATAGATAAAGATGCTGAATTCAAGACTAATAACATACTGAAATATATGTTAGATACTTATGATTGTCAAGATTTATAAATAAAAAAAATTTTTTTTGTGTTTTGTTTTTACTTCAAAATATATATTTTTTTTGGAAATTATTATGTGGCTTCATAAGAAAGACATCAGATAAGTTTATTGCATTTCGAAACATATACAACAGATCAATTCCTTAATCATCAAATTTGAAAATGAGACATATGAAAATTTCAGCTCTTTATAAGAGATTCAATTTATTTTTGACTCTCACTTAGTATTTAGGTAATTTATTTATGTCTCTCGTTTAGTATTTATGTAACTTTATTATGTGATGTTTATCACTTTATATTTGGCTCATTTATTTATGTAAAGTCTATCACTAATAATTTATTTAGTCGGAGAAATTTCAAATAAAAGAAATAGAGAAAAGCCATAAAAAATATTTTGTTGCGAATCACAGGAGACGATAACAGCGGAATCAATGATTGTTATCAATAGCTTTCCGTTTCCTTCCCAAATTCCAGAAATAGATTTCACATCAGTAAACAAAAATTGTTTTTGATCTATGAATTCATAAGCCCTTGTTTGAACTGGTTCATAAGATGAATCATAGGCTGTAACCTGTCCATGTGGAATTATTGCATCTTTTGTCAAAGCCCAAGAACTTCCACCTCCAGAGCCGCTATTTGAATCATGAGAAGCAAAGCCGCCAAACCAGCCACTTCCAGCGCCTGGACGATCATTTCCTCCAAGAGGCGTTAGGTATCCATATTCATTCAAAGATCCATTAGAACGAGAGGATTCTCCATAGCCAAAACTGAAACCAAAAGTAGAGTTGGCAGATTTTGATGCATCATATTTTCCATGTCTCCATGCTCCAGGGGCAGTGAACCCGCCGCCAGATCCCCCTGACCCATCGTCATCAGTAACAAATTGGGTTTGAACATAACCATCATCAGAGCCCCCTCCACCGCCGCTCACAATCACGCGGTGCCACAAATCATTTGACAAAAACTTGACGGCGGTTTGCCCACCACCGCTTCCTGAACCATAGTTCTGAAAGTTCATAGCATCACCGCCGCCACCATAGCCGCCTTTAAGGGTATGGGAAGGCGTTTGGTCAAATTTTCCTTGACCACCTATGGTTGCATACGCGGTTATTTCTTTGGAAATTTTGATGTTACCGGATATATAGCCGCCGGGGCCACCACGGTTTGCTACTTTCCTGCATATGGTATTTCCGTGGAATTGGTCTATTATTTCTTGATTTATACAATTTAAATTTTCATCGATATGGCATGACATTGTATTGGGTGGTGAGCCACCAGAAGCTCCATATAACTCAAATTTATAGAATCCTGGTCGAAGAGTAATGATATAATCGGTACAATCATAATGTGATGTGCACGGATAATCGAAAGTATATGTCTTTGTTGTTTCATTATAGCTAACTTGTTTGGCTCCTTTTGATTTATTGAATAATTCTGAGTTCAATATAATCTATGTCACTTAATTGAATCCATTCAATATAAAATGTCACATTTACAGTATGTTTGAATATATTATCATTGTTTGCTATATGATTTTAAACAATTTCAAATAAATATTTCGAGAGCTAAATTTCAGATCAATAATTTCTGTTAAAGTTCATTGTGAATAGCACTATTCATATCCTTCAAAGACTCTCATTAAATTCAGATTCCAGAATCAAACAGTCTTGTACAAAGTTTTGGATAACTACCATAAGCCAGAGATTTTGTGTGTGCAACTTGTTATATAAAAATTTGTGCTTTGATAGCATTGTATACGTGTTATGAGATCTTCATTCATATTTATTAAGTAAGAATAATTTTCAAAGAACAATGTACTTAAATAGCATTATGTAATTTTTGTAGAAACAGAAACACTTATATTAAAATCTATTTTTATAAAAATAACAAACAAAAGAAAAAAATATTTCACTATTCCACGTAACATGATTTGTTAGCCATTGCATAGGTTGAAGTTAATTTATTGTTTAAATAAATATTTGCGCTAAAATTGAAATATTTTTGGAATTTTAACAATTGTTCGTGTTGTCAGTAACTCAATAAATTATTGGTTCCAAAATCAATATCGATATTAAAACTGGTTTGAGGAAAGCCAATGGTCTGACATTTTTAAAATGAATTTCGGTTTTAATTTAATTTTCCTGTTATTGTTAAGCATTAAGGTAACATATGTTGTGTTTTTAATATTTTAGGGATCAAATTTTAATACATTGATAATTTTCAAATTCTGAATCATAAGATAGGGACTTCACAAAAATTGTATACTATTGGTAAAACTATTTTGAAATAAAGATATGCAGAAAATGAGTGTTAATCTATATAAAGTAGAAAAGCTGATTGAATACATTGAAATTTGGAACTTATACTCTTGACGAAATTTGGTTCAAAATCTAAATGCATTATATAATGATCATAAGTGTAAAATTAACCGCTTCTTTGTTAACAAAAATCAAAAAAAATCAACTATGAATTTATTTTACAATTTTGGTTGTCTATTTTTAGACTACAACAAACACTATTATTTACACTTGACCAACTTATAAAAGGTATGTCGTTATTCATTCAATTTCATGAACCTCAGAATTTGTATTAAACCATGTCTTCAAATTTTTCAGTGCGTATCTTTGAAAACGAATTGCATTGGTAATAGTTTCTTGACGTATTTAATTATTAAATGATTGTATTAATAAAGATATCAATAAGTATAAGTTTCGTATGGCTAAATTATAGAAACAGCAAAGATAAAAAAAATCAAATTAAAGGAAAATCATTTTCCTCTGGTTCGGTGATGGTGTTAATGCTGGTAAAGCTGATTGTTGGCTAGTATTTTGTGGAATGAAAATCTTCAACGAGACAGAATGACTTCTAGGTTTTGTTGTCTTTTGAGGCATCTTCTTCATAGGACTAATTTGCGATGAAGGGTGTTTTATTGCTGAATGTTCAGGTTGGCAGGAAATTAATTTCTTTAAATTGTGGATTTGATTCTTTCCTGCTCGTATTTCTTCTGGGGAATGCAATTTCATCAAAAACTGACGCTTAAGGAAGTATTTATATAAAAGTGGATTCAGTCAAGCGACCATCCAATAAATCAGACTCTAATGTAGAAATATTGCATCCGTTCTTCGAGAGGCTATTAACTACTAATGAATTAATGTCTGATTTATCATGTGGTGTAATAACATATTTAAGGTTTTCATTGAATTGAGTTGTTGGGTAATATGATGCTCTATTTGCCAATATCCATGGGTGTACTGCAATCTCTTCGATGGTAATTCTTTCAGAAGGTTCTTTTGTCAGTAATTTTAATAATAAATCGCGGCAATCCTGAGATATCGATGTTGGTATTTGTGGATCTTTGAAACAGATGTCTTGTTTGAGTTCTCTTTGATCCTCTGATGCAAAAGGAAATGTTCCGGTAACCATTAAATATAATAATATTCCACATGACCAGATATCAATAGATTGGGTGTATGGAATTCCACGTAGCATTTCTGGTGAGCTATAAACAAATGTTCCGCACCTTTCATTCATTTCTTCTTTTGTGTTCATGAAAGAAGATAAGCCGAAATCGATTAGCCTAATATCGTCATTATTGTCAACTATAATATTTTCGGCTTTGATATCTCTATGAATGATTTTTGCAGTATTGTGTAAATAATTGAGTGCTGAAACAATTTCGCAGAATATCTTACAGGATTGTTGTTCTTTCAGTTTCCTTTGAGATACTATTCTATCCAGTAATGTGCCTTTCTCTCCAAATTCTAGTGCTATGTATACACCTGCGTTATCTTCTGTTGTTGCATAAAATTGGGTTAGAAATGGATGTTCAATTTTATTGTAAATAGCTAATTCTGATTGAAAAACAGTTCTATTGGCTTCGGTCATCAAATTAATCTTATCGACACATTTAATTGCAACTTGAATATTCGTTTTAGAGTTCAAAGCTGTAAATACTTTTCCGAATGCGCCTTCACCGATCTTTTTAAAGTGACTAAAACCTGGAAATAGTCGTTCATCAATCTCGTGAATCATTTTGAAAAAGTGACTCATGAAGAAATTAATATGAAAAGATTATTACTAAACACTTTATGCATTATATTAAAAATTGTAGAAATATTTTTGTCACATTTAAAAAATTGTGAATGAGATTTCAAAAGGTAAAATACGTTTAAACTTGATCAATCTATTCTAATTGCATCTAAATTCATATGTGTTTGTTTTGATTTAAAATGATGATTTGAATCAATATTTCTAATAAAATCAAAATTGAATGGTACGAATATTTTTTGAAAAATGTAATTAATAAAATTTTAAATATTGTACTAAATATCACAACAATCATTAATTAAAATTCTCTTCAACATTCAAAATTTTCTTAGTTCAAAACAAAAATATTCTTAAAATTTACTCTAATTTATTAATGCAATATAATCAATAGAAATCAAAATTTGAATTCATCGACAAAGATAATGATCCAATTATGAAACTGTGCTTAAACGATTAATATCCTGGTATACATCATGAATTCATTATTAATTTTGTTTGAAAATAATATTGATCTGTATTTCTGACATGTAAATTAAATTTTGGCAAAAAAAATCTTTCATGAAATTCGTTATTTTATGATGATCGAAAATTCGTCCGATTTCGAAGAAAAAGAAGTCGAGACGAAGGAAAATCAGCAAGAAGAATCTCCACAATCTTTAATTCCCAAAATGCAATTATCAGAAGATGAAGTTCGCAAAATATTCAACGCAAAATGCGACGATTTTGGAATTTTCGCTACCAACCAATTATTCGATCGTTTTCTTCAAAACCAAGTTAGGAAATCATTTTCTAAAATATTTGAGATGAATAGTTGTTCTTTAGGACCAAAAGCTGCTTCTGCAGTAGCAAAAGTTGTTTTTGCCCATCCTCATATCAAACTCTTATCAATTAATGGTAACTCAATTGGAAACAAAGGTGTATTACAGATCGCAGAGTTGATTTATCGTTCTCATACTTTGATATCTGTTGATGTTTCTTCAAATTCAATTGGTGATTCCGGAGCAAAAGCTGTTTTCATGGCAATGAAATCTAATAAGACTATTGTGTCTCTTTCAATTGGTTCTTCAACTGGCGTTTCAAGAAATTCTCTTGGAAGTTCATCAGCTGCTGAACTTTCTTCTTTATTAAAAGAAAACCATGTGCTCTCTGATCTCGACATAAATATGTGCGAAATTACTCAAGATACAATTTCCACAATTGCAACTGGTTTGAAGTTTAATCATACATTGCAAGTCTTAAATCTCGGTAATAACAACATATGTTCAAAGGGTTGTCGCAAATTACTTCATGCCATTATGAATTCTCAAATTACTACACTTAATATTTCGAATAATCATATTAAAGACGATACGGCACCAATATTTGTTCAATACTTTACTAAAAACGATAAAATCAGATCGTTAAATATAGCAGGAAACCATTTTACAAAAGTTTTTACAAAAGCCATCGCACAAACTTTCGCGGATTGCTCCCAGATTACAGACCTAAACATGTCACATAATCCTCTTGGTAGCCAAGGCATTGACGAGTTCGGAGTTGCAATTGCAAATAATCATTATCTCCAAAACCTTAATATATCAATGTGCCAGATTGATTCCATCAATTTCCAGAGTTTTTGTAACAAACTCGAGAAGAATTCGTCAATTTTGAACTTAAATCTTTCCCATAATCCAATTGGAGACCAAGGAGCTGTAATGCTTTGTAATGTTATTAAAAAGCATCCAACATTAGTAGATATTGATTTAGAACTTTGTGAAATCACAGATGTCGGTGGAGATCAGTTGATTCCTTGTTTTGAAGTTTCTCAAACAATTCAAAGAGTTTCCGTTAAAAATAATCTTGTTAGAAACGGAAAAATTCTTGTTGATGTCACTCAGAACAATCCACGTTTGATTTATTTTAATATCGAATACAATGATATAGATTTCAAGTATTATAATCAAACCAACAAGAATATTCAGTCCAATTATAATCATTGGCGTGGAAAACGTAAAGAAAAACTGAAAAATCAGGTAAATAAAACATCAGATGTTGAATTTTCACTTTATGCAACGAGAGATAACATTGTTAATGAAAGAAATGAAATTGTAAGCCACCACTCTACAATTGAAGAACTTAAAGTCAAATGTGACGAATTGAAAATTACAAAAGAGGCCAGTTTGAAAGATTTAGGCGAAAAATTAGAATTTGTGACCAAAGAAGCATCACAACAGATGGAAAGAATCCATGATATCAGACAAGAAATGGATTTCAGAAAAGAAGAATTTGAAAAAGATATTGAAATGTTACAACACAAGAAATCAGTAGAATTAGATAACTTTAGACGTGATACATCAGCTCTCAGTGGCTTAGAAAGTAGAATTGCTGATACAAGACAAAAGGTTTATTCTGATATGCAAGAATTGAATAACAGAGTTATTGGAGCACGCCAGAAATATCAGGATGCAGTTCAGTTAATGATTGAAGCTTGGCAAGCCGCCAGACAAGCTGCTGCAAAGAATCAGCCTGAGAAACCCGAAAATGAAAGCCAAAAGAGAAAAAAGAGTTCAAGAAGAAAGAAAATGTCCAATGCTGAAACTAATCCGGACTCAAATCGAACAGAAGGTTCGAAATAATTTGTATTTTTATTTGTTTATTTGTTTTTTAAATTAGTATAGATTGTTTATTAGTATATGTGATAACTATTTTCATAAATGCTAATAGATACAGACTTTAGACATTGAATTATAAGATGAATCGAGATTCTATATGTTTCTCCCCTAATCTATATCTGATATTAATGTGATTAAATATATTATATAATTAAAACTGACTTGTAATACTTTCAAAAGAATTCTTCATATATTAAATAACAATTTTTAAAATATTGATTATCTTAACGGGGGATATGGATTTTTGCACTTGCTTTCGATATTATTATCAAATGTTAGTCATTTACAGAGTCAATTAGTGATTTTATCAAGTGCAATTTGATGAAATTTAAAAACTATAAAATTACTGACCAAAAATCATATTTTAAATAATTATGTTAAAGTATATTTATACTATTCATAGAAAGCTATGGTAAAGAAGACTTATTTGATTAAAAGGTATACAATTCAACTTTTTTATGCTGTTGACTTTTCATCATCTCCATGGCCAGCCGTGAGAGATCCTGTTGGGTCTAATTCAACTGGCGGATGAAGAAGAACGCCAAGAAGCTTCTGTGTAGTTCTCTGTATTTTACGAGTCCATTCTTCCTCTGGAGTACTTGGGAAGCGTTTCATTTTTTCGTTAAACCACTGAGCAGCTTCAAGAGCCATATGTGTGAATAATGTATCATCACCATTGTATAGTTTTGCGTTTGACCAAATTAAGTCAACATCGTCCTTAAATTGGTCAAGGTTACTGTATGCTCCATCGTTTAATTTCTTTTGAACCTCGCGGAGAGCCATTGGGTTTTTAACAACTTCGAGGTAATCTGGAGCACCATCACGCTCTGGATCAACAAGCTCGACAAATGGTGAGCAGATTTGCCATGAAATAAGTTTTTCGATGATCTGTAAGCATTTTGTAAGCTGGAACTTGTTCAACGACATTTCCCTTGGGTATTAATTGTCACGTTTTTTGGAAGTTTTTTTTCTTCATTCCCATTGTGCCTGCTTTGATAGGTTAGTATTTAGAAATAGCATTTGATATAAATCCTTAATTTAGGAAATAAATCTGTATTCGTTTAGTATCCAAGTTATTTTTTATTTGAAACACTAATTAGAAGTATGTCAATGACATGACGATATATGAATCCACATGATATATTGAAATTCGTGAGATCATAGAGTTTTGTTTGAAATCGAAAAATATAAGTATGTAAGAAGATAATTTGAGCAACTGTATCTTCAGAAATATATGCTTTATAATGAAATAATTAGTATATCTTTAGTTGCTTTTGATCTACTTAGTCAATTTCTTTCATATTTCGCAAAAGAGAAGTTTATTATTTACTATAACTGATTACAGTACAAGTTCTAACTACCCAGATTTTCCTTACTTTTACCACCCCTCTAAAGCTGGGGACACCGCCTATCGTTGGGAATAGCTATTAAATAGAACTACCAAGGGTATTTTTCGAACTGCCGGTGTAGTGGAAACATCCGACATTATGATTCATTATGCCAAGGTTTGATTCCCATTTACCCAATTTTTTTCTTTTTTGGATCATGAATTTTTTTTTGGGTCACTATAAGATTTGTTTCATGTTCTAAATCTGCTGCATATGTAATCTATTTTTATTTACCTATTTTTTAAAAATCTATTGGATTGCCAAATTTGAATATATTTAAAATCATAAAAATCTAAAAAAAACTATAAATATATGTTTTATGCATAGTGCCGATACTCAAATATCAGATTACTTAGATCCATGAATAATATCCGAATTTTTTTTTCTTAAAATTAAACTTCAAAACTTCTTGCAATCTTATTCTTAATCAATTGTAAATTTTTAAAACCATTTTTTAAAATAATTTTGCGTAAATTTTATTCTCATGTTGTTTTAATCGAAAATTGATACATTTTCAAAAAAATAATATTGACTTATGAAATTCATTTTTAAGGTGAAATAGTATTGTTTTTATTAAAGTATATGAATAATATATAAAAAATTAATGAATAATATAAGCAGATTTTTAGTTTACAAAACAAATATGAGCAATGCAATTTCAAACTTTTGCTGGCAATTTCGATATTGCTCAAGTTTGTAGTATTTGTGATACCTATAACATCGGCTTAATCAAAATTCGATTTTTCTTATGAGTTATTGAGAAAATTTGATTGCAATGAGAAGGATTTCGACGTTTTTGATAAACTAAGAGCTGAGCTTTAGGGGTTCAGTTCATTTATGGCTGTAGTTTGATGCGTAGATCTCTTTTTTATTGTAAATTCTTTCAGCATGGAGATCGAGAATGAATCTTTTGAGAACTTTATGAGTTTTTACACCCGTAAAGAGGTCCTTCGAGGAAAGATAGTCCAGACTACATGAAGATGTGGGTTAACCAAAAAAATCCGATGGTTTCCCCATATTCATGTAGATCTTCGAAAAAATGAGCACCAAAAAAGCCAAAAAAATAGGCTTTTTATTGGATTTGTACACTAGATCAATAATCTATTTAGGATCTGACACTCTTTTTAGCCAGAGATATGAGGTCCTTTCTAGGAAAACGATCTATTCATCCATAAAAAAAATGAATTATCGTTTTCCCCAGAAATTACATGGGGAGTGGTAAAAGTAAGGAAAATCTGGGTAATTCAAAATGGTTAAAATAATTGGCATATATAAAAAGTCTTTATTTGTTAACAGAATAAAAATTATTTCAATGATGGAACTTGTTTTGACCATTTCATGAAATCATCAATATTAATATTAAAGTTGATATCAACATCCATTGTTATATATCTCCAGAAGTTTTCTCTAAGAAGTAAAGTGTTAGAATACATAGAAAGGTGAGCAAACGGAATTAATCTGTCCCAGTGGTTCTGTTTCGGATATTTACCACTGCTCATCTGCGGAATCATCTCAATAATATCTGTTCCCTCATTTGCGAAGAATTGGTTGTAGAAAGCACCGCCATGAGGACCCACAATTGCTTTAGCCTTTGAGAACGTCCTAATCAAGTCATCAAGGCCTCCGCCGCCGTTATGAATTATAACATGGTCGTTTCCGTGGATTTTGGCAAGCGGGTCCTTTATATCTCTTACATTATAAATAATACGGGCATTACCACCGCCGGCGCCTCCACCTCTTGGAATAATAATAATATCTTTTTGTTCTGGATGAGGAAGGTTCATTTTCATTCTGTACCAATCGTAATATGCTGGATGTAAGACTCTCATACTTGGAATAACAATGAGATTCGTTGCGGAGACAACTGCCGACTTAGATGCGCAAGACGTTTTAATTTTGAAGCCAAGACGCTGGACAATTTGTTGTGTGATACCATTGCATGCTGCTGTTGATACAGTAACATCCTTAGGATCAATACCAGTAGCAATTGAAGCGAAAGCCATATGTGGAACGCCATTATCGAAAAAGTGCTGGAAAATTTCAATTAAATGGCCACCGAAGGCAAATAAGTTTCCTTTGAACTGTGGATTAGATGTTGGCTTTGGCCATTCGCAGTAATTCAAGTGATGAGTGTAATTATGGTTTTTACACTTATCTTCATTGCAATGAGACATTTCTCCATTAGTAATTTCCCATACAACACCTGTATGCCACATATTTGAGTCATCGAAATGCCAATGATTTTCTGGCTGTTTCCAGAAGAGATCTATTTGTTTCTTTGTCAAGCCGTTTGGTAAATACCATTTGAAAGGTGGGAGCCATACGAAATGCTCCTTCATGAATCCGGAATCAAATGTAACAATATCTATTGAATAGTTATTGAAATTGAACTTTCTAGATGAGCGAGTAGCCGAGTAATTGTGGAGAACAAATACCCCTGGAGATATTTCTAAGTTTGCAACACCTTCGAAATCTAAATCAAAGTTTGCTGGGATAAGAGGCTCTGGCGCTGGGCCATTTTGAGCTTTGAGGTTGTTTTCTTTCATTTCTTTATCTTCTGTAAACACTGTGTCTTTGTAAGGACTGAAATTTTGAGCTCGTTTCTTTGCTTCCTTATTAATGGATTTTGGTGGATTCTTATTAATAGGTACTGATTGAATTGGTGAGTCGAGTTTATTTATTTGTTTAGGTTCTGTTGTTGTAGTAGGAACTTCAGGGGTAGCTGTTGAATCTGTTTTTTTGGGCTGAAATCTTATAAGAAATGGCAGAATAATAGCTACAGAAATGTATATCAAATTCATTATTAAGAATTTGAACCTAGAAAACATTAGAGTATATAAGAATTTCTGAAAAAGTGACACCCAAAAAGTGATACTTTCAATAGGGAGTAACACTTAAAAAGTGACAATTTAAAATTCACAATAAATAAAAATAATAAATTTTTTAGTCTATTAAATTATTCTTTTCTTTGAAATGTTCCATATTAAGTTCTGTCAAAATGTAAGCTATTCAATTCTATCGTCGGGGAAAGTATCACAAATCTATCAATTTTTTTTGTAAAAGTATACAAAAACATATGGTGTTCAATTAGTTTATAATAATATAAATATTAAGATTATCCAAAATAAGAAAAACTAGGTTTTGAGAACACTTTTGAGATGATAATCAAAATATTTTGATTGAAAAATAATATATTATTTATCAGATATAGAATGGATTTTTTCAAATTTACAAATTCTGAAAAATAAACAGTTTTGTAAAGTAAAAAAAATGAACGAAAACTCGAGACCTCGTATTCCAAATGAATGGGTAAGATATATGTATGAAAAACTTGAAAGTGGTAAGTAAGGATGTCAATTTGGAAGAAAAGTGAGAAAATTCCTAAAATGCTAAAAATGAATTTTCCAAACGTACTTTTTTATCTCATTTTTTTGATTTTGAAAAAAATTTGGAGAGAAGAACTCTTCGTTTTGAATTTTGTCACGATGGTTTTAAAGTATATTAGACACATGTATTGATATTACTATTTTTGTATATTTTGAGAGAAATCCCTAAAAAGTGAGAAAATCTGAGACGGTTTGAGAAAATATATAAACTATTTAAAATTTGAATTAAACTTCTAATTTGGAAAAAAGAAATTTGGAAAGAAGAAAATTCAAAAATCGAGATTTAGACTCAGCATCAAATGGAGAACAAAATGTTTCTTCATATGAAGGAAAAAAATTTTCTTGAGAAGAAATAGAGTTTTTAAAATTTTATTATATGTAATGAAATAAACAAATATTAAAATTATTTTTTGATAACAAGAAAATTCCCAATAGAAAATATTTGAGAGAAAGAAAAAAGAAAATTGAATAATATTACTCTCCTTTATATTTCATGAGATTTCAAATTTATTCTCATAAAATTGACAATTTTATACGTTTAGATGAAAATAAGTGATTTTGGTTAAAATAGAAATTATTATTGTAATAAACAGAAATTCATCAAAAGTGACAGCTCTCAATTTTTTGACATTTGTAAATTCTAAATTGAATGAGAAAAATGAAATAATACTAAGCATAATACAATATTCTAGATTTAATTATAATTAGGAAAAAGTTAGTTTTGAGAGTACTTTTCATAGGCATATAGAATGAAATCTTCTGAAAAATAATATCACATAAACTCATATTATTTTCTAATATATAACTATTTTATATAAAAATCAAATTCAATGATCTTAAAAGCGAAGGATAAACCTCAAAATTTACGAATATAATGAGTGGGAATATAATGCTTATCTATCATAAAACCATATGAAATATCAATTTTTGCTTTACGCCTAATTTTTGACGACAATTAGCAAAAAATGTTAAATGTTAACACTCAGTCCATTTGAATATGAAAAATAAAATTGACTTTGATTAAATGTTTTTATTTATCATGCAATTCTTCTTGCGACCAAAGATTTGAATCAAATTTCCAAAAAATAAGATAGCTTAAAAAATAATATACGGTAGTGTTTACTAATAGATGAATAGTATATAAATTCTATTAAAATGGATTTGATCCAAAAAAATATAAAACCAAAAATAATTGTTATAATTTAAATGAAGAATTAATTTAAAACGATTTTATTTATGATCAAATTTTATATATTTTTTTGGATCAAATCCATTTTAATAGAATTTATATACTATTCATCTATTAGTAAACACTACCGTATATTATTTTTTAAGCTATCTTATTTTTTGAAATTTGATTCAAATCTTTGGTCGCAAGAAGAATTGCATGATAAATAAAAACATTTAATCAAAGTCAATTTTATTTTTCATATTCAAATGGACTGAGTGTTAACATTTAACATTTTTTGCTAATTGTCGTCAAAAATTAGGCGTAAAGCAAAAATTGATATTTCATATGGTTTTATGATAGATAAGCATTATATTCCCACTCATTATATTCGTAAATTTTGAGGTTTATCCTTCGCTTTTAAGATCATTGAATTTGATTTTTATATAAAATAGTTATAGATTAGAAAATAATATGAGTTTATGTGATATTATTTTTCAGAAGATTTTGTGTTCTTCTTCAAAATTTTATTTTTATATTAAACAGAATCTTTACAAAATATACATTTACTTTAATTAATATTTAAAAACGTGCTCTATCAAAAGTTCCAAAAATTCAATATTTTAGCTTTTCTGAGGTGTCACTTTTGATGAATTTCTGTTTACAACATTATTTGCTTACAGCTATCAAATAGATTTTTGCTATTTTGATTAAAATTTGTTAATCAAAATACCCAGATTTTCCTTACTTTTACCACTCCCCATGTAATTTCTGGGGAAAACGATAATTCATTTTTTTTTATGGATGAATAGATCGTTTTCCTAGAAAGGACCTCATATCTCTGGCTAAAAAGAGTGTCAGATCCTAAATAGATTATTGATCTAGTGTACAAATCCAATAAAAAGCCTATTTTTTTTGGCTTTTTTTGGTGCTCATTTTTTCGAAGATCTACATGAATATGGGGAAACCATCGGATTTTTTGGTTAACCCACATCTTCATGTAGTCTGGACTATCTTTCCTCGAAGGACCTCTTTACGGGTGTAAAAACTCATAAAGTTCTCAAAAGATTCATTCTCGATCTCCATGCTGAAAGAATTTACAATAAAAAAGAGATCTACGCATCAAACTACAGCCATAAATGAACTGAACCCCTAAAGCTCAGCTCTTAGTTTATCAAAAACGTCGAAATCCTTCTCATTGCAATCAAATTTTCTCAATAACTCATAAGAAAAATCGAATTTTGATTAAGCCGATGTTATAGGTATCACAAATACTACAAACTTGAGCAATATCGAAATTGCCAGCAAAAGTTTGAAATTGCATTGCTCATATTTGTTTTGTAAACTAAAAATCTGCTTATATTATTCATTAATTTTTTATATATTATTCATATACTTTAATAAAAACAATACTATTTCACCTTAAAAATGAATTTCATAAGTCAATATTATTTTTTTGAAAATGTATCAATTTTCGATTAAAACAACATGAGAATAAAATTTACGCAAAATTATTTTAAAAAATGGTTTTAAAAATTTACAATTGATTAAGAATAAGATTGCAAGAAGTTTTGAAGTTTAATTTTAAGAAAAAAAAATTCGGATATTATTCATGGATCTAAGTAATCTGATATTTGAGTATCGGCACTATGCATAAAACATATATTTATAGTTTTTTTTAGATTTTTATGATTTTAAATATATTCAAATTTGGCAATCCAATAGATTTTTAAAAAATAGGTAAATAAAAATAGATTACATATGCAGCAGATTTAGAACATGAAACAAATCTTATAGTGACCCAAAAAAAAATTCATGATCCAAAAAAGAAAAAAATTGGGTAAATGGGAATCAAACCTTGGCATAATGAATCATAATGTCGGATGTTTCCACTACACCGGCAGTTCGAAAAATACCCTTGGTAGTTCTATTTAATAGCTATTCCCAACGATAGGCGGTGTCCCCAGCTTTAGAGGGGTGGTAAAAGTAAAGAAAATCTGGGTAATAATTTTTTTCTAAATATCTTAAATATCTGGATCACTCACATATACAATGAATTGAACGATAAAAATAATACAAACTCAACTAAGTTTCCTGTCTTTCAACTAAAAAAAATTATGCAAATTAAATTAAATTGTTTATTCAAATATAAAACAAAGATGAAGTAATTACAGTTATCATAAACTTTATGAATAACTCTGTAATTGGTTCAGATTTTCGTAAAAATATTTTTATTAATATCGATAAGAATACGTTTACCTACTATCACAACATATCGATAAACAAGAGTAGAGTGATTTTTATCATCGAAACTTTTTAAAAGCTGTAAGCTGGAAGGAAAAATCTTGTTTTTTCTGAGTTAGTTGTAGAACTATTGATGCACGAGTTATCATTGTGATGCAGAAGGAAATCAATGTACTGACTGAAGGATATGAAGTGAATTGAATTTCATTGCATTTCAATTTGATCAAAATTTGTTGAAATGATATGAATGTGTCAACATCTGTATCACTCTCTTTCACTCCTTCCTTATTCTTTCGAGAACGAAGCTAGCTCAGCTTTCGCTGAGCGAATTGACACTTTTCATGCCCTAAACGTACATACTCTCAAATTTATCCAAAAAATTAATACCACCTAAACTAGTATATTCTTATTTTAAATATGATATTATCCTTAGAAATCACACTAGAATATATTTAAATCAACTTTTAAAAAAGTTCGAATCCTGCGCGTCTCACTTTTTAAATTTTCCAAAAGGAAAATTATATTCTCCTAAAATGAAAACAATTTTCCGAATTGACATCCTTATGGTGAGTTAACATACGCAACAGTTTTGAAAAAAGTTCCATATTCTTATCAAAATGTTACAATTTTCAAACAAATTTCAAGAAATACTCTCAAAAAAGCATTCAAAGAAATCGGTGGTACACCAAAAATTAAAAGTGGTCCTCCACAAGAGGAATTAACTCCAGAGTCTCATCACACTTTTCAATGCTCGATTTTTAAAAACTGTTTAAAAATGGAGCTTATATTGAAATAGTGTAGAGACTAAAAATTACCACAGACTATTTCAGAGGATTGAGTGCCACTCAATCCTCTGAAAAGTCTGAGGTAATTTGCAAAATTAATTTTGAAGGTTCAGAATTCTTATGAAAATTACAAATGTGGGGTTCAAAAATTGTATTGGACTCTCAATATGAATCCAAAACAATTTCAAATCAGTTACAATGCAGTTATTAAGGCAGCA